AATGGTTTTAATTTAAAAACAATGTATATGGTAAATATCTAATGTATAAAACAATATAATAGTGCATGTTTTTTCTTTGTTATATATAATCTATATCATGTGTATTCTTATATTCCATTTATAGTATATTTAAGATATATATTATTCATCAAATATAATGTATAAATATAGTACATATATAACATATATTCCATTTATAGTTTATTTAAGATATATATATATATAAATAAATAATAAAATGTAGTATATAAATATTGTACATATATAGCATTTATTCCATCTATAGCATGTTTAAGATACTTATTATTCATAAAATATAGTATATACACATAGTACATATATAACATATTTATTATAAACAATATTTTTTCAAAATTTATGTTTATTTATATATATGTGCGTTATTTAATGTATAAAATTTGATTAAAACTAAATGTATATATATATAATTTATATTATTTATATATCAAATACTATTTCAAATATATATATATATATAATTATATCATATATATATATATTCATTACTTTTTGTATTGATTATATTTACATAGTCTTATTTATGGTTTTCAATATTTTTAATACATGGATATATAAATATATACGGTAATAATATATATATATATATACACGTTACTGTTCAATATATTCTATATTTTCTGTATTGTTTATTTTGTACATCATGTACATAAAGATAACATATAATATATATAGATTTGGGGGACATTATAGCGACCTCACCGCGACCTAATCATGGAATGATGGGAATGGGTAAGGTTAATCAGCCCAATGTAGTCTCAATTTAGGCCAAGTGAACTATTGTTATTTACATTATATAACCATCTTAATCGCGATAATTTTGATATGTATCTAATCATATCATCATATTATATGATAGGGAAAACGGGGCAGAACTTTTTATTTTCAGACAGATCTTTTCAGAAAAGGTCCGCCGTCGATTCGGCTTTGCCAGGTGACCAGAGTACTTGTGGCGGTGGTTTTAAGTTGATAAACCCACCAAAGTATAGTTGTTCATCAGCATAACTCCATTATGTAAATATAGTATACTATAGTTGTTTCATTACCCAGGTCATTAGCAAAACTAGTTGTAAAGCAATTTAGCTAACGACCTAAGGACCTAAGTCCCCCATGAAATATCATGATTCACTGAATATCGTGCAGAAATTATGGATGATTGTCCCCAAGTTTCATGGTTGAACATACCATCAAAATCACAAGGTCGCAACATCATATTAACTAGACTATAGTTATCATCACCAAAAACCTTAGTTAATCAACCACCGTCAATCATGGATAAAGTAGTGAAGTAAAGCAACTTATCATATTTTCCCAAGTATGGTTATCATCAGTTATATTTTTCATCACCATAAAACCCTACTAAACCATCGTCAGGGTACAAGGTGGTGCCCGCTAGATGGCTAAGTTGGTTTTTAAACCCCATTAATTATGCGTACATCTACCATAAACCATACAGTAGTTAACCAGCTTAGCTAGCTTTCCACAGTATGGTTATCATTAATCATGGTTATCATCACCATTAACCATACTTAAACCGTAGTTAACCCTACGTAACCTCCTTGTATGTCAATTGTTACACAGACCCATTAGTCAATTATAGTTGTATCCATCATAAAATTCAAACCGTAGTGAGTCAAATGAACCCCATAGTGAAACCGTAGGAAAGCCTAGTTAACCTTAGTTATCCCTATCTAGTCCCTTCATACTCTGGTTGTTTTTGCAGGAGTTCCAAGCTTCGGTCCCCACGGCCAACGCTCAGCAACTTCGGTGCGCTCCTTCCACGGTGCGCCCCGCACTTGCCGTGTATTACCAGAGTGGCCCAAATGGTTTCATCAACAACAGAGATTTATGAGGCTTTATATGGATATGCTAGGATTTTTGGTGATTTTTAATGATTTATATATATTTTAATTCTGAGTAATTATCATTCAACAATCAATAGGATTTATATGGATATAGTAGAGATAGTTGGGATAACGATGTCATCAAACAAGGCTGGCTGGGAAAATCCCCGCACTCGCCACGGAGCTTCTAAGCACGGACAATGATCGCACTACATACTATATAAACTTAAATGGACCATTTTTCATAGCTATGTTAGATTGCCGGAAGGTGATAAGCTGGATACATCATGATAGATCGATACTTAGATGGGTGAACAGAAACCAACACTTAGACATCTTTCAACCATTGTCAAATAAGAACTTTGAGAGGGTATCAGCAACTTGCGCAGCCAAGACCTGCGATGATCAGGTGCAGTGACCAACAGTCAACTTGTCAACATTCAAACCAGTTACATATCAGTCGGATGTTCACGGGCCGAAAATGGAGGTACTGTACCATATATATATATATACATATATATATATGGGCATTATAAGACCGTACTTTGGGGTGATCTTCCCTGAAATTTAGCCATAAAAAATAGGCCGAAGGCCGAAATGTGGCATGATTCTCGTCGATGCGGCGACCTGCGATTCGTCGACAGCAGGGGGATTCACCTCAGTGGTGTGACGTTGAGTTATAGTGAACGGAGACAGCTGAGATAGAGAGGACGGAACACTAGAGAAGACACCAAATCAGTTTGTTTAGTTGGAATCGAATTCTTAGATGGGAAACATACAGCATGCAGATCAGAGGGATTGGCTTGATGGGGTCCAGATATCCAGACAAAAAATACAGCTGGAAAGGATGTGTCAGTTGCACACATTGCTAGAAAATCCGCACTTTCCGAGACTGAGACTGGTTTATATACAGTTGAAGGAAATCGGAAATTGGAAAGCCCATAGTCTGGCTTTAAAAAAAACCGTTTGTTTTGTGTAGATTTTCCCTTAGATCTATCCGTTGACGATTGAAGCATTCCACTTGATGGAAGTCACATTCCATGGTGCCCTCTCGCCGTTGCGACGAGTGGGCGCCAGTTGCACTCGAGCTGCTGAACAATGCAGCGACTTGTCAGCCAAATGAGTATAGGCAGGAGGATGTAAGTCATCTCCGATTTACAAAAAAATGTGCCGTTTGGACTTTGGAACCACGTGGGGGATACTGTAATTGTCATTGTTGAAAACCAACATTCCAAACACTAAATCTATCTACCTACAAGACCTACCGACCTACCTACCTACCAACCTACCTACCTACCTACTTTGCATATTTATCTAAACTAATGTAAATCTAAATCTAGATATATTCTAATCTAATCTAATTTGATCTGATCTGATCTGACCCAATCTATTCTAATCCAACCTATCAAATCAATCTATCTATCTATCTATCTATCTATCAATCTATCTATCTATCTATCTATCTTTCTAATCCAATCTAATCTAATCTACTCTACTCAAATCTAATCTAATCTAATCTAATCTAATCTATCTATCTATCTATCTATCTAATCTAATCTAATCTAATCTAATCTAATCTAATCTATCTATCGATCTATCTACCTATCTATCTATCTACCTACGTATCTATCCATCTATCTATCTATATCTATCTATCTATCTATCGATCGATCTATCTATCTATCTATCTACCTATTTTCTTTCTTTCTTGCTATTATAGCTTTTCTATTCTAATCTAATCTAGTCTAGTCTAATCTAATCTAATCTATCTAATCTATCTAATCTATCTAATCTATCTAATCTATCTAATCTATCTAATCTATCTAATCTATCCAACCTATTTAATCTATCTATCTACCTACCTACCTATCCATTTATCTATCCATCTATCTATCTATCTAATCTAATCTAATCTAATTTAATCTAATCTAATCTAATCTAATCTAATCTAATCTATCTATCTACCTACCTACCTACCTATCTATCTATCTATCTGTCTATCTATCTCTTTATCTATCTATCTATCTATATCTATCTATCTATCTATCTATATCTATCTATCTATCTATCTATCTCTATCTCTATCTCTATCTCTATATCTATCTATCTATCTATCTATCTATCTATCTATTTATCTAATATCGATCGATCTATCTATCTATCTAATCTAATCTAATCTAATCTAATCTAACCTAATCTAATCTAATCTAATCTAATCTAATCTACCTACCTACCTACCTACCTACCTACCTATCTATCTATCTATCTATCTATCTATCCTATCTATCTATCTATCTATCTATCTATCTATCTAATCTATCTAATCTATCTAATCTATCTAATCTATCTAATCTATCTAATCTATCTATCTATCTATCTACCTATCTATCTATCTATCTACCTATCTATCTATCTATCTATCTATCTAATCTATCTAATCTATCTAATCTATCTAATCTATCTAATCTATCTAATCTATCTAATCTATCTAATCTATCTAATCTATCTAATCTATCCCATGTGTTAATCTATCTATCTATCTATCTAGCTAGCTAGCTAGCTAGCTATCTATCTTTCATTCCATCCATCTCTCCATCTCTCCATCCACCCATCTACCCATGGATCCATTCATCGATCCATCCATCCATCTATGTACTTACATACATGGAAAATCAATGACTCACTGAGTTGGTTTTAAGGAACAGTTGCCGGAAACCATTGATTTTCTTAAGCCAGTTCTTGGGATCAATAAAAATGTCGAAAACAGTGAATCCTCCTCAAGACGGCTGAGACCATTTGTGGAATATCGATGAATATCGCAATTTGCCCACAAATACTCACATTTAAGATTTCAGTCATATTAAAGTATACCATAATATGCCATACTACGGTTTATATATATATATATCAACCTATGTACATATGATAATGTGTATACACACACACAAGCCCTATGTTACATGTTGCAATACACGCTCCATGATCCAATGGCCACTTCACTTGAAACTCGGTTTTAAAATGGTGGTACCCCCATGACTGAGGAAACCTCCATTTAATGATGTTCTGATTGACCACATGTCCGATGTGCCCCTAGTGTCAAACATGTCAGGCTGTTTTTCCACACCTATCATGGCAGCCAGGATCTCCCCCTGTGTCCCATCCTTTTCTCTTGGGGTTCAATCTCAGTTTTCAGTTTCTTGTTCGCAGCTTGAAATCTCGTCCCAGGCGTGATTTAAGTGTTCCTTTGAGCGGCTCAACCATTTTTCGGCTATTGTTTGATTTTCAAAACCAACCCATTTTATCATATTTTACCACATCCAGATATATGATTTTTCCACAGTCTCCTACTACTTACTACTTTCTATCATTTTCCACAGACACTTGTCCCATGTTTCCCACATACACATAAATTTCCATCAAACCAGATTAGATTTACCAGTGGGCCACCTTGGAAATCTCAACGTCGATCCAAGTTGAAGAGCCTTTAGGTTTTCGGCCGGCGGTCAGATCTTACAGCAAGGCCCAAGCTGGGGAAGCCGGTGAAAGCCGAATGAATCAATGGATTTGGTTTCAAATCACAAGTTTGGTCTTGAAGTCTGATGGATGTTGATGATACTTCATGTTATGCTTCTGAGGTTGATAATTGGAGTCCAAAGGTTCCAGCAGGCTGTGTGTGTCATATGGCAAGCCGAGATGGGTACGCAGCCAACCAACATTGGTATGTGACAAACAAACATAGGCACATTGAAATTGCCAACGCAAAATTTGCACGAAAGGAAGAACGAATAGCACTTCCTAAGTACGGCGTGTGTCGAAGGGGGCTTGATTAAAGCCACCGCCTTTGTACGCGAATCTAATCATGACGAAAGCATAGTGGACCAGAACATTGATCCAATTCTGACGGAGTTAGTGCTTGCAATGGCTCTGGGCAAGTGTCATACATACCTGTATGTATATATATATATACAACAATACCAGACAATGCAATCCATAGGATGCTAGCATTTGTTTATATATATACACATATAGTTACATTATAATGTGGTCCTCTAGAAAGATAACATGCAACTAAAGTTTAAAGTAGCCCATTCATATGATATAACATGATACGATATGATATGATATGATATGATGACCATGTACTATGTTGATTTGTGTTCATAGTGTTCAAATGCTGACCGTATTTTCGTGTGAATGTGCTCTGGCCACCAATAGGTACCCTCTGGTAATGACTAGCGTTCTTTGCTGTGGAAAACCACAATGTTTACATAATGGATCTACAGACAGCAAACCATTTAGCTGGGTTAAATTACCAGAGGGTAAAGCCCTTAACAGGGCCTTGATTTTTTTTGGGAATCTTTCGATAGTCATTCCCAAGTGGTGAACTGTTATGCAATTTATATTGGAAGGCATGACGCAAACTTCCACTCTGGGGATTCGCCAGTTGCGGTACTGACATCCATTGTTTGTCATCATTGTCCCACCCGTTTTGAAGTGTACCCCATGAACTCAGACCCGAAATGTCATTGATCTCCATTTCCCATTCAACCATATTAAATCACCAGTTGTCCACAGTTATGGCCATTTATCAGTTATAAGTACTTATAACCCCATTTATAGAATGTGTAATCCCATTTATAACCAGTTATAACCATATTAAATCACCAGTTATCCAGGAATTCTACCCCACTTCCAGGCTCCACTTTTTCCCCAGGCGGAGATCTGTAACAAGGCGACTGCACGTCTTTGGAGGCGACTGCGGTGCTGATGACCCGGCTGTGTGGTTGTGGGAAACTATCCTTTCACCACTGTTGGGCTCTATCTACCATTTGGGAACTAATTCTTAGATGAAGGGTGATAAGACTTCCTGACGGATGGTGATATCAGTAGTCAGTATTATATAATGTATATATATATATATAAATATCTAATATTCACCAATAATATCTGGAAAATATACAGACTTCACGACGACTTCACTGCACATGATGTAAGGGAAACTACCCCAAAATCTCCCCTAGTTCAAGTTGATGAACGACGATAATTCAGGCAGATGGTTGATAGGGCCAAATCAGTCCCAAGTCAAGTATTACAATACCACACCTGGAACAAAATACAGTTCTTGAGACATTAGTTTTCCATCCCTGAGAATCCCTGAGAATCACCTACAAATCGTAGGGTCTCTGTCATTTTTTTTAGGTTTTATATTTTGGGGTTGGTTGAGTTGTTGCAACAATCTACAGCAGATATCTTCAATTGTTTTGGATGGTTGATGTTTCATAGTTTCTTGCTCTGTTCCTGGACTTTCAAAGTAGTGCCTGAAAACATGCCTGAAAGATCCCGAAAGTAGCAACAGATGTCGTTGCGAGACACATGTTTGATACGTGTTTGATCAGAGTCCTGGCAGTCCCTTAGCAATTCTCTGAAACCATTTGGCTTTGTCTATCATTTGCTCTACATTTGTTTGCGGCCCATCCTCCATTTTCACAAAAAAAAGAGAATAATATTGGTTGATTCTTTCTACATATACGTATGGAATTCATATATATATATATATATATATTCATATATATATATGTATATAATATATATATAATATAGTTATTTCATTATCTCCCATCATACTCCCATGATAGTCCCATTATAAATCCCCATGATATCCACCTGTCCTCCAAGGGGGGTTCATCCGCCGTTTCTGCAGCCGTGAAAATGTGAGGTTCTCGATTCGGCCGCTTGGCCACAGATGTAACCGTTATCACGCAGTATGGATAGAATCATAATAGATAACCATAGTTCATCTAATATGGTGTGGCTATGATCATTATAATCAAATACATATAGTCTCACCGAACTATGGCTGGATGGATTATAACCATACCTATATTTTAGTGTGTTTGGGGTTATATACTATAGGATTTACCACATCCAGCAAAAGTGAAAATAACGTAGCATGGTACCAACAAGCCACCAAGATTGGTATCCCAGTCGAATTAGGGTTATAATTATTATAATCATGGATAGCTCCTTCCAGGATGAAGAGGATGAATTGTAGACTTGCATACATTGCTGCATCATGGGTACAGGTAAACACGGTAAACCTATGGCTGTACTGAGCTATGGCTATGGGTCCAAATTTTCACCAGATCTCGAAGGGAAGATGGGCCAAGGATTTGATCCAGCCAGTAGCTGGAAATAAAACATGTTGGATGTTGTATTTTGGTGCGAAAAGTCAACCCAAAGATATCCAAACCAAGATCTGTTCATGTGTTGCCATGCCTGGAAGTAGATCACGACTCCTGGTGAAAAAATGGCCGAGTTAGTAAGTCACCATTTAGTATCCTCTATACACAGTAACTGGGTAATAAAGACCCTCTAGATCTCATATAACTGGGTTATAGACCTAGATTCTGTCACCCTTTTCCCCCGTTCCCAGTTCAGTTGACCATCATATTTTCCACAACTTTGGGTACTGTATGTGTCATGGAATTGCAGACAGAAGAGATCATCCACAGATCAACAGGGCAGGTCAAATGTGAATCAGGTCCGATGTGCGAAGTACTACTGTAAATATTTGGTTCTTTATTTACATATACACACATAATATAATCTAATATATATATATATGCATATAGCAACCAGATTGATCGATTCATTGATTAGCATGTGTTTATTTCTGGTCGGGATACTCGCCTCAACCATGACATGCCCCACTCAGAATGAATCGAATTGTGCCAGAGGTACCCATTAAAAAGCTTCTGAAATTCTAAATTTGTTAATTTGCCACAGAAATTGAAAGCTGGATTGGATTTGTTTGATTCTTAATGAGGATACTTGAATCATTAGCCAACAAATCCTTGAAACATCACTAGCAATCCTCATTAACAATCAATTGTTGGAGGACTACAATCAATTATTTGGATTGTTAATGAGGATACCCTCTGGTAAACGTTTACATAACTATGGAAAATGGCCCAGTCGCAATAGCGGATTTTCCCATTAATAATGCATGGTGATGTTCCATAGTGCCATAGTTATGTTAAATTACCAGAGGGTAATGAGGATAATTGCCAAATTACCAAAATTACCATGGTAATGAATAGCATGGTGATTTTCCATAATCTTTGAGTAATTACCATGGTAAATTTACCAATTCTTGGATTCTTTGCCAAATTAGGATTTCACGGTTCTGACCACTAGGTGAGGAATTCCCACCAAGGCCTCCCATGGAGGTCGGCATGCCGCCTCTGGCTGGGAGACTTAGAAGGCCGGTTAATTAATTTCGCACGTTAAAATGGCTCTTCAATATGACTACTATCATATATATAACGGTAGTTCATAATGATATCACTATACGTTTAATAGTTGTTAATGATTGTTATAACTATATAGACTATTATAATATGACTTCAGTTGTTGCTAAACATTGTTAATACAGTAATTATTAGTACCGTTTTTACCATGATTACTGCAATTGCTAGAATTATACATAGCAATAGTAGATATTGGTTATGTCATCGATATTCCCATTAATCCAAAGCTACTATTGGTAATCATTACTTTGCATGATATGGTTATTGGTAATTGATTCCTTCCCCCATTCACATTCAACACCCTCCAGAAACTTTTTTTTGTAGGGCATGAAACCACATATTTGAGGACAGGTTGGGACCATAGAATGGGGATGTTTAATATGAACAGGGGATGGGATTGTAAATCCCTCATCTTTCAGTTACCTGTCAGATATCCCCAACGTCAGAAAGTAAAATTATCCTGGCTACCTATCTCAGAGGTACTGGAAGGCTAGGGAATAAGGCTTTATTTGCATACTGTAACATATGTTTGCCTGTAGCTGTGTTTCTGATTTTCATCCATCACTTTTATGCATTTGCTGACTGTGTACATACATGTGCTTAATATATGGGAGCCCATTAGTTATATATATATACACATGGATTTGATTACATACACACATGTATATATATATATATATATAGGTACATACGCATCATAGATATAGTACATTTAGGCAACTTCATCTCAAAATAATGTACAGAGAGGATCCACGTTGCCCGACTCGATGTTCACCTCACCAGCGATGTCAATGGATGCCCAAGAATTTCTTGGATGGTGCTAGCAGCTAGGGTAAAAAGGTATTTCATACATGTTCAAACGAAATAGTGATTTAATGGGAAAATTCAGTTGGAGGTATCCCATGAGTGATTTAAACAAACATGTCCAACAATTTTTTAAGAAACCTAAGGGATGCTGATCCCACAAACAGGTGGTTATCAGCACCACTTACTTCTGTTGCGAGCCACAAAACAATTTGTGTCTCACAACCGTTTTTTTTACCCATTAAATTTCAGATCACTGAGAAGAACAACCAACCATAGCTCTTGATTGTATAATGTAATCATATGTAATCACTTTTTCAAACCATTTGAAATCCATTCTATCCCAATAAGCCACCAAATATTAGTCTAAATCTATCTAAATCATGTAAATCACCAATTATTCATAGAAATCACCAACGGATCGTCCTGGAATCTGATGAAACCACCGTGCCAACGGTGCACACCGAGGCGTCGGCCGATCCAAAGATGATGTCCTTGCAGCATTTGTTGAAGCATGGCCGAGAGGCCACACAGAGGCAGGCTTGCGCCCAGTTCTTGGGAATATGTTCTTACCATATGTGTATATTATATTATGTATGTATATATATATACGTATGTATATATACAAATGGACAGTAAGACATATTCTGAAATATATGTTATATATATATAAATATATTGTATTAAATATATTGTATCCCTGTAGATCCAATCACCTTCTAAGAAAGTGATCGGTCAAACTGTTGCTAAGAATGGTATTTAGCCCAAATGTCTCTGAGAATGGTATGACCTGTCTCAGGAACAGTTGGCTCAAGGCCAATCTGATATGGGCCCAAAACCATTGAGGGATGGCCCAAAACCATTGAGGGATGGTTCAGAAACACCCATTCATCACAGATCAAGGCCTAGTGCATCTTCAACAGGTGTCAGGTCGGACTTTTTTCCTCTTGGCTGGCTTGATTGGCTAAATCAGAACCTTAAGCTACTGGATGACCAACTGCCAGTTCATTGCCGGTATCAATATTGCATGTATCACGTTAATACAATATAGATCTATTCACCCTGCAGTGTTTGATGGATGGGTTTGCTGAGAGCAGCTGCTCTGAGAGGTGCGCCCCCACATTGCTGATGGGAGGGAAATGATGTATGGGTGCAACACATGATGGGTTATTTTATGCCTGATGGATCCAATGGAACTTTTTTTCTGGGATTGTGGAGGTGTTCTGACACTTTCAATTTTGGATCCACAAGGTCTCTCACACTGCCGCCCGCACTGGCTCAGCACTGGCCCTTTTGAAGGGTTCCTGGCCTTGGGTGATAGGCCATGGCTGTCGTTTTGGTTGAAAGCCAGCTGGAAGATGGATCCAAACAGGTTCAGTCCCCGATGAAGTTCAAAGCTTCAGCATCTTACCTGAATTGTACTAACTGAAACTAAACTGAGAAATAGGTCTTCACCCCACCAGGTTCATTCCTAAGGCCCCTAGGTGTTTGTAAAATGGATGTGGGATTCACCTGCCATACATCTTGAGGGAACCACTTAGACCCACAGCAGTTTGGTTTTCCAAATCCCTGCATTTTGGTTTTCAAAGCTAAGGTAAAAGCTTCAGAGATCTACAAAGGGATTTGGTCCTTCATCGAGAAAACCTCAACTGACATCCAATGTGGTGAGGAACTACTGTACTGCCTTGTGTGCCCTCATGTTTTTTTGGTAGTCAATCTTGATGTTTTGAATTTGATTTAATTTGATAAACTTATCCCATGGGGCTATGTGCCTTGTCAGGAGGTCTTGGTGGTCAACTGGGCGAGAAATCATTCGAACCCTTTGGTTGGGGGCTCAAACAGCATTTTGTCTATATTTCAAGTGACAAATATCATATCCACTCAGGTATATGAGGACGATTTGGGTCGAAACTATCAGCTGCTCCTTGAGATCTTGATAGCCTTGAAGGAGTCACTAGCTGCAGGTGAAGGGCTACCAACTGTCAAGGACTTGCAGGCATCCTGCACAATTTTTCACACTAGTTTGAACTGATACTAGTACTACTAGTGATCCATGAAGAATTGTGTTCTGAATTGTTCTTACTTAGTCAGGCAAGCTTTTTGCTGGCAACCCTCCGGCACAACTGGCACCGTTCCCTCTACACTAAGAGGGGTGGTAAAAGGCAGATCAAGGACTGAATAATTTTTGCATTGGTACCTGTTACTCCCAACAACTTAGGTCCCCTCTCATCCAGTACACACTGCAGGACTGGGCATCTGACGAGGCAACCAAAGTGCGTTCCCTTCTTGGGCACCTGCATGGATTGGCGCGACGTGCTGATAATTCAAGGAGATTGGTGGGGTCTTTGTTCAGGGATACTGCAGACCACCTCATCTTACAGTGTAGGGAGCCCACATGTGAAGGAACCAGAAGGTACAAGTCCTGAAAACGCTGTATTTGAAGATGACTGGAAAGGAGGTGTGGCCTCCCAACCTTTTGGGAAAAATGTTTTTGGAATATGCAAATCTGTTTATGATTCTTTCAGACACTCTACAATGATTGCAGGCCAATACAATGCCCCCAGATGCACCAATCGAGGCACATGGGCCTTGTTGCACCTGCAGCTCTTTCGATGTTTCTGCTGATGAACCTGCCAGGATTGCGGACCACAACTTGAACTTGCAGTGCATGTGGATGAAGAGCCCATTTGGGTGGAGGCTGAGCCAAATCCACTGCACAACCAATCCTGTTTTCCCTATCTATCTTGAATGTCCAATACTGTACAGGATGCAGCGGGTGAATCCGAAGTCTTGGTGATCAAGGACCATTTTCCCTTTGATTTGATTTTGCAACTTGTGTAGCTAGATCAGCTAGTTTAACCTCATGAATTATCCTGTGGTGACATGGGATATGCAGGATGAGGATGCCGTCAAACCCTGAGTTCTCTATGATGCTGCTTTCTTTCCCATTTGTCTCAAACTTACTGTTGATTCTTTTCGTTTTCTCAGGATGAAATTGAAACCTGTGATGGACATCAATCGGGTTGCAAAGCTGTTTTGGTTGAACCCCCAGAGCACAAGTCACTGGAACAAGCCCAAGTGCTACAGCGAGAATCAATTCATCAATATGTTTTTCAAAAGCAAAATGCTAAACCAACTTGATTTGGGCCAGGTCACTCCACAATCTACTGAATCCATGGGTGCCCCAGCAGTTGAGGCCCAGCTTGATTAAGAGCTGCCCCTGACCTTATCCAAATTGCTGTATGTACCCATCCATGCCCAGGATGGAACGAGTGTGCCTGCTGGAGAGAGTGCTGCTGCATGTCCACCTGATGTGTGGGCCCGAGATTTGTGGACTTAAAGGAGTCCTACAAACACAATATGCTCTGAAATCAATTTGGCTAGCTGGATCATTCTTCAGCAGAATGGTTCTTCTGATTGAAACTATCTTCCTGCAAAGGCTGGCATGCAGAAGAGTGCAGCTGACGTTGCTAGGGTCTCAACTTCTTTTTTGATATGTTTGTTGAAATGTTCAGTTCTGGCACAGCAGAAAAATGAGATATATATATATTATATAAATATAAATAAATTATGTATAGATTCAGACATCGATGTTACATTATATCATGTCTCCAGGATACCTTGAGTCTCGAGAACAACTATCCCGATAGCCAACCTCGTGACCCAGAGCAATGGGTCAGGTCCCAAGATCCTGCAGCGACCCACTAATCACACAGGATAATCCTTCTGGGGGTCAGAAAATGCCAGTATTCTAGGGCTGTCAAAACTTCTCTGCAATATGTTTTTTCCTCCATGCATGGTTATATAAAAATCTTATGCCCCTTTAACCCCAAAAAATATATGATCCAGTTGAATTTAATTTAGACCTCACTGCCGGTGCTCAGGCTGAATGGGGCTTGAGCCCTCCTCGCAATGGTGCTGCACTGGACCAGGCTCAGGTCATATGTGAGCATGTACAGTTTAGATACTAGTACTATTGAGACAGCTCAACTCTATCTTGAATCTTGGTGTTGGCCAGACCATTCCATGGGATTTTCAACTTCAAGATGCTGAGATGGGTGACAAGGCAGTGACTTCGGTATGTGTTCATTTTTATTTTTTGCATGTGGCCAGGGCCATGGAAAAGAGTGGGTTCCTTACCACATCCGAGTACGTTCATTTTTTGACAGATGGCCTGGTGCTCTGAAGGCCAGAATGTTGAAGCAACAATGTTAATTTGAGCATTTTGTGCCCTTGGGCAGGCTTTTGATGAGAAGCCTGTGGGTGATTCGCAGCATGATGGCAGTGAAGCTCCAAAGGTGCATGGGGGGAAGAGCCTAGGTTTTTCCATATCTTTAAAATTTGATTCCTCCTTCTGCTTCTTTTTGATCTAGTTCTTCTTCATCTGAACTGATGGAAGGAGCTACCTGATGATGAAATGCCTGACCTCGCAGAGCAGCAAGCAAAGCTTCGCAAAGCTAAGCGGGAGGTGGGCCATGGGTGGGTGAGTGACTCACTCTGTAAGTAGGTCACTTGAGTCAACATTGATCAACATTGATATCAATACCTTTCATTTTTTCCTAGTCATCCAATTGGTTGTCTCTATCTCATGTAGGAAGAAGACACCAAGAAGGCAGAAAAAGAAGCAAAAAAAAAGGCAAAGAAGGAAGGGGGTGCCATGCGTCGCCCTGCTGCTGTACCTAAGGGATCTGAGGTTCCCACAGAACCCAAGGAACTGAAGGAACCCAAGGAATCGAAGAAAGGCAAGGAACCCAAGGAACCAAAGAATGGCAAGGAACCCAAGGAACCGAAGAAAAGCAAGGAACCCAAGGAACCGAAGAAAGCCACCAAGGTCCCAAAGGAGAAAGTGAACAAAGGAACCAAGAGGAAGGGGACTGCTTCTGATGATGCGGCCATTTCCCAAAGCCCCAGGACAGATGATGGGGACCAGGAGGCAAAAAAGTTGTCAGACAAGGAGAAGCGCCGTTTGCGTTCAGTTGAAAGTTGGAAAAGGTTGAAGGAAGCTGGTATCAAGGACCTGGAGATTCCTTCTGACCTTAAGGGTCGCATCAGCTTCACTGTCAGGGACCCTGCCGAAGTGGGATCATCTGTGGGGGTGCTTCTGGCCAGTGATGCCTTCTACATATCAAAGGCGGTGCCACCTCCTAAGTGGCCCACGAATTGTAACCATTTGAAGGTGGGGGGGCTGTGTGTTGCCTTTGAATCTATGCTTCACTTTTGAAAGAATCAGTTGGACCATTTTCCCAAGACTTGATACTTCTGTTCAACCCACCAGGTAGACAACAAGCAAGGGGTCACTTTGCCATGGGGTACAAGTCCAGAAGTTGCTTGGGGCCATGCCAAAACGGTTGCTGGATGGGTGTTACTTGGCTTACTGCCTTTGTTGATGTTGAGTCATCAAACATTCAGACAAGTTGGTCTTATTTTCATTTTTATTTTTGTGTTGCCCTCTTCATTTTCCATATCAACCCCATGATGCTCTTCTCAGGACCTGTCATGGTGGCAATGCTGCCACTGTTCGAAAGACCCGCAAGTCTCGAGAAAAGCAGTGAGGTCATTATTGGATGGAAAGCAAGGACAGGTTCTTTAACATGTACATTAACTGTTCAATCAGATCTTCCCCCAAGTACTTTGCAGCCACACATCCTGATGACTTATCATGCTACATATCCAAATTCCCCCAAAGGAGTCAAAGCCACATGTTCCAGTGATCTTATGGGTCAAAAAAATGTGCTCAAAACATATGTGTATACATATATATATATTTCCCCTTCCCCCAAAATGTTTGGGATTTGCCCATGTTTTGGTGCAGGACTTGTGGCAGCATGGTGAAGCCGAGGGGTTCTGGCGTGTGGTTTCATTTAAACCAATGGCCATGCTACAACAGTAGCCAAATTTCACTTCAGGTGCACATCTGTGAGATTTCCATTTGCTAAAAGAACTAGCTAGCTGGCTTAGAGGAAACATCTTTCGGTCACAGCATGTGTGCCCCATTAGGATTGATGAATTTCACATGTGCCACAGTGCATCGTGTGCCATCAAGCGGAATCCAGCCTCTATCCATTAGGATTTTGCAGCAGGCATAGCCCGGATTGCCATTTGTTTGGGTTGTAGGAAAAATATTCAACAAACAAAAACTGGTTGGCTTTAAGCTTCCCATTTTCCCATTTGATTTGATGATACACCCAGCTTAGCAAGGGGCATGACGAACGCCTGGCTGTGATTGGCCCTGGAAGTGCGAAAATTATGGCTGCTCTATTTGGATGTGAACACACCCCTATATTGGAAGGTTAATCCACAAAAGAATGCATTTGAACCCAAAAGATGTTTTGATGGCTTTCCATGGGTTGATTTGTTGGTGGTCCTTTGCTTTCCCGGCTCCAGGTACAAGATCATCATCAAGCCGATCGCATCCTTATGCCTCAGGCCACATGGTTAAAAACATGGCTGGGGTGGATGGCAGTGGCATTAATATATATATATATATTATATTGTCCTTGGATTTCTGGGATGAACCCTGTGTGTTTGTTGTTCTGCCTTTATATATGTGGCATCAACCCCATGATGTACAGTAGATTTCGCTGGCAGGTGAAGGAAGCCATGTCCAACGACATCAAGGTGCCATCTACCCCCCTCCCTCTGCAGTGGGGTGGCTGCATGACGTATTTGGGGTTTTGGACCCAATGTTGGATGGATTTTGGGTTATATTTCATATGGTTAATCCAACATGTGTAAATTTGGTGGACCTTGGCTTGGGAAACATTTTTTGGGATCTGAAGTTTTGCAGTTGAACCCTTTCACTGGAAAAGAAACATATCCACATAGTAGCAGGATTTAGGGAAAAAAACATATGGCATTTCAAGCCAAATTCCGGTGGTGTTAAACATTTGGGATTTGAAATGTGTGTTGCAACATTTCAAGCTGACACATTTCCCCATCTGATTGGTTTGCCGCATTTATCGGAGATCACCTACCCCTGAAACAAATCAATCAATCGTCCAAACATGCTAAGGTAAATCCATATTAATAGACATTTGATATGCAATACAATATTGCAGTACACATGCATATGCATGATACTTCATGGGGGTCAAAAAATCTCAGCTGGATCCTTTGAATTGCAGCTGTCATGGCGGCTGCTCGGTCCTTGCGGTCTTTGCGTTTGAGCAAACTGCAAGCATGTGCTCTCTTGGCATTAGGAGCTTCACCCCTACTGTTGCTTGACTGAAGGCATTCAAGTTGTAATATGATCTGGTTGCAGTAGGCGTCTAGTGAACCCAGTTGTTGATCCAAACACATGTTCCACAAAAAGATCATGTGACTATCATTTTCTGTTATTTTCATAAATTCAACTTGGGGTGCAACCCATTCTATTGGTGCAGTAGTTCTTTAAATTTGGATGCCCTTTGAAGCCTTACTAGTACTGGCCAGCTCTTCTCAGGTTGCATATCGCTGACTTCGTGGGAGAAGCTGTCCAGGGTGAGATGACGAGGGACCACTGGCCCAACTTGAAGCCATCACTCCCCCAAAATGGTCCAAACATTTGGTTGTGGATGATTTGCCTCTATCTTAGATGATGTTCAATAGTTTATACTGATAATTGTTTCAATGTAGTGGGTGAAATTCAGCCTCACTGCATATCTGAGGATTTGTTTGCTCTCGAATACTTCTGTGGAGTTGCTTCCGTGGTGAAAGGTTTTCGTTACTTGGACTCATAATGTTGTGTCCCCCCATTGTCTCACTCGAACAATTTATATACCATTACCACAGCTAGATATGTAGCAAGGCTAGAAAAGGACTTTATAGAAATCTGATCAATAAATTATGGCCAACCTGACAAATAAATTAAAAATCCCACCAAGACTGAGCCGGGGCCATCACATGCTCAGGTGAGCTTGGGCTGTCGGCGTGGCTTGGCTTGGAGATGCATCTTCAGCCTGTTCAGGGCAGTTGTGTTAAAACTGAATAACCATCAGGGGTGATATATTTTTGAAAAATACACTGAATAGAACCATCAGGGGTGATATATTTTTGAAAAATACATATGCTTTAAAAAATATTGCACACTATATATATATATATATACTATACATTTTTTGTGGTCTTCTGGTATGACATATAGTGCTTGGATAGTTTGGCCATCTGAGGCAAGGAGTCGATCAGGAGACTGATGGCTGTTGTCATGATCTTCTTGGAGATCTTGGCTTCATGTATGCCGTCAGGCAAATCCTTCGGATAAAGGAGGGTGGACTGAGCTTTTGGGGTTTGCCATGTGGCAGCTTTGGCTTTATGGCCCGGTCATTGCATCAAAGGGATCGTGATGCACCTTTTGGTTGTGGTCACCATGCATTTGTGCAGTCTGGAAATATTCTAGCAACTAGAATGGTGGCCCTGCTCATGCTAGCTGTCTGCAGACAAGTGCGATGGATGCTGGAGCAACCAGACCGATCAGCTGCATCACTTTTCCCATATCTAGCTCACTTGCTCAGCTTCCCTCAAGTTGAGCCACAACGAGTGTTCTGGTGGGGAACTCATTTGTCTTTTCTCCAAAGGGTTCTTGCAGGTGGTTAGATGGTGGTATGCATCAATGCATATATATATATATATATATATATTTATATATTTATATTTATATCATATGACCCAAGTATGGCACATTGCATATGCATATTTGTTGGTAATATTAGACAGTTGGAAAAAAATATATATAATTATATATATAGACCGGGGTGTATATTGATTGTATATAACATATATATATACATATTTTATAATGAAATATATGTATATTATGTAATAAATGTTGTTATATGTTATATTAAATTATCTATCCAAATACCTTCTGATCAGGGACTTAACTCCCTAAACCATTCCACATATCATCCCTCAGAAGGTGTTTGATCATTTCCTGGGGATGTGGTGCAGGCCCCACCAACTACACCCGACACCGGAATCCCTGAGGTGGATGGGATACTTTGGTGGCTGGTGCCAAAAACCTCAAATGGGCCTTGGAAACTGGCACCTTGTCTTAATGGCATGGACCATGCAACGTTAGGGAAAACAATGTTGCCTTTTGGGTATGGTTTCCTTGCATTGAATGTTTTAAATAGTGAAATCTACTTGGAATTAATTTCAAGACATGATGTTGGGATTTCTTAATGATACTTGCAATTGGGACCAACTAGAAACATGTGCATATTAGTTTCCCCTCCTTATTCCGGTTTATCTGAGTCTATGGATGAGCCGACTTTTCCATCCACTTCAAGCTGGACATCGACAGCAGATAAAGGACCGTGCCACGAAACAGAAGAAGGAGATGACTAAAAAGACAATTCAAAAGGGCACAAACAAAAATCAGGTGACCTTTGGCTCAAAAAAATATTTTCTGTGTGAGCTATCATATATTGAATGGAAATGGTATATTTGAAATCCCAAGATGTGAATCCAATTTCAAATCAATGAATCTTAAGGTCTAGCTATTTGTTCCAACCACCCTTTCCACATAACTTGTGAACCTTGACCTCTAAGGACTGGAGGACGAGACTTGCGCAGCTCTGCAGCCTATCCTCGCGATTTTGGCCGTGAGGTGGCACAGCTACATGTCACCCAAATGGCTTCTTGGTATGACCTAAGTGGACCGAATATATATTTAATTAATATATATATATATATACAGAACTAAATTAATATAGTAATATTAGTATAAATTGGGCCAGTTGTATACATGTTACTTTGATACCAATATGCAATATGAAAATATGGTTCATCAAATATTTATGTTGTTATTGCAGCTGAGGCTGAAGAACCTTCCAACATCGACTTGTATGGTTTGATCCAAGGTGGCATGAAGGACTTCATATCTGGGGCTGTGGTTCACAGATTGGAACCTTATGTCTTTACAAAGGATGAAACATTTACCATGTAAAAGTGAAATTATTGTGGAAACAATTTTGAATATTAATATAAGTTTGCTATGTTGGGCCATCCCTATCTTCATACCATGAAAAAGATGCATGGGTTGATGCAGGAACTTCCAGAAGGATGTCATTGGCAACATGCAAACTTTGATAGCATGCTTCAGCTGGTTAGCTACGCTGCTCGTAATGGTGGATACCATCCTGACCCTGATGTGCCCATTCAGATCCAGCCTTCGGTGTCAGCCTTTGAAACTTTGAGAGCCCGCCTGGAGGAACGGTGAGCAGTGGGGCTGTAAATTCAAATGCAATTTCTTGGGACATATATATATATATAGGTGAAGCTATAGAAACATATATATTATATATAAATAGTAATTTAAAATTAATTATATATATACTCAATGACAATAGATGAAGGTTTTCCTCAAAGCCCTGCTACCACCTATACCTCCGGGGGGGAATGTAGAAATTCATATGCTTGGACCAATGGGGTACAAGTGACTTCCAAACCACATGATTTGGAAGAAATTTGGTGATTTCATCCAATTAAACTACTAGCCAGCTTCCAGCATGGCATGAACCGATGTTCCGTGTAGCTTCCTACATGGACACTTTGCCCTGAATCACATCCAGCGCAAAGATTGATGGGATGAGCCACATTTTGTGGTTTGATCTAGGGTGGATGGTGGCATCTTGTAAATTTGGCATTAGATTATGAATTAAAGAACTGATGGGATTCTGAACTGTAGGCCCCCCTAAATGCATTCACAATACATGGGTGATTTTGTGGTACCAGTTTATTAAATGTAGAACGCACTCCCCTTGGGATCAAACATGTCATCAGCCACACAGGATGTTTTTGGCTACCTCAGTAGATGGTTGCTGCACCCCTTTAACATGCATATTATAAATATGTTTTTGTGATTGTTTGAAAATGTTATGATAATTGGGGCCCTCCATGCTGGAATTGTGCCATTATGTATCATTCCAAAAACATATTGGTACTGCACGTAGCAAAATTTAAAAAAAAAAAAATTGTGGTAGCGAACCCTTGGTGGGCAAAGCCAGAACACTGTTTGAACATTATGGATCAAGGGATCTTTTTGCCCATCTCTGGCTCTGAAGGCCAGACTCACGGAAATTTGGGGGGCCAGGGTGCGCGTTATTTTCGCGTTATTTTGCGTTACAATCACGTTAACAGCAACAGTTAGGCGTTATTTTTGCGTTATTTTGCGTTATTTTTCCCCGGGGGTCTAGGGGTGCAAAATCCCTTTTACAGGTCATGGCTGCCTTGTCGAAGCATTCGGGTGCTGCAATGAAGGGGGTGACATCACCACCAACGGCTGCGAAAAGTCGCTGTGCTCCCTATGAATTCTGGCTGCATACTAGTGTTGGGGTATGGCTGATGGGGTTGATTGCCCACAAAGGTTACTGTTTCACCAATATCTGATCATTGAGCTCCCACATATTAGGATCGGTCCAAAGCAGCATCATCTATGGAGTCCTTTTCGGCATCTGATGAGCTGGCTGCCCTTGAGGGAAGACTCAATCTGAAGCTGGTTCCAGGTTGGGTTTTGAAGTTTTTGTAATTTGTAATCACCTCCAACAATTCATTTAGGTTGTTGTTGTAGAAAATGTTAAAACAATTGTTTTTTGGATAATATCTTTTGGAACCTTTGGGGAAATTAGGTGCCAAACCTGTAGCTACACCTGCAAGAGTAACAGCTCCGACACCTTCTGTTGCCCCTCGGAAGAAAACACCTTCACCTGCTGCAGCTTTGGTAAAGGCTGAATGTGTTACTACATGTCTTCCTCCCCCATGTACGTCATTCACACCAGTGAAGAGCCCTGACCAGAAGAAGTGCAAGGCAGCTGCTGCACCTTCTGATGCGACACAGGAGGTTCTCAAGCGTAGCCTCTGCAGAGACATGGATGCAGTGGCAGGTGGTGGTGGTGGTGGTACCCCTACACAGTCTACTCAGTTGGATGAATCCATTGAGAAAGTTGTGCCCTGGTTTAATCACGTCTCAAGAATCTAGATAGATATGTTTTGGTCATAATTAAAATGAATTTTATATTGTATATATATTAAATGATAAGTATATATTATACACATATTACCACATATAATTGCAGTGCTAAATAGTTGTGGTGCAGCTTGGTGTTCAGAACCCTTCCCATTCAATATACTAAGGTGCAGCCGGAAGGTGGACATGGTTCACCTGGTGAGATGCCCAATGGCAACTTGGACTGAATATCATCCTACCAAAAAATGCAATGAAAGATTCATGTGTACTGAACAAATCAAATATACCAGTCAAACACCATCAAACACCCCATCCTATATGATCATGTAAATCATTATGTTCACTGAGGCTCATTGAATCTGGAACCCCATGCCAGTGCTGTTGGTGATGAACCTGGTGTTAAACCTGCCCTTCGCAACTTGGAAACCCAGACGACAATTCCTTTGGGACATGTGGATTCGCCAGATATTGATGCGGCCTTGGACTTGAAATACAACCAACCGCTCTTCAAGTGTCTGTTTGATACTGTTGGAGATAGTGAGGTGGATATTGAAAAGTTGATTCTACCGACCTATCACTGGTTGGATACAAGGGTGGACCGTATGGACATCGACAAAGTTGACCCGTCCATGAGGCGTGCATGTGCACAGGCTGTTGTGTTGAAAGATTTGACCACTGTGAAAGCTACTTTGGTGAAGGAAAAGGAGCAGGAACGTGCCATGGCTTTGGCAAAAATCGATACTGCAGCTGATGCCATGATTGCCCAGCAACGTGACAAAGTTGAGAAAATGGGGACCACCAATGTGGATGAGTCACCGCTGTTCAAAGTCAACAAGAATAACATCATCGTTTGGAAGGGACACAAGACCCAGTTGTTGGATAAGGCTTTCCAGTGTGTCATGGATGAAAGTGCAGCAGCGGAAAATGATCTTCGCCAGCATGTCCTTTCCATGATTGAGTCAGCCTATGCCAAATGGTCGGAACATATCTATGCCGAACCCGATGTTGGTGTTGACCCGGAACTGTTTGGGGAGCTGGAGGCACTCATGGAATCATCTCCCAGAGCTTCTTGATTGAAAACAATACTATTTACTATATTGTATATGTACGTATTAAATCATGTGAACACATCTACCCACTTCCATATCCATATGGCACCTGGTCAACTTCAGGCTTCTGCAGCACCGACTCCTGACCTTGGCAATCAACGCTTGGATGACAACGAGGAAGTGCTGAAACGTGGAGGGCTGGAGGACATGAACCACCAGGGAAATATATTATATATATAATATTGATATAGACCCTTTATTCATTACTTAAGACCCCCCTGGAGTGTATCAATATAATTTTAGTTAGATCCTCAGGGAATGGATTGTATGTTTAGAATGTGCATATATGTGCATGTAACATAGCCCCAACTTGGATTCATACTGACATTCATTATTCAACATCGTTTCCAATGTGTTGATAACAACCCTGAAGGAAACTCCGAGCAAGTTTGTAACACCTCGCCATGTGATTGCCAAGACCACCTTGCTGATGAGAAAGGATACCACCCAGTTGGAAGCATGTGCTCCACCTCGTGTATCATGATTGGATTCATGTTTATTTTAATTACATATTTCAACCTTTAGACTTTAGACCAAAAAGTGATTTTAAGCCTTAACATAAATTGAAACCATATTCCCAATTTTGAATTAAATCTCATGGCTGAGGTTGAGGTGACCCGAGAGCAGACATCAGAGGAGGTGACCACCTATGTGGGTCCTGGTGGTAGGGTGGAGACTCAGGATGAACATGACCGCAGATTGGCACTGAATGCAAAGATGAGGTTCCATCGATCCTTGCAAAGTATCTTGTTATGAAAATGGTGCCAAACTGTTAAGCTTTAAGATATGACATGCCTGTCATATGATATATATATATATAAATATATATATAAAATAATATATATATATATATAAATATATTTATTGAATTATTTGATGCTACTATCTCAGGCAACCGCTGTCCTCCGGCTGTTCTTGAAAAGGCCAAAGGGAAACGTCACAGCTACTTGGCATTACTAGCTAGTGTGAGATAAGAAACCGTTTGCAGTGACCTTTTCTTTTACAGAGTGAGTGGTGAAAAATAGGGTTATACTTTCAAGACATCATTTTGGGATTTGCATTGCCTAATTGCTTTCACGATGTTGACATCACTAGTGTACTAAGATCGCCAATTGATTGGTGAGCTATTCGAATCCTGGCTGGGTGCTGGTGAAGATTGGCTCCGTAGTTCGAGATCCCAACGTCGGAAGGGCAAGTATGTCATGATGGAGGTTCGCACGTTGAAGACCCGTTTTGGGAACGCCCTAGCAAAACAAATCCTTCAGGAGAAGAAGCAGCAGGAGGAAAATAAGGATCCAAGTGACAGCCTGACCTACTGGATGAAGCACCCTGATGTCGCCCAAGAGGTCCAGCAGTTCAAAAAAAAGTGCTTTTCAAAACCCTGGGGTAATTGTCATAAGTACCTTACATGCTTCTGTACCCAATTTCTGCTTCAGGATTTCGAGATGGTGCGGATGTTTGACAGCATGGTCTACGAGGATGAGGTCACTGATGACCTTTCATTGGGACTTACTGCAACTGGAGAGCTGGATGGAGCCCAGACTCGCCAAGCTATGTGCCTTGCCTGCATTTATGTTGAAACTTGACCCCAAAAAAATGGTAAGAGATTCTCTCTCCCTGCTCCTGTTGAAACAACCCACTCTATCTAAGGCAGATTGCTGTGGGGAATGACATCGGCAGGTTCCAAGCTGTGGGGCTGGGCATGCAACCTGGTCAGGCTTCCAATACAGGGGGACCACCACCACCACCCACCGAGAAACCAAAAAAGGTGATACCCCTCAGCAAGCAGGTGACCAATAAGATCAGCAGTAGCTCAACGAAGCTCACTGAGCTGATGGCTTGGGAAGCAAAGGTCAGTGACAACAAAGCCCTGTCCCTCTTTACTGAAACCAAAATACATTTTGTTTTCCTATATATATATATATATTCATTATTATATGTCAGTGGGTTGATGATAACCAAATTGTTTTTTTCCACTTACTGAAATCCACCTAGAGGTCAGCTACTTTGCTCTCGGGATTCAAATCCGAACTTGGTGCTTGAAGGGATGCCATTACAGCAGCAAAGACTGCCTTGGAGAGTAGCTATGCCAAGACTTTGGGTAAGTCAGATAAGGACATCCAGGATAACGCAGAGCTGTTCGAATCACTTACAAAGAACTTGGCCGATGTTGAAGCTGCTTTTACTTCGTTCAATGGCACCATTAAAAGCATCAAGCTGGCAATTGAGCCTAGGCTTAGTCCCCATTTGGATCCAAGTAATACCCACCGAAAATTAAATGGAACCTGATTTGGATCCATCCAGATGTTTATTTGAGATTTGATTTGATTTATCTATTTTGTTTGAACCCTATAGTTGGATATAAGCCCACCACATTATAGTAAGTCCATCATGCCCATTGTCTTTTGTGCTCAGGACCCACCACCAAAAAAGGAGCCCAAGGCCAAGGCCAAAGCGAAGGCAATGGCATAGGCTTCATGCAGCGGTGGATTTTGCGATCTGATGCGACCTTGTGAGCCGGGTGACTTTTGAAAGGGGCCAGGGGTACAAGCCAAATATACCCAACACTTCCAAACCACCAAGCAAAAAGTATGACCCCCTATGTTATAAGATTATCGTATTCTTTGCATTGAGGGTTGACAATGGGATCATCATCTGGAAATAACCTGGGAACCTAATCTAATAATGTTTGTTGTTATTATATGTTATTATGTCTATTTAAATTTATTCCCAAAAATCTGCTGGGTTTTACAACATAGATTCACCTTATTACATTTCAATTCCAAGTCCCTCGAAGCTTTGTGGCGAACCCCTGGCCAGAAAAGTGATACGCAGTTTGCCAAGTGTGGAGATTCATCAACCAAGGCTTAGTCATGTGTGTGGGATGTCACATGAGGAGTTCAATGAGAGGGCCCACAATCTTTTAATCATGAATCATAACCAATTGAGTTTTAGTAGATACTTGATGTAACCGCATGTGGCTCACTCATTTGGTGATCCAGCAACTCAATCGAGATGAGCACCATGGCCATGTCCAGCTGTCCAGCTCCTTGCATGTCACATGTGCCACTTTTGATGGCCAATTCTTGTGGTTGAACTTCTCCTTTTCGCATTTGCTCTTGAGCTTATCTTGGTGCCATGGCGGGCCATGGCAAAAGTGCCACAGGATTTTGTCGCTCCTCATGTGACTGTCTCATCGGCTTCGGGGTTTGCAAATGCATCCGTGTTCAGCTGGTGGTGCCGATTTGATTCACTATGATTAATTATTTTTTCCCCAGACTCCAAGGCTTCCCGACTTGATTGCCTAAACAGGTTTCATTAAATGGAACATTCTCCAGGCACTATAGCTGAGAAAAGTGCATTTGACCAGAGGTGAAACCATCTCTCAATACAGTAGCCGATTTACAACATGTGTCTTGGTGCCGGAACCACTCCAGTTGAAAAGGAAAACTTAACTACCAAGTATAGGGGCGGCTAGTGCTGTGATTTTGGTGGTTTCCTGGAAATCCAATCCAAACCAATCATTAAATTTTCCCTGGTGATGTGTTGCAATGGGCTGTGACCACCTGCACTTGAACCAATAGTAGATTGGAAAACATATGAGCACCATATACCCTAAAGCTTATATTGGGTTTAACTAATATGGTCCAAATGTTTGATGAGGGGATGATTGGGGTCAAGGAATTGGTTATCTTGTTGGGAAAGATTTGAATCCACACAGATTCTAGCATAGGTTTATTGTTTAATAAGTCTATGTGGTATGTGGCATCAGCCCCCACGCAGGTCACTTGCGGCCACAATGCAAGACTTCGCCATTGACGGCCTTTGTTCTACAGGAGAGCGGGCTTGGCAGTGTTGCTTGGCTGCTCAATTGGAAGTGGTTCCCAGCAGTAGTACTGTGTTGATTTGAATCTCAGGTGATATGAGGGGGCCATGTGATTGCAAAATTCTTTCCAACTCAGTGGTGGGTTGTACCAGTAAATTTGGTTTCTATGGTGTGGTTATGGTTATATGGTGCTGGGGGAAACTCAGGATTCCTATCGGAAAGCCCATGAGATTGTCAACCACGTGCGAAAGGACATGGGTACAAAACCATGCAACACATATTATATTGATTTGCATTGCTAGATCTGCATTCATTAATGATTGATGTATTTTGTTGAGAAAAACTATCCAAACAGTTTTTTTTACTTGGGGGTGTCTGGCCCCGGCAGCAGGAATTTGAGTTTCAGGGCTATGAGCTGAATGGGCCAGCAGCTGACCTATTCAAAGCTGGTGCTTCTGGACGCCATCCCAATAATGTCAAACGTGACTGGTTCCGAAAGATGGGGGACATGAATCATGATCATCGGGTGGCTTGGTTTTTGAAATTGGTACAATTTCACCTAATATTTTACCCCGAGATGTGTGATATATTGGGTTATGATAACCATGAATTTCTTTTAACACTTTGAGTTGGGATCCGAGTACAATAAGGCACCAATTCGCTGGGCCAGTGTTCCTCTTTGGGAGTATGGTGAAGATGGATGGGATGATAGCCCCAAGTGTCTTGGAATTTCATTTGTTTAACAACATGTTTATTTTTTTTTATGTAGGAGGTATGAAAAAAACACATATGTTTCATTTGCCGAGGGTCCCTCTGATTAGTTGAGGATGATGCCATACATTTGCCTTGATGAAATTATTCCATGGCTGATGCATCGCCAGCTATGGCCTGACATCCCTGATCGAAAAATCAAGCGGTACTGGAACCACATCAAGGAAGTCAAATCTGATATCTCTGATGTTTCTCCAGATGGTTGCCACCATCCTCTCTGGGTATGGGGTGATGCAGCCAACTACAGCAAAGATCAAAATATTATTGTGATTTGCTTTGGAAGTGTACTGGATGATGAAACTGATTCCATTAGAAAATGCTTTCCCCTGGTACTTTGCAGGGAGGAACCTTGAATGCATTGAGCTGTACATCTATTTAATTCCAATTTGATGTTGGGGTTCATGATGATTTCCCTGGGTCTTCCAATATTGCCACATTGTTCACTAATGGTATTACGTGCCTGGCCCAGGAGATGAGCTGTGGATTTGAAACTGTCCGAGCGTACCTGGAACCTGTCCCTGGTCTGCAAAAAATCTGTCCTGTATTGGTCTGGAGGCTCGGGAGAAAGATCAGCATAAAGGCCTTGACATAACATGGGGTGGAGTCAGCAAGGATAATGTCAGTATAATATATATATTTATTTATATATCGTTGGACCCATGCTGGATGGCTATATTACTTTTATGTCCTGGAAAAAAATGAATTTTGGGCTATATATAAACCACCACAAATACCTCCCAATCATACCAAGGAATTACCTTGGATCCATGAGCCTATGGGGACAACCTGGAACTAACTAACAATTAAAGATATGATAATAATGTAACCAATATCTTGAAGATACACATTCTCAAACCAAGCCCATGGTCCACTGATGAGGTGATGAAATCACTCGAGCTTCTCTATGATGGCATCCGATGCAATGGGAAGACTCACCGCTTCTGTTTGACGGAAATCAGGGGTGATTGGAAGTTTCAAAAGGCCTGGCTGGATTGGTCCTATTTTTTTGGGTTGACTAAATTCATACCGAAATGGTGTTGACTTTTGGGGTCTATTGCCAACCCTGCAGGAATGGCTAAACCTCAAAAATTTTTTCCAGTGCAAACTGATCTGCCATGAATGCAAAGCCGACAGCAAGACCTACATGCGACCAACTTTGCATGCTGAAAGATATTCAATTGATGAATTCTGGGATCATTGCCTCAAACCAGGACCTGTTTGTTCCCTGGCCTGGATTTTTTTTTACTTAGATCAGTACGAGCTTTATTTTACCACCAGTTTTTTAAGGTCATATCACTAAGGGGCATGTGTTCGTCTAGACAATTGCCCACTAGGTCCTCTGCTACAAATTCCCCGCTTCCGGATGTCTATGATAAAATGGTGTGCTATGCATGTGATCCATCTTGGATGTGACTTATGGCTGGTTGGCAATGCTCTCAAAAGTTTATTGCTGGATACAACTTTGTTTGGGGATGGATGTGATGATGAACGTCTTCTGAATGCCTGGCATGAGTTTAAACAATGGGCTCGGCAAAACAAATGGCAGCCACTTGGGTTTACAGATTTGGCAGTAATTACTACTGGATGTCTTTTTTAGATTGAATTTGATGACCACAAACTTCAATTTTTACTTTCCCCCTTTTTTTGACGCAGCATGAGTTCTCCTGATTTGGGCCCTTGAACAAATGGGAATTTCTAAAGGGGTTCATCAAATCAGAACCCAGGCACTCCATGGGGAAGTTCGCAACAAAAACCATTACAAGCCGTCAGCATCCCTATCCAGAACTTCAATCAAAAGCCTGGAATGTTACTAGAATGCAATGTGTGTTTTCATTTTTGGTATTTGCCCCAAGTAATTTTATGGGTCTAGGCATGCAATCCCCCACAAAAGATGAAATTGTCCAGTACCCTTCAATGACTACACCAGGCAAGAGTCTGTGTGGCATGGATGGCAGATTTCTTGGACAACCTTTGCGGAGAAGAACAATACCAAGGCCTCTCTGTGATGAGGGATTGCTTGTGCCTCGACTTACAATGGGATGGCACTGGCGGTTATATCCCATAATTACACTATCACACTACTTATACTATCTTATATTTATTATCACAAATGATGGTCCACATGGAAGAAAATGTTGGGAAGATGTAGTCCCTGTCTCTTGAACGCCTTCTCCGGTTCATCCTCCATGGGCAATCGAAAAGGTTCCACAAGTGGTAAGAGCCCTGTTTAACTCGCTCTGCGCCATATCTTGTCGCACGACAGTGGCCCACTGGTGCCCTGAAAGTCTTCCAATGCCAGCCACGGGGCAAGGACGGACCATGACCCACACATGTTGGCCTTTTACACCAGGCGTTGGAGCCGTGACTTTTCAAGAGTCAATGCCACTAGCCATTGACATAGCTTCATGGTAGTCTGCCCGAGCACCATCTTGTAAACTGCTCATGCCCCTTGCCCCCAATGGAAGAAGCTGGGATCGATGCGATCGCCAGTTCATGGGGCCTCCAACCACAGTTTGGCTGCCATCTTGTTAGCCAATCAGCGCTGCTGATGTGATGTTTTCTCAGAACGATGAATCCAGCTAGTCCTTTACCCTCAATCCTGACCCTGGGGCCCCGTTCCAGATCTTTGGTATTACCTGCATGGGTGGAAGCGCTCGAAGTAAGGTGCTCCATGGCTGCTTTTCATCGAACCTCAGAGGGCAGCGGTCGCTACCTGGATGTGGCAACAGCCAAGCTCTTACAGGACCAATCGGTGGCTTGGTGAAATGTGGCACAAAACCAGGTTTGTTCAAAAGCCTCTGTGTCCCCAATTTTATTAGATAGATATAGTCAACTTAAAACTTGTTGAGGCTTGGGGCAATCAAACCCTATCAAAACCATATTAAAACATGCCATATATACTATGGCTGTGTGGGATAATTCACTTTAAAGCCATCACCTCGGAAAGCCTTGAGGATGCATGCATTACTGCATATATCGATTTGGCCAAGAAAGCCCTGGAAGATGGTCGTTTGATGTGGCCAGCTCGCCCAAAGTGGCATGTGTCTAGACTAAAATTGGTTTCCCTTTTTTCTTCAAGTTTTTCTTCATGTTCAGTGAATGCCTGCTTCACTGCTATTTAATTATGGCCTCTTTGATCTAAGGGCCTTCAGGAAATGGTCCGACAGCAATCGAGTGACAGTGCCTAAGAGAATATATATACTTTTTTTTTACCCAAACGATACCTGCAAGTGGAATAGTTGGGTGCCTGCTTTTCATGTAGCACCATCTCTTTGTCAAGCTAAGGAATCAACTGCAGGAAATTCCATTCTTTTCATACTGAAGATTTCATTGGCCGCATCAAACAGTGCTGTGCTGCATCTAAGCCCCAAAATATGGAGATGATGGCAACCATTCGATGGTACACTGGGTTTCTTACATGCACATAAGGGCTTATGGATTGAAGTGTACTTGGGGAAATCATCTTAACCTATTATCCTGAAAAACTTGTTTCTATCTAGCCTCATTTGGGGTACTGAAATGAGTTGGTCAAGTTGGTCCTATTTCAATAACTGGACAGCTTGATTCTCTTTGTCAATCTAAGGCTGACCAACAAAAACGAGGTGGTTTCGTTCGATTGCTGAGACCCAAGCGAGCTGCAAGGGATGTTGAAAAGGGGGCTGCCACAATGTGCTTGATGAAGTCATTGGCAGAGCGGTTGGTTGGACATGATGGGTTGGAATGGATCAAAATGACCACCTAGAGGGTCAGTTTGGGGTACATTGGTGTAATTTGGTGTATTTATCTGAAAATTAGGTATGATGAAAAATCTATGATTTTCCAACTTGTTCTGAGAATGGACTTGGGTACAAACTGTCTCCCACAATGGTCTTCCAGCCCAATCACTGTCTAAGACAATACTTGGGATCCATAGGGTATAATATAAAGAGAGAGGGAGTAAAACATATTATACACAAACTATGTACATACACGCTATGTATACATACAATGTACATTTATTTATTTCGCATGTATCGTGAAATATATGTGATGTGGATTTGATTGGGATTTAGACATTGGAACGTGAATATATATATATATATATATGATAAATACATTTAGATAAATAGGTAAAAGTATAATAAAGAAAATACATCTGGAAATTTGTACGGACATGTCGCACATGAATGATGAATTTGTCAACAAATCGGGAAAATTCATGGACATCATGCAATTTATGGATGATTTTCCCATTTCAATTCCCATTTAGTTCGGGATCCCAGCCAGCAATGTTTGATGACACCATAGGGTATATTCATGAATATCCCATTATTGTCCCATGAATATGTCATGAATATCTTGTTATTTAACCATATGAGTTCCATTATCCCATTGTTCTCCCATGAATATTCCATTATTGTCTCATTATTATCCCATTATTATCCCTAACAAAACCAGATTAAACCACTATTTATAGACACACTTTCCATGAAAACACCTCCATTTATCGTGATTTTCCCATCGCTTTTCCCTATAGTTCACCTTGATTCTCCCATCAAAACCTCGATTTTTGCTGGATTTTCCCATGTTTCCCATGGATTTTCCCATGCCCATTCGAGGTGGCGGATTCAACATCCAGCTTTTTGGAGAGCCTTCTTTGAGCCCGAAATCTTGGAAAACAGGGGAAAAACCGAGAAATCTGATATGGCAAAAGATGATCTGATCTAATGTGGTTGAGTGATGTCTCAAATCTCGGAATTCGAGCAAAAATTGTGGAAAACAATAAAAAACACTCACCATTTTAAGGGATGGAACTACATGTAAAAAACAATGGTTTGCGGTCGAGTCATGGGAGGTATAAAACCAACAATAGCAGGACATATTCATGGGATGTTTGCAGTATCTATATCGCTATACAGGAAAACAAATATATATATATATACACATCGTCAAGTTCAAAAACATGGTGTCATATCTACCGCACATGTCAATGTCACGTAAAAGAGCCTAAGGTTTATCATCATGATCGCTTCATTAGTTTGGATTCTGACCCATTTTTGCCTAGCCCAACTAGCCCAAACCCATTGCTCTTGGGGATGATTGGACGTGTTGGACAAAACTCCGCAAGAATGCGGTGTCAAGACGTGGTTGGTAATCTCATACTGTCATGTTTGACTACTGTCCAGAAATCGTGGTTACTTCCATAATGTACATATATATATATACATTACACACACAATATATATATGTCCAGCCCAGTTGGAGTACTTGCCAAGCCCAAGCAGGGTTATCCTAGGCCATTATATAACCAAATACTACCTGGGATGATCCTCCAGTTGACTGAGGGCCCTTGATCGACACTCAAGCATGGCTTTGCCATCATTCAAGCCTACTGGATCTATTGGGTCCCTATGATTGTGATTCTCATCTACCCTCTGGTAAACTAACATAGCTATTGAAAATGGCCATTTATAGTGGATTTACCCATTAAAAATTGTGATTTTCCATAGCTATGTTAGTTTACCAGAGGGTAAATTGAGGTATCATGCGCCGGTGATGATCAGACCTGGCAATGGGGATACGACATGTGCCACTCGCAGACATACCGCAACCCTTGACCTAGGCGTTTGGGAGAACTGAAGGATCAGGCGGAACGGGAGTTGCTGCTGGGTACCTTGATCCTCGAAGTATCATCAAACATGTATTGAAGTTTGGTTGAAAGCTGATGTTTATGCAAGGTAGGGCATCCTAGATAGCTAAGTTGATTTGTAATTAGGTTGTACAATGTTGTACAGCTATTGTTTATAGTCGATACACACATATATACCTGTATAATCCTGTATATATATACGTATATATATATATATAGGTATACATATATATATTTACTTTATTTATGGGGTTTATAAACCAACTCGGGGCTACCATCTTGTGGAGCTAATCAGGGATGGTACAGTTGGGTTCTCCCATATCAATAATGAGTGTTGATGTAGTAGTGGGGGTGAGATTGATTAGTGACCAGGGGTGTATGCTTCTGAAACCCGGTTTTTAACGGGCTTTTAAAAGCCGGTGTTGGAACCTCAAAACAGTCAAAAGGCGACATGCTTTGGCAAACGCGGCGATGAGGAAAAGAACTCCAAAAACCAGCAGTGTGCATGTGTTTTTTGGATACGCTCTGCCGGTTTACAAATTCATATGTGGAATGCAACACGAAGAATATGCAATGTTTGCATGTGTTGTTTCAATTGCAGTATGTACATCAATGAAGACACAACAGTTTGTTCTTCCATAGATGAAGATACATTTGCAAGGCAATACATGCGATTCGTCCCCACCAATGATGTTAACTTTGTTGTTGGATTGAAATTGTTGAGTGACTCACGAAAAAGAGAGGAATACGTCATAAATAGATATATAAATGACAATTGATCCAACAAAAAAATCACATATGTCATTAATCATGCAGATTCATTGAGGACTACTGGTCCACTGGTTGTGTCAAGTTGTCGTCCCAAACAGAAGTCCCAGATTTCAAATCATGGGAATCAACGAATCAAGACCGACCAACTGTCGTGATTTATCCATTAAGATCTTTACTATGATATATATATATAATTATATATATATATGTATATATATATATATGTATGACATAAATATATATATATATATATATCATGGGTTGAAAGATAACTATGATGTGAAGTAAAGATCTTTACCCATGAACTGTTTACAGCATCAAACCAACGAACAAATATGATACTCTCCGAGTCTCCGGTCATCAAACATGGCAATTGAAAAAGCCCCTGTATTTTTTTGTGATAGAGGGGTCCTCCCGTTCACGTTGCGACGTCACTGCAATGATGGGAATTGGATGGGGGTAACTACCCCAGAATGACCGAATAGTGATTGGTGAGTAAGTGGTTATATAGTTCAGTCAGAATTATGTTCAGTGATTATGGTTCACTATCATTGGTGGTTATACAATGTTATAAAATGATTGGTGATTTATGTTGATCATGCATTGTATAACCAAAGCCTGCCCAACATTTCTCCCCGCCCGGGAACTCATCCAGGTCAATGTACGAGAGGCCATCCAAGTTCTAGAAATTTCAGCGACACTGAGGCGGGAATTATGTCCATCTTCCGGTGTCATCAAAAATGGCCACTGGGGAAACGATGAGAAAATATTGCAAATCCATGGAAATCCACTGCACATATCTGCAAATACTATGAGAAAATATGGCAAACTATGAAAAAGCAATGAAATTTGTAGTGGATTTTCATTGATTTTTCATAGTGGTCCATTTGTAGTGACCATTTGCAGGAAAATCCACACAAACTATGACATACTATGAGAAAATATGTCACTGGAATGGACCACTAATCGATATTTTTTTTCTTCTAGCAAGGCATATTGGAATATGTTTGGGGATGTCATGGATTTGTTTTTGGGGATGGTGATACCGTGGTTTCTTTTGAATTTTGAATTATGGGATATTTTGTGGATATTTTGTGGATATGTTGGGTGGATTTAAGAAACTAACAGTAACTAACATGGGAATATTTTCCAACCAGACTTGGGACACAATGGGGATATAATGGGATACAATGAGAGCCAAACAACATTTTTTGCTGCGTCTGAGATAGGTAAAGCCCCCAATAGCCCCCAAATGACTATTGTTAATAGCGAACAAAAAACAAAGTGGATTTTGAGGTATGTATATACCCTCTGGTAAACTAACATAGCTATTGAAAATGGCCCATTTATAGTCGATTTACCCATTGGAAATTGTGATTTTCCATAGTTATGTTAGTTTGCCAGAGGGTAGATTCTTTTTGAACACACCCAGAATGTGTTGGGGATGGGTTGAGACCACCAATCAGCTATGTTTGTTTGTCAAAAATGGTTTGTATTGCCATTGGCAAATGGGAAACTTGAGGTTTTAATCTGTTGGAATTGGGGGTATTTTCATCAATTTTCAGGCATACCCTCCGATAATCAAATGTGGCAATTGACCCCACCGTTTATAGATGATTTCCCTTTAAAACCTGCATTTATACGGAATTTGGCATTGCCGCGTTTGATTCCCAGAGGGTACGTGGTTTTTTTCACCATGGGATTCAATGGTTCAAGACGGGGAGGGAAGCAGCACAATAGAAAGAAACAAAAACAGGGTGTCGGGATCTATACCAGAAATCCAGAAAATCTGAGAATGGGGATGATTTTATGTGTGAATTGAAGCGATAATTCATTAGACACCAATAAACAAAAACAGATGAACGCGGGAATCTAACCTATAAACATGTGGCTTGAGCCAATAAAAACTGGGAGGAAACCACCAAGGTGGGAGAAAAATCAGCAAAACTGGGAGATCATCTCGGTCACCAGTTGTGAATTTGTTTACGCTCCCGTTGGCTAGTAATGGATGTATACAGTATATGTATGTTCGGCATATGCATGTACAGATGCACACATATCTCTGAGAATGTAGAGATCTTATCTACATTATCATCCATTTTTTTGTGTAATATGTATGTGTATATATATATATATCCCATATTGCAACAATTCAATATGCCTAAACATACAAGGTGTTGCCCCAGTTTGTTAGCTAAGTTGATTTATAGTTAGGCGGACGGATGGGTATGTTGGGGGGGAATATATCGAACTAGTTTACTGGGTTTAGCCAACAAATATAACCTGGGGAGCACCACCAACAATCCTAGTTATATTGCAAGTTTATTAAAGTTTGGATATATATATATATATATATATAGTCATCATAGTATAATGAATATTGTTTTATATATGTATATAATACATATATATATACACACGCGATTATATACATACACATTGTATTATACAATACGTTTCTCACAGTATGTATACCCCAAGTTTCTCAATTTGGGCGGGACAGCTGGGGACCAGACCAGGCTGGTGGATTTGGAGTTGGTGAATGCCTCAGTGGAAACGTTGCTGACGGCGGAGGACGAGGAGCCAAATGGCTGATTGGTTGGAGTTGGGCTACCAAAGAACATTGTGGGCTTATAATGGTCTGAATGGTGTGTTTTGTGTTTTTTTTAATCTATCTATGATATATGTATTGATTTGTTTTGGGATTCATTTATCTGGTTATTGGATCAAGATTCATCAGACATGTATATATATATATATCTATCTACATGGTACATATTTACTATATATATATATATTATATATTATATATTATATATATAATATTACATATATATATATATACGACCTATATGTACATATATTGTCCCCAGCGTTTCTGCGCGGCAGGACTTGTTGGATCTGCCCCAGAGGGACTTGGCAGAGGCTGCAGAGGCGGGGAGCTGAGTTTCTTGTGGTGGATCACAGGGCCAGTCATGGGGATTCAACCCCCAAATGGAACAGACAATATATCCTCTGGTTATTGAACATAGCCATGGTATAGATGACCCATAGAAATAGATGGTTTACCGAACTTAAAAATGGTGATGTTCCATGGCTATGTTAAATAACCAGATGGTATAGATATATATATATATATATGCACGCCATGAATTTATGTATATGTATATATATATATATATACATTTAAGTTCACCACCCAGGCGGAACTATGCTGCAACTCCCATGTTTTTTTTTAACCATCATGCAGACATGTTGTGAAGATTCTCTGTTTTTTCTCGTATGAAATCAAGTAACACCCAAACCGTAAACCCTAAAACTAGGCCTAGAAGCCTAAAACATCCTAAAACCATCTAAAACCAGCAGAAACCTTAATCTTTGGTTGTGTGTTCATTTACTGTAAGGGGTGTTTCTGTAATGCCGCCAAAGCAATAGATCATCCCCAGTCATTACCATAAAATCATAGGTGATATGTTTACCATTCCCAGTCATGGGTGGTTCATGAGATTGTTTTACCCACATTACTATGATTATCATAGTATATCATAGTCTATCATAGTATACCACTATTATTTTTCTAATCCTATCCCAATATGATCCCATTATGATACCATCATGATCCCATGATTACACCCTATTAACCCGTATAAAACCATTTTATCTCAGACATATCCTAAACCCTACCGCCTTGCGCCACGCCACTGGGCGCCAAGGGCGCCCCAAGCGCCCCCGCGCCTTGTGCCCCGCTCAGGCTTTGGCTGTGATTCGACCTGAGGCTCTCGCGCTTCATGCTGCAGAAGTAATGATTCATGGTTGATATATATTATATAAATCATATAGTATACATTATATACATATACATATATGTACATATATATATATATATACATATACATATATATATATATATACACATATGGCAATACTATGGGTTTTAACCATCAATCAGTCACCAACAAGCAAACGGCATAATGGGTTGTGATAAAATTATACCGACCTGACTGCGACGTCAATGAAATGATGGTCAGGATCGAGGTAGCTTGTCCAAACTTGCTGAACTGATCAAGTTTCTCAATTATCATTATTTAACCATGTAAAGGTATATAGTATATACTATATATATATATATGTATATACAAAAAGTGTAAGCCCCAAAAACAGGGGTGCCCCAACCCATAGGTCCTGTACATGATAGCCATCAAGGGGGGAAAAGCAGTAATTCTTGCCTTCCTACCATTTTTTTTGCCCGTGGTACCTGGGGCGGATGGCAAAATCCTAATCATTTGCCACTACTTTAAGGGTTGCTATCATTATTTAGGTTGCAATGAAAGAAACAAATATCGGGAACTATGACAAATCCAAGGATTGAGTTCTATTTGCAATGTGTTTGTCCACATTGCTCGGTAATGCCATCTAATGCCCTTGTTTGCACATCTCAGTAGTTGCCCAACTCTGTTTCTGCATTTTTTGCCCGACGCATTTGCACACAAGTACTGGTATTTCCAAAGACAACAGAACACAGTCTTACTTTGTGGCGAAGCACCCAGGAATGGACAGTGGCTTCAAAAAAAATGAAAGTCTCATCAGAACTAACTATAACCAACTGTGGCAAAATCAACTGGGTAATGTCCAGAACTGGGGCGAACTAACTCTAACCAACCCAGCAGGTACCCCTCCCCACCGCCATCGGAGGCCATGAATGTGGTGCTACGCGTCTTGGCCACCCGGGCCCACAGGTGCAACTGGAGCCCGTGGCTTTGGTGAGTCATTAGGTTTTGTTGTTTTTCGTTAAATGGTATTTCTTATGGCATACAAAGATGAAAAATGTAATATATCTAGAATTTATGATGTAGTCATCAGTTTTTTTTCGTCGTCATCATATTTAGACATATTTAGAAGATATGCCAATTTTTCAGACAGACCCATTTGTGTGTATGAATATAGATTGAGAATGATTAAAAATGATTGATTTATAGCGATAGATGAGATTGAGATATGATGTATACATCTGAACGATGAGCATATGACTTGCAATCCGTTTTTGCTGGTTGATTTTGTCAAATATGTAGTGTAGGAGGTATACAATATTGAGTGAATGGCTAAACTCATGGAATATTCAAATGGAAAACAGTGAGATTGTCATTGAAGGAAGAAACACACAATCATGGTTAACTGCAGGGGTGAAGTTTCTTTTGTTTTGTTTCTAGGCAGGTTCCTGCTTGTTGGGTAGAACTACATGTTTGTCTCGTCGCGTGCTTCTTGAAACATGTTGTCAACCATGATTTTTTTTGTATATATTCCCCGTCTAGGGTAAACTCAGGACGTCGTTCTCTTCGTCAGAAATGCCTGCGAAGAAAAGGAATAACTCACTGCTTGGTGAACCCAACTATCGGTTATTTCCATTGGTTCGAGCAGATTACAATTCAGAGACGCGTGTTTTCGAACACTCAATATTTTGCAGTTTAAATATCCATATATATATATATCAATTTAAGATCATGGATATCCCCTCTGGTAAATTAACATAAACCCTAAAAATGACCAATTTTAGTGGTTTCACTAATCTTCCAACCCCTGTCTGGCAGGGTCTATGTTAATCTACTGGAGGGTAATATAATTAAAAATGTCTATACAATAATAATATGTATATATATAATGGTTAATTTCATGGTTAATCTATGGTCAAATTAACCATAGATTAACCATAGATTAACCATTAGATATGTGTCATTTCCATGTTCACCGTTTTGTCATAGGCTGCGCGCCGCGCAATTCTCCAAAGTTGTCAGCCTTGCGTCTCAGGCCTTGGCGCTCCAGCATTTGCGATGTTGGATTGTAAGAGCTATAACATTGGGAAACACATGAGGACGATGGGGCAATATATATGTGTGTATTTATAATTATATATATATATTATATATTTTAATAGTTATATACAATGATTTATATATATATACACACTTTATTAACAATTATTTGCATAGTCTTTTCATCTTCCCTTATAACATTGGGAAACTATACCAAGACATAAGGGATAGAAAGAATGGAACATTCGAAATCAGTAAATCATGTTGGAGCGGAGGGTTGCAGCATATAGGTTTGTTTACTGGATAGAAAATGGAACGCATGATAGCCTATGACACCTATGACGTGGGAACTAGTTACACCATCCAAAAGCGAAAACAGTTTGGTGAATCATGGTGAATCACTAGGATCTGACGATGTTTGACTGATTTAGCTGGTCAACGCGGTGATTTTGCTTGGCCAACATGGGAAATTCTCAATCATCCCACAAGTCAATGTAAAGAATTGTTTGATATCGTTTGTTTTGGGTCTTGGGAGAAATAAGACATCGGTTGCATTCGTTTGCTGCATTGTTGAAGAACCAAACAAGCCGCACTTGCAGCGCTTGTCGAAGAACCAAGTCACTCTCATTGCACTGCCGAAGGATCGGATCTGCTCCCATTTCTGTTTGCTGATGATATTGGTATCATAATGGGATCATAATGGGATAATATTTGGGATAACAGGGTTTTATACGGGTTAATAGGGTGTAATCATTGGATAATGATGGTATCATAATGGGATCATATTGGGATAGGATAACCGGGATAATAGTGGTATACTATGATAGACTATGATATACTATGATAATCATAATGAAGAAATCATCCAGATTAAATTCGCAACATATTTGGCGTTGTCAAGAAAAATGTTTGGAAACCCCTCGTTCCAAGAGATTCAAATATCATTGTTGATCATGCTTCCGGATGAAAAGGCAAATCAAACATGCCCCATAAAAGGAGGCTTGATGGGAGCATATACAACGAATTAATTACATAAATGATGGATTGTCCATTTCCATGTTACTACCAGAGGGTATGTTCATTGACAGTCCATTGTTCTCCAATTAATATGTCCATCAATATTCCATCATTATCCCTATTACCCTCTGGTAAACTAACATAACTATTGAAAATGGTGATTTATAGTGGATTTTCCCATTAAAAATGGTGGATCTTTCCATAGTTTTTTGTATGTTTACCAGAGGGTAAACCATACAAAAGCCATGGGGCTTGAAACTGCGATTTCGCACTAGAGAACGTCCCAGATCTTTTCATAAGATCAACCCCGATCTCCCAGGCGAAGAGTTCCGAAAGCCACCATCTCGCAGATGCCTTTTGCCGCGCGCTGGTGGAACGTCAGGACATCGAAAAAAAGTCGATGTTGGAGAACAATCCCTATAACTTGTGTGATTTTATAATATTCTATACATGGATATCGATGATATATATATATATATATATGATATATGATGATATATGGCTTGTTGATTCATATTGATTCATGGTTGTTCACATTCCATTCTCATGGCGGGATTTCTCCCATGCAAATCCGATCTTCAGGATGCGTCCAGTCAGTCCGGGAGGCCCAGAGGTAAAACAAACTGGCGTATGACCACTGCAAAAAGCCCATTTAAAAAAATCGGGTGATAGAATCTGAAGTGTGGTTATTTCTTGATTATAGTGCAGGTGTTATGTTATGTTATGTTTTGGTATATGAGAATTGCAACAAAGCCATAAGTTGGGATATAAACCTGACTAGAACTATGGTCGTATCACCACTTATTGTGGTAATTTCCGCAACTTAATTTTACCAACCATCAATAGATTGGAAAACCAACAAGATTGGAGAATCATCTCCAAAACGAACAATTTAGTGAATGTTTGGTAAGATTTGGTAAGTGTGTTGGTTTTCCAATCCATTCATTAATTCTTGGTGAATGTCGGTTGAATCGAAGATTGTTGGCGATGTGCATGAAAGGATGTGACATCTCACCAAATTTTGAAGAGGTTTTTTGCGAGTAGGTTGGTCCAACAAAACTTATGCGGCAAGGAACGTGATGAAATAGGCGTTACTTTCACATATTTGGTTCCAAATAGTACATAGCTACTGTACTAGGGGGTGATTTTTGAAGCATCAAACTTCGAACAAGCCTTCTTTTGTGCTTGCCCGATAAGAACACAGCAGATTGACCCCGAAATCGAGTAAAGCTACCTCTTGCCAGAGAAAGTCCTGCAACTACGTGACCACCTGTTCAGGGACATCACTGAAGAGCCCCTGGGTATCAAGGGCATTGGGAGCCATCTTGCCAGCAAGGCTGGTATTCAAAACATGATGTTTTGTGGATGTTTAGTTTTTCCCTTTAGTTTCTATATTCCCTGAGGCTTTTGTATTCCCTAAATTCCCCTAGTCCAAAACTATGCAACTGTTGAGAGACATGGGTGGATTACCCCAATGTCTCTCAACAGTAACGCTCGGCACTGTTGCTGGATTTAATCAAGTAGAATCGCCAATTATCGTGGGGTTTTACCAATACAATCTACGGGGTTACCAAAAGGTGGCTCATCGATATGGCCATGGCTATCATGATGTGGAAATGCTGATGGAACTCGGCTTGGTGCTGAGGGACTTGACCTTGGCGGCAGAGACGACGGCCCAATTGGTGCCAAAGGCCTTGTACAGGCGAGCCATTTTGGTCTCGACGGAGAGTGGTGGGGTATGGTGGGGTAGCGTAGTTTATCAAGTTGTTTTCATGTCTCATTTATTCTCATTTACGAATTTTATGTTCAAAGTAAATAGCATTAAAAAGCAGCGTCTGGGTAAATGATGACATGGATTGGGTTGTCCGAAGTGCTGTTTCAAGACAGCTGGGGCGTGGGATTTTGAAAGCACTGTTTGAGTATTAGTCTTCGCATGTCTTCGCTAGGTGAGTAGAGATATGTAGAGATATTCCTTGCAAATTGATGCAAATTGTAGTTGGGTAGTCGGGAATTGTTTTTGGTGCCCTTCAAGGATCTGTGTTGTGATAGAGTCTCATTCTAGCCCAAGAGGCTGCATAGATCAAACAGATATCCTGATATCCAACAGATTTCGCATGCCTGGGACCCTGTGGCACCCTAACATCCTGAACATTTCCCCATTAACATACATTGTTAGGCATATTTTCCAGTACTGAATCGATTTCCTGTTTTCCGTGTCCATCTCTGGAGGGGATTGTCGTTCATACCGTGCAGGTTGGAGCCCTCCCCATGCGGTTTGGAGCTTCTTTTTCAACATGCCGCGTGCGGTACCCCGGGGTACAAAAGGGGGGTGAAGTTTGAAGGGAGTGAGTTGAACATCATGATTACCATTGGATGGACTGCAACGCCTCAAACAGATGGAAGAATTCGAAACCTGGAAACTATGGGAAAACATCATCGCTACCATCCTGGAAAATGTTTTTTGGGTGGTTGCTCAGGCCCTACTCATTCAGCTGTTGACAGTCACAGTCTCAAAAAGTGTTGCGATCGGCCCGATCGGCGCCATGTTTTCTTCAGCCATGGATTTGTTTGGACTGGACGGCTGGAGGTATACATTGATTATATAGGTTAATGATGGTTAATGTACATTCGCATGTTTGGCGGTTCATGTATGAAAAGTGTGTGTGTGTGACAGTTGCACCATTTATCATTTACCATCCTCTACCAGTGGTCCAAACCTTCCAGATATATATCTTTTGCCAAAACATGGCATGACGTGATGCTAGTTCTGCATCCACCTCGTGAGTGCATGACGTCGATTTTCGGGTCAGACTCCCATCAGTCGATGCATCCATTTGGCTATGCAAAATGATCGCAGTTAGAAGTTGTTTCAATTTTGCCCATCCAGATGACAGTATAGATGACAGTATAGATGATATAGATGATATAGATGATATAGATGACAGTATACCGCATCCATCAGAAACCCTTTTCAATTCTTTCAACAAATGTTGTTGATGCTATAGACCACCTTCCAAGAATCCCCCTGCAGATTCTCTGTGCAGTCCCATCAACGTCTTTGGAAGCATCGGTTGTTTAGTTGAATCCAACTCCACATGAAAGCGTAGTGTTTGCTTTACCCAACATTGCATGGGGCACCTTCTTTGGATAAAGGGTGGTTTTCTGCTTCTTGTTGTCCTGCCATCATTGTGGGGAAAATCACCCTTTTGTGCAGGGATCCCCTCAGGAACTTGCTCTCAGGCGTCGTGTGCAAAGTTTCACACGCTTGAAATTGGAGCGGTTGGTCATGACCTCAGTGGATGAGCAGGACATCACTATAGACTATTCTTACCCTCCAGTACTCAAACCTGGCAATGGGAAATCCACGATGACTTTCAATTGCCATGTTTGATGACCGGCGGGTAACCATCTAAACATCATCGCAGTTGAGTCATTGAGATGGTTAAGATGCCGATCCCATGGTTGCAGATGTAGCTTCTAAATATTTAACATCGCAGTTTCAAGAATGGAAGCCATGGTCCATTTATATCCGTTGATGCTAAACCTGCATTGGTACCCCTGGTCCCCGGTCAGAGCTCCACATTTCCACGTCTACGAGGACAGCAACAGGATTTGTTGATGAATTTTGAGCATGTTGCCAATTCCTTATGTTACCATCCCCAACTGGTGATTAATGGTGATTAATGGTGATTAATGGTGATTAATGGTGATTAATGGTGATTAATGGTGATTAATGGTGCTTAATGGTGCTTAATGGTGCTTAATGGTGATTAATGGTGCTTAATGGTGCTTAATGGTGATTAATGGTGATTAATGGTGATTAATGGTGATTAATGGTGATTAATGGTGATTAATGGTGATTAATGGTGATTAATGGTGATTAATGGTGATTAATGGTGAATAATGGTGATTAATGGTGATTAATGGTGATTAATGGTGATTAATGGTGATTAATGGTGATTAATGGTGATTAATGGTCATTAATGGTCATTAATGGTGATTAATGGTGATTAATGGTGATTAATGGTGATTAATGGTGATTAATGGTGATTAATGGTGATTAATGGTGCTTAATGGTGATTAATGGTGATTAATGGTGATTAATGGTGATTAATGGTGATTAATGGTGATTAATGGTGCTTAATGGTGATTAATGGTGATTAATGGTGAATAATGGTGAATAATGGTGATCAATGATGATTGATGGTGATTAATGGTGAATAATGGTGAATAATGGTGATTAATGGTGAATAATGGTGAATAATGGTGATCAATGATGATTGATGGTGATTAATGGTGAATAATGGTGAATAATGGTGATCAATGATGATTGATGGTGATTAATGGTGATTAATGGTGATGAATGGTGAATGATTAGTGGTGATTGATTAATGGTGATTGGTTAATGGTGATTGGTTAATGGTGAATAATGGTGATCAATGATGATTGATGGTGATTAATGGTGATTGATTAATGGTGATTGATTAATGGTGATTAATGGTGATTAATGGTGATTGATTCATGGTGATTGGTTAATGGTGATTGATTAATGGTGATTAATGGTGATTGATTAATGGCGATGAATGGTGATTGAGGGTGATTGAGGGTGATTAATAAACATTCCCCAAGCGACTGGATGGGTAGTGGAAAATCATTTTTTTTTGCTATAAATGAAATAGCCAACCAGCCAACAAGCAAAAGATGACACTAGTGGCTCGCGGTTGGAAAAACCATGGGTATACTCATACCCCTGAGGTTTTGATTTTCTACTTTGGACTATCATGGACTATCAATGATTGACCCTGTTACAAAATCTGGGTTTCTAGCTTCAACTAGTATGGCTACCATCGATGATGAATCCAATGCAGAGGATGTCCAACGTCCATGTCCTGGAAAATCTGAAACTGAATAGAAATTTCCCTTCGGTGATCTAGAAAAAACATGCTAAATGAATGGCCGATTGGAGCACGCCACTGCAGCATACTGCAATGAATCATATGGCCGGCTGCAAGACCACGACAAGCAGATGTCCGAGATGCAAGCAGAGCAAAGGGCTCTGTGGCCATCCCGGGTATGGTTTGACAATGTTTGACACACGCATCGAGGGTAAGCCAGAAATGTTCAAAGGAGATCCAAACGAGTTCCTGGATTAATGGTGATTAATGGTGATTAATGGTGATTGATGGTGATTAATGGTGATTGATGACGGTGATGAATGGTGATTGAGGGTGATTAATAAACATTCCCCAAGCGACTGGATGGGTAGTGGAAAATCATGTCGTTTTTTTGCTATCAATGAAATAGCCAACCAGCCAACAAGCAAAAGAGCTCTCGGTTGGAAATGCCATGGGTATACTCATACTCCTGAGGTTTTGATTTTCTACTTTGGACTATCATGGACTATCAATGATTGACCCTGTTACAAAATCTGGGTTTCTAGCTTCAACTAGTATGGCTACCATCGATGATGAATCCAATGCAGAGGATGTCCATGTCCTGGAAAATCTGAAACTGAATAGAAATTTCCCTTTGGTAATCTAGAAAAAACATGCTGAATGGCCGATCGGAGCACGCCACTGCAGCATACTGCAATGAATCATATGGCCGGCTGCAAGACCACGACAAGCAGATGTCCGAGATGCAAGCAGAGCAAGGGCTCTGTGGCCATCCCGGGTATGGTTTGACAATGTTTGACACACGCATCGAGGGTAAGCCAGAAATGTTCAAAGGAGATCCAAACGAGTTCCTGGACTGGTGTTTCATCTTCAGGTTCTGTCATGAATGTGGCATTCAATGACCTGATGGAGAGGGCAGTTGTTGAAGTTTCACACCTTTGCCCAACGGTTGCCTGACAAGCACAGACCAAGCATTGTCGGGACAACGTATTCAGGGTAACACATTAGCATATGTTAGCATTCACCATTAAAAAAATCATCGAATCACATTAGCATATGGAAAATCCGTGAAAATCCACCATTATAGATCATCTATGATCATCTCCTAGAAATCCAATTGTAGTGTTTTCCCTTATTTTATCATATGTTTCTACGATTTTTCCCAAGAACACCTTACCAGTATTTCCAAACAGAAAAACGTTAAGGAAATCTCCACGTCTCCGGGTCGCCAGCTTCATGTCCTCAGGTCGCAGCGGCCGAGATGTGCGGCAAGACGCAGGTGTGTGCCCGGGAGACTGGAGATTAGAGGTGCCAAAGAAAATCGGTAGAGAAATGTATGGAAACAAAATTAAATACCAAAGTGTAATACATATATACAATTTCAAGTGATAAATTTGGTTTTGTAGATATATATATATAATTATACACATATAACATATCTTATAACTATTATAACATTATAATTATGATGACTAAATGATCTCATGGCTGGGTCTTTCTGAAAATGGGCTCCCCAAAAAGCCTGTAGGTTTCAATACTAAGTCATGGTCATCCCAGCAGCGGTGGAGATTTCCACCGGACGCTTGGAAGAGGGACATCCTCCTGATAATCACTACCAAATGGATGATGAATTATGATGTACGTTACAAGGTGGTGCCCCATAGTTAGCTAAGTTGGTTTATAAGTCCAATAACTAGGGTTGATTAGGGGGTTATATCTATAGTTAATGGGGATTATGAACCAACTTATAACTGGGGGGGCACCACCTTGTATATATTATATCTACAGTCTACAATTAGATACAACTATAAGCATATCATATCTGGACATACCTGTCCTTCAGTTTTAATGTTAGAGGATATGAGAATAGGCTATAAACGGGCTATAAATTCATTGTGAATGGAGAATAATGGTTATGTAATATTTTCATATATATATATATACAGTACTTGTATATATATATATATACATGCCTACGTTTAATGCATTTTTAGGGATATGAACGTCCATAGTTCCCAGCTATGCTGATGTGAGCGGAGGGGGGTACCGTATCGGGTGTTGACTTAAGCTCAAATGGGTATAAATGGGCACATGTAGACTTGTAAAAATGTCAATGCCTAACAAAAACGGCCATTTTTCTACTATTTTTGTATCCAAGATAATTAGTACAGGGGTACATTCAACAGAATGTAAAGCTGGATTTCCCGACTGCGTGTTCCGCACGCAGACGCATCTACACACAGTACGAGTATGACACTTGACTACCATCTCGGAGAACTTGGGATTGACACCACGAAACAACATGAAACAACCACAAAGAGCTTGTGCTGTTTGCTTGATGTTGTGCTAGCGATTCCTTTCCAACTAGGATATTTGTTGAACAAATGGTTCAACCATGCACTGAGGGAAGGAATCAGCATCAACAGCAATAACTGGGAGTCTGAACAGAAAATGATGGTGGAAAATCTCATGCCCCCAGGCGCTTCAACGGCTGCAGCAGCGACTGGAAGAGGACTGGCGGGGGATGAGTTTTGCCCTTTGGAGTTGTTCCTTCTACACACAAAATCAGTGGATAAATATACAGTTCTTGTCATAGGGCGGTTGTGGAATCCCCCACTATGATCATAATTTCGTCAACATGGAGGGACACGTTGAAACATATTGAAACATATTGAAACATATTGAAACCACTAACAAGATCACTTTCATCTAGCTTTCATATGACATCTTACAGTTCATTTCTCGAAGAAACATGGCATCAACAAGCCATTTTCTGGCGGATGATCTACCTCGTGGACATCTTTGGAGAAAATAAACCCAACAATTTGCTTTGGAAAACCACCATATTGTTTATAGGTAAAGCGTAAATCATCATAAATTATCGACTTTTATGGGACATTTTCGCTATGTTAGTTTATTTGAGGGATTTTGAGGGTATAGGAATGTATGGGATATGATTGCTGGTGAGGAATCCTTCATGATCGCAACTGCAGGTGCCCGATCATCGACTTTCGCCTTTGGAAAAATGCTGTCTGGAAACACTGGGCTGACTAGTGAATGGAAATGGGTAGAGTTTTTTGGCCATGGGACAGTATCATTCTATATACATCATGCCGGCTAAACAATCGAATGTCCTGATTCCAAAGAAAGGAGTTGATGTCAAATGAATCCAAACAATGAAATCGCGTTGCTAATGATTATAATATTGTTACACATTTAAATAGCCTGGTTTAAGGGAGAAAATTCAATCCAAACATCTAAACTCTAAACAATAAATGCCTTGATTCAAAAAAAGGTCAACAAAACCAGAACATGACATTCACAATCTTATTATAAATGGTGAAATGAATGTTACAAAATGTTGCAAATCTAAACAATGAAATGCATGGATTCAAGAGTAAAAAATCATATCAACCAATCAAAACATGAAATGCCTTGACTCAAAGACTCAAAGGGTGAAAATCCATTCTTTAGTCCATTTTCACCATAATGTTTTGTTTTTTTTTTCCATGATTTTCCTATGATTTTCCCATCACAGCACTGAGATGCCTCGATTCAGAGTCGGAGATATTTTTCGGGATCCATCCCCAGAGCCCCAAAAAGTGCTGCACGAATCGGTGGCTCCAGGATTTGCCCAAAAATGCTTGGATTTAACCAGCCCAAAGTGCGATTTCAACGGATTTCATCGGAATGGAGATGACAAAATTTGTGATTTGCACCCCAAATTCCAGCAATCCGGATTGAGGTTTTTGAACTGTTTGAAACCGTGAGATTAAGAAAAAAGGGAGAGCATGTCATCTCTCATTTAGACAAACTCACTGACGTGTCCTGACTGAACATCAAGTGCGAACCTGCTTCGGCTAAGCTGTAGTTGACCTATTTCAATGGTTTTATCATGTTTTATCATGTTTTATCATGTTTTATCATGTTTTATCATGTTTTATCAATATAGATCTGACAAGTGAGTTTATGATTTGGGAATCATACTATATATCATACTATATATCATAGTAATAATAATAATAGTAATATGATTAATACGTTATGTGTTCATCATGTATATTCATAGCTTTATATAACTTCATATATAATATAGTATAGGGGCACAACCATCATTTTGGATCAGTTAAATTATTGCAATCCATAGCCGGAACAAAGATCGGCACTGGTTTGTTTTTGCAAGGCTTTTGTTGCCTTAAGCTAGTCAGTCAGCATTTTCGTGTGTCAATGTTCTTTCACAATGATAATCAACTTTTAAAACGTGCAAGACTCTCAACATCTGGAGGGACAAAGCAAGGTGCCCCAGTAACCCCCAACTAGGTTGAAAGGATTTGAAGGTTCGCAGCCTGTAATAGCCCAAGAGGGCTCAGGATATTTCCGGGATCTAAACCACTTATACTCCCTGTTTCCCCTGTGGCTTTCCCGTTGTTTCACGCCTGCTTCGCAATGGGCGTGACATTGTCGGCCTGCCCGTGCGCTGGTTATCGAGACGCGAAAAGTTTGGACAGCAATCAGAGAGCGGAGGAACTGAGACTTGCAAAGACAGTGAGAAGATATCAAAAATCCACTGTTTACGCTTCGGAGATGATGATAACTGGTGGATGTCCAATATATTGTAAGTAAAATATAAATAATGCATATGAATGACAGTTCATAGGATAATTTGAATCTGTTCCCCTTTTGTAATTTGTTACAGCTATGGAAATGGCCCATATAGTTCGATGATTTGCCGATTGAAATGGTGATGTTCCACAGCTATGTTAGTTGACTGGAGGGTAGTGGATCAAATGGAACAATGACATCTGGAATTTTCACAACTTTTTAGGTGGAGAAACTTTGAACATTGGAGACAACGCGTCGAACCATGAAATTGAAATTGAGAACAGTGAATAATGATTTCACTATCAGTTCTTTGCATTAATTCCAGCTGCATTTGATCTGGATGGCAATAGGTAGATTAATGATGTAAGGTAAGAATAAATAATCATTGTATTAACTTGAAAAAAACGCATGCTGTTGTTTTCATGGGTTATTTGTCCTTATCCTTCTTCAGCACTGCTTGGTTATGCATCCCAGTTCGTAAATGTTTATTTAATATTACTGGGTGCGGTATATCCAATATAGATCTGGGCAATCTCACATGGTCCTTCCCCACTTACACACTGACTGGGTCAGTCACATTTAAACTTGAGCCATCCTAATGAAATGTCCCCATAGCATTCCCAAAAAATATGCATGATTTTACTGCAACAAAGCACCATGACATGAAAACTGGATGTGGGTGAAATCATTATTTTTTGATTGTCAAGTCAACTCCTTCATGCTGCGATCCCCATCAAAATTAGATACTTGTCCCATCAAACCCATGATTATATCTCATATTGACTCATATTGCATGCGTTGTATTATGTTTGAAACACCAGAATTGGCAAATTCCCATCATATTCTCAACAAAAGCTAATCTTCATTGACCTTCTCATGTTTTTTTTTAATATTCCCCATTATTCCCCCATATGTCTCCCACACGTTTCCCCCATGAAATCCATGATTTCCCTAGGAAAGTCCTCGAGCTCTTCGCCGGCATCGGCGGTTGGCGCCTGGCCCTCTCCGCCGCGGCGGAAACGACGCCGTCGAAGTCGGCCTTTGCGGTGACGGCGTATGACAGCGGGCCACACTGCAGCGAGGCTTGGGAAGGGCCATTTATTGCACTGTTCTTATGGGTTCTTAAAATGGAGGGAAGATGTGTTTGACATCCAAAAAATGTTGTTGCCCCATTTTGAGGGTGTTCCTGCGCCCCTTCTGCAAGTAATGGTTGAACCCCCTGTGCCTTGCTTAATCCACTACCAGATTTCGAGGATGAGGATGAGGATGAAGATGCTGCTGCTGCTGCAGCTCTGCTACTGCTGTTGGTGATGATGATGGTGGTGGTGATGGTGATGGTGTCCATGAACATGATGGTGAGAATGTGGTGGTGGAGGAGGTGGTTGTGGAGGAGGTAGTGGTAGTGGTAGTGGTATAGTGGTAGTGGTAGTAATAGTGGTAGTGGTAGTAATAGTGGTAGTGGTAGTGGTAGTGGTAGTGGTAGTGGTAGTGGTAGTGGTAGTGGTAGTGGTAGTGGTAGTCGTCGTCGTCGTCGTCGTCGTCGTAGTAGTAGTAGTAGTAAGCAGTAGCAGTAGCAGTAGCAGTAGCAGCAGTAATAGCAGTAATAGCAGTAATAGCAGTAATAGCAGTAGTAGCAGGAGGAGGAGGAATGGTAGTAGCAGTAGCAGTAGTAGTAACTGTTGTTGTTGCTGGCGCGCTCTTCCTTTCCCGTTCATCATCAACTTCCCGAGCCTCAGGTTCTTCTTCTTTTTATAGGTTTGTACATGTATAATGTTGTTTAATCATATATGTGGTTTCTCATTCTTCATGTTTTTGTGTTATTTAGATATTTAGTGTATGTAACATGTTCTAATTATCATATAATGTGGAGTTTTACATATATATATATACATATACATATACATATACATATATATATATATATATGTATAATATATATATATATATATATTAGAAAGAACTGTATACTATATATATATGAAATATGTGGTCAAAAATATTGATCAAATCCATCAAACATGCTGCAACTGTTTTGGACCGCATCCAGCGACCAGGTGTACCACCTGAACTTTGGTGAACGCTGTTCCCGGCGAAATATCGCCACTGGGACTGGCCCATTTAGCCTTTGTGAATGGATTAAGGGAAAATCGACAGTACCGGAAACCATGGTTGTTCCCATGAAATATATGAGTGTCCTGTATTTGTTTCCCAAAACCCATCCATTGACTCTTGTAATCTAAGAGTTTGCGAACTGGAAAATCACCATTGCTCAATACGTAATTAAATATATAAATAACATTAAATAAGATTAAATAAGTCTTGTTATATATATAAATGGCCCATTTCGATGATCTTCGATGATTCAACCATCCAAAATGGGAGATTTAATCGCCTGAAGTGGGGTTGCTGACCTCCTGTAATTCAACGTGGCCATATTAAACGTATAGATGGCGCATGAATAGTTTATTGATGTACCGAACTCAAACATTATGTTGTGATTTTCCATAGCAAAGTGTTAGTTTACCAGAGGCATCAGTTTTTTTTTGGGTGGGGGTTGTTAATTTTTGCCTGTTTTTTTTTCTGATTTTTTTTTCGGTTCGAAGCGTTCACAACGTTTGGACTGAAAATTGAGGCACCAACAGGATCCAACACGCCCAGGAACAGCTTTCTCCAAAAGACTTGGAGGGTTTCGATGTGCCGCTGAGCAGCATGGTGACCGTTGTCCGTTCCCCCCCGAATCATGACTTGTCCAACGAATCCAGATTTCCGAGACCTGGGGACATGGATGCGGCTGATCTTCGGGAAATCTCGTTTTTTTTTTGTTTAATGCAGATGTTTGATATTGCAGATGATGGTTATTGAATAAAATGGATGAAGTTGATTTTACTATATTTTACTATATGTTGATCTTTGTTGATCTTTGTTGTCATGATTGGCTATTGGTTTAACTGTTGTAGTTGAGCTTGGTGGGGCTATTCTGTTGTTGTTTTTTCCGATTTCTGTGATTATCGACGCTGCCAAACAGAGTGTTCGCCAATCAATTTGTATATTTTGAACCGTGAACCTGCTCCCAGACTATGGATACTATGGTCTCGACTGAACATCTATTTTTTGGTCTGCGTGTTTTCCAACGGATCATGTTAACGTTTGTCAGCTGTACTGAAACTGCACATCAACGGTTTGGACCAGCTTTCACCCAACCATTTGGGACGCAGTTTTGATAAGATCCAAAGATGGTCATCCCCAATGGTATCCCAAAGCATTGATCAATTGCTCATCCCCCTGGACTAGTTGCATGCTGTTTTCCCTTGGAAGAGTTTGGTTCTCCGGGTGCATCTCGCACCATCACTGTACAAAAAAGATAAAAAAGGCTTTGATGACAGCCACTCACCAAAAAATATCAAGTGGCCTATTAATTCTACAAAATATGTGTAGTGAGCGGTATGCAACAAACATCTTGCTATGGTGAGGTTGATGAACAAATATCCTGTTGACCCTTACTTCGTGTACTTCTCAGATGCTTCATGCTGCTGATATTTAGCAACATAATCATAAATAATAATGATTTCATTTCTAGCAACAAATTATAATATAAGATTAACTAATTAGATAATATCTATAATAGCACTGGTGATCACATAATATTGTAATATTATGTCATAATCCCACTTTGATTATCGTCCATTTAATATAATTCGATAGGAATAGTCATGGAAGTTCTGTGTGAACCGAATTCTCCCGCTACCTTGTGGGACATTTTTTTGAATCTTCCAGCTGGATTTCTTGCGCTTACCCTATAATATCCTATAGCCCTGGTATCAGATATAGTAGGGTAACCCCACCAGGACCAAACAAAAACGCAATCCTAGCTAAATTTGTGATGAATTACGGTTCTATCTTGTCGATAGAAATGATGATCTACATTACAAATGGTGATTTTCCATAGCTACGTTACATTACCACAGGGTGTATATATATATATACATATATAAATATATATATATACTGTAATGACTTAGATAATTCATAAACTGGTAGAACTTGACCCAGCTGCCATTTTTCGTGCGACTCAGGTGGTTGATGTCACCTCCCTGCCAACCATTCTCCACCACTCGGGAAGCCAAGCAACGAGATCTGCAGGCCGGGACCACAGATAGAATGGCCGTGTGGTTTTGAAAGAGAAAATTTAGGTGAAAACCATGGAAAATCATGGAACAACCATGGAAAACAAAGAGAAACAGTGACCAGATGATCCTGGTTGATCAGCCAGTATAGAACATGATATACCCTCTGGTAGTTTAACGTAGCTATGGAAAGATCCACCATTTTTAATGGGAAAATCCACTATAAACAGCCAATTTCAATAGTTATGTAACAAATTACCAGAGGGTAGGGGAAAACCCTAAAACAAAGAGAAACACATGGAAAACACAAAAACAAATATTAGAAAAAGCAGTCCACCGACAGGTTAATCATCATCATGCATCATGAAATCACATTAAATCCCATTTTTTTCCGTATTTAAATGGCCGACAATGGGGGAGATATATTTAAGTCACTTAAAATCTACATGTTCAGACATACCATGTTTTCGCTGCTACGCAGTACCCAAGTTTGACCCATATGTGCATAGATGGATACATATGGATGCTATATTTGTACCCATATTAACCTCCAAATAGATGGACATTGACCACGACAAACGCTCACCACAACACTTTTCTCGCAGTTCTGAGCTGTGATCAAACGTGCCAATATCCCTTACAATCCCTTACACATATAGGATCTAAATGGTTCTAAATGGTTCTAATATGTCTTATGGATTCTTATGGCCCAGTCTTAATCTACATGGGGGCTTTCCCATTGCTACGATTGCCGGAGGGTAGATAGTTCACTACCATATTGGATGGGCGGATGACCATCCAGCTATACCAGTTATTTAGCGATGCCAGAGCTGGGTTCGGCTCCCATGAGTTGACCATGACGATCTCAACGGCATTGGGGTTGGAACCACCGTTGATTCACCATGTAGACAGTTTACTTCTCAGATTTTATTAGAGTATTAGAGGGCAAAAGATCCAAATCATTCCAAATCCATCCAAATATCTTAACATATCTTAACTAAATCCATCTAAATATCCATGTTTCCCATTGTCCCATGTCAATGCTCATTTCAATATCGGGGATCTCCCCATAAACTGCCCCAGGACAAGCGATGTGCTGCACTGGAGCGGTTGACCAAGATGTTGCCGAAGTTGCAACAGCCTCCACGATGGATCGCTTTGGAAAATGTCAAAGGCGCATTCCATGGCCTGTGGAGGGAAAACATATGTGTAAAAGAGCAGAAAGGTGGACTTTCCTGAAGGAAAACTCTGGATATCCAAAGAAAACATGTGATTTCAATTGATTTCCAAGGACAAATTGTGATGTCCTGCCTTTTGTCCACTTTCACCCTCTAGATCTTTGGCCAGGAAAACAAATGGATCTAACCTGGACACATGGATGGATTGAGCGCAGTTGTAAGTTGGTTTAAACCCCGTGAGCTATAGATTAATATCCCATAAATCATCATAAATCCTATTTTATTTGGCCTGCTTATAAACCAACCTAGATAACTTATATATATATATACTATGGGGCACCACCTTATATAAATTGAGTTGTTTCAGGGTATCCCAAGATAGGCAATGGTTCACTGATGTGCATTTCTCAATGGCAAAACATGTGGCTTCTACTGCCACACATTTGGATTGTGCGAACATACTTGGGGATTTCCCCAACAGAAATTAAATTTGGTTTAACCAGTGAAGCCAAATGGGATTGAACTAGCCAACATTTGGATAGATGAGTCAGTTGGGTAATCAACTACGTGAACTAGTTATATATTATATATATATATTTATGTATATATATATGTAAAGGCCCTTGACCTTGAAGCTGACGACGGAGTGAGAGAGGCGATGCTGAAAGATATCCTTTTGGGTCACGAGAGACGGAAGGACTATATATACGACGGCAGATCCTGCGAGCTGCCCATCGAGGAGCAGCAAGACGGCGCACGTCGCGCCAAGATTCTTCCATGCATATAGAGAGATGATATGGTTATCAAATGTTATCAATATTCTATATATATATATAGAGTTCTATATTGACATCAATAATATATGGGATATGTCAATAGACAATAATGTTGATATCTATCCCATAGACAAATATTAGCAATATTCCATATGTTGATACTAACCACTTCATTTCAGACCCAGCTGCAACACGAAACGTTGTAGCAGCCAGGTTTTTACGGCAGCGAGGCCTGCTGTCAGTGGAAGGCGGCGCTCAGCCTCAGCGGCTTCCGCGCTCGAGAGCTGCCCGGCGAGTTTGCGACGGGAAAATCATGGAAACATCGAGTAAAAACCCACTAATGTACGTAAAGCAATGTCATAAACCACCCATTTGGGAATGGTTTATAGTATTTATAAATTTATAGATATTTCTAGCGTTTTTTTTTTTATGTTGGTAAAACAATACTAAACCATCCCCCAGTCATCACCATAGATAGGTGGTATGGTTACCATTCCCAGTCATGGCTGGTTTATTGTTTTACAATATCAATGGAAGTTTTGATGGGAAATTCCTTGGAAAGGCCATGGGAACACTGGTCACTATGAATGGAGGTTTTAAAGGCGTTCCAGTCATGGGGGAAAAAAATCAGGAGAAAATCATCGACATAAAATTGGGAAAATTATGGGAATTTGCACATTAAATGACGGAGATTACAATTGGGAAAATCACATGCGAATTGGGGATTTTCCAGCCATGTTTGATGGATGGTATTGATGATGGATGTTCATCATGTTCATCTCCCCAAAATCTTTGGAAAATTAATGAACAGTTATGGTTTTGACCAACTTTGATCCATTCCCGAAATATATTGACATATGATTCCGAAAAAACAAGGAACAATCCAAGACAGATGACTCTTCTCTGGAAGCAAAGGTTCAGGGATGTGTGCAGTGTTCTTGCTGACATGACATGATCTCAGGTTGCAGATTGTACTCGTTCTTTTTTCAGCCATTCAGCCAGGAATTTGCCACTATCATCCATGTTCCGAGTCACCAAGCTGTCCACAACCGAAAGAAATGATCAGGAATTGGGCACTTGGTGTCTCACCCCATTCAATACGTAGATTATAACATGTTATAGCCCCAGTTGTAAGTGGGTTCTACCCCCTACTTACCCTACTTATAACATCTTATAACTGGGGTTACCGCCATTGGGTGAACAAGTGCGTATGCAATCTCTCCCAGGTTTCAGCGGAGATCAATGATGCAGGGGATGCAGATTGTTGGGACCACAATGGGGGATATGCAGACCAATAACTTTGGATGTAGGACCAAGCCCTGTAAGACTCTAAGACCGTTGGAAAATTCGTAGCTCCAAGCCGATGAAAGTTTGTAACCAATCACCTATGAACCGTTGAACATGGGCATCAAGAGCGGTTCAAACATAGCCTCCACCAAGCCACTTATCCTTGAATCTCATGTGTAAGCGACCTGCCAAGGGAAAGTTGCACATCAATTGGACACTGATCAATCTTAGCAAACATGACTGCAGTGCTTATAATTTCTGCTTGGTGGTTTCACACATTTAAGTTGTTGTCCATTTCATATATGGGTTGTCATCCTTCCCATTGACTTTCATATTTTTCAGAGGGGTATGTATACCACCAACCAGATTTTATGTCCAATCGAACGGGAAAAACAAACTTGCTTTGCTGTTGCACCCCGCAGATTGCACCGCAGATTGCACGCGAGATGTTGCCAATTTTTGAGCGATGAGTGTGGCAGAAAATGGGCTTGATCATATCCCAAGACATACCAGTTTTTAGATGTGTTATAATATGTTTTAAGATGTGTTTATCCTCGGGTCATCAAAGATGGCAATGGGAAATCCCTTACAAATGGAGCTTTGAATGGGAACTTCATCTATCTATTGGGCATTTTCCATTTACCGGAGGCTAATCCACATGACAAATCGCCATTTTGGCGTCAATTGAGTGAGTGGTTACCTCAGAATCACTCCACTCAATACCGGTACCAGTCATCCACTCACGATGATCCACGCTGCGCTCAGAATCATTTTGGACTTGATGAGCTTCGGCACCCCGAACCATCGCACCCGCTACTATCTCCTGGTTCCTTGGACAGGGCGGGCAAGCGGAAGCTGAGGTTGGCAGCTTCGGCGACGCTGGGGAACATGCAAAACACACAAAATGAGTAGCTATAATACAATATGCTATAAATTAATATTGTAATAGGTTCTAAAACATTGGGACCTCACCCACTTTGAGGTCGTTTCAGAGATGGTTCATTTTCGCGCAAAGTTCTTTGGGATGGAAAGCTCCAACCAGAGAGGAGCAGACACACCAAAATCGAAGGAATAGTCCAATGACAGATAAATAACGATTGATAACTAGGATAAGTCGACTTCAGAAAAGTTCCAGGGATGCCTGGAGTCTTGTTGCATCTTGTTGCTCTGATGAACTCAGCTTCGAGAAACCAAGGTATCGAGGGTTGTTTCAAAGGAATCCAGTGCTGGAAGCAAGATCCCAACCATCCTCTATGTCCTTGAAGCGAGTGCTTCATATGCATATTGAACTGCATATGATATATATATATGTTGGTGGTACAATTCCCCGCACATACTACAGAATATTCAGGTGCATTTTCATGTATTTGCTATCTTCCACATGTCTAAGATCAGAGTAGCAAGCCCACTGGTGCGCAGTCATCCACACCAAGGACTTGTCTCAATGGATTCAACATGTTGCTCAAACCCCGCTTATTTGTCGTTTGTCCCGTAAATCTTACGTTAAATCTCCAAGAAAAGAGGCTTAAGCTTCATTGATTATTTGGACCTTTCTTCTGCCCATGAAGCAATGAAACTATATCGATCCACCTGTCACTGGGTGAAGCACCGTTTTTGATTCGCTGAAAAGCCTTTATTCTTCATGGTGAAGTCACCCTTTTTGTTGGTCAACTCTCATGTCCAGTTAATAAATCTATAGTTTACATGTTTTTTTATATATATATACGATTATCTTCGATTATCATTTTGCATAGTTTTTCATAATCGCAGTTTTTGTCTTGTTTTGGTTATAAGGAAAGGTTCCCTGAAAAGTGCCCTGAACAAATCCTCAAGTTCGGTCGCCCCCAGGCCGAACGGGACACGCGGAATCTGGAGCTGCTGGCAGCACCACCGGAACCCAGGTGAGCTTGATGTATCAACCATAGGCCATAGGGATTTCATGGGGGTTAATGGAGAAATACCATATCAATATAATATATATATAGATACATATAATATATATGTACACACATATATATATATATACATGTGCAACTAGCAATATGATGAAATTGGTTTGTCTGACCATGTGGTATAATTACTGTACTGATAAAAATGAGGATTTCGAAGGGGAACATGATGATTGAATTAGCCAATAGATTTTGGGAGAGCTTTTTTTCAGTCAGACCCAAGTAGCCCAGGTAAAATATATCCCACTGATATATAGGTGAAACTATGTTCACAAGCCGCTTGTACCAACTGGGATGCATCCCCAAGTATGTGATGGGTATCAAATCGAGTACACTGGTCAATTTTGGATGGTTTCTTGAGTATATAGTTTGATCACCTTCAATGTGTGGCTGCCAATGGGGCTTATGTTTATATGTAAATGTATATATAATTGTATGTATGTATACCTATGATACTAACCAGTTATATATGTGATTTTGGCTATCTAAGATTGGCCATGTATTGCAGGGTTTGTCCCTGGGGGGATACGCCATCGCTTCAATTTTGGGGTTACCCCCTGGTCCTGACTTGTCTCTTTTGACATGGTGATTCCCCATCCCATCCCCCTGTGATATTAAACACCTCCAAGAAACCATGGGACCAGTGAGGATCTACGCATCTTTTGGGACCATACAATGCATATATATATATATATATAAATAAACAATACAATGGGAATCAATGGGAGTGTTTAATCTTCGACATCGAAGAGCGACCTCTTGATCAGTAGGATTGCGATCTATGATCCAGATGTATGGTCGTAAATGGATGGTGCCTCTGGCCCCCGAGCTCTGAGAAGCAACATCGCAACTAGACGTACAAAAAGAGTATTGTCATTGTTATATAGTTATATGTTATATATATAAGCAATCCCAATGGTATCTGGGTCCTTTCCAATTTGAATCTGGCCCTTAAGGGTTGATGGGGAACAAGGTATGACAGAAGGGTCAAATCTTGGCCGCGGCTTATTTTTTCTCAAGCTGTGCTCATGGCTCTGTGGCCAACTCCGCGCAGACTGAACCTCTGATGCATTTTGGCCCAGCATCAGTAGACCCAAACATTTATGACATAAGATCTTTTTAAAGATCAGAGAAACTTTGCCGCAACAGGGTCCTTTTCAAGGCCATTCTCCATGATATACCTGGGACATTGTATAAGGAAGCCGAGACTGAATGTCTAGAAACTATGTGCACTTGCAGCACCAAAGGCTACCAAGTTGCTTCTTGCGCGCGTCCATCGCCTGCACCCGTGCCTCCTCTTTGCTGATCCCATAGTACTTGGCCATCTTGTGGGATCCAGAGTAGACCTTTGTCACAGAAAGCAATTCAAATGACAGGTCCTGAGAACATGTTTGAAATACAAAATGTGACATTGACTTCATTTGTTTTTAATAATCCAAGCCACTGAATGAAGTTTCTTCTTCAATTCAATCGCGCGCTGCTCCTCCGGATCTTCCTCTTCCTTCTCACCTTCCTTCTCGCCTTCCTTCTCGCCTTTCTTCTTGCCTTTCTTCTCACGTTTCTTCTCGCCTTTCTTCTCGCCTTCTTCATTCTCCGCTGCTTTGCGCTTGTTGCCCTTTGGAGCACAGGCCTTTGGAGCTGCCTTTGCTTTGGCTGCCATCTTGGCCTTTGCCTTTGCCTTTGCTTTTACTTTGGGAGCTGCTGACAAGCTGCCACCAGTTTCAAGCGACCCCTTGCTTGCTTTGCCTGGTGCTCTGTTATCCGACTCATCCTTGCTGGTGGGCGGTGTCTGGCCATCCATCTCATCATTGTCCAACTGTCCATATTCGCTGCTGGCTCGAACGGCTTTGATCTTCTTCAAGGCCTTTGCAACCTTTTTGATGTAGACCAATCCCTTTGTCAACCGGCGTTCATGGAGCTTTTTGCGACAACTTTTCTTGACTTTGGCCACGCGGATCTTGTCAGGCATGGGCAGTTCATTGTTCAAGACTTTCATCATAACAGCAAATTTCTGGTCCAAGTTCGACGAAGTAATTGGAGCATTGATCACTTTCTGCACCTCCGACTTTGTCATCGTTTCCGGAACCTCCACAAAGGTAGCCCTTCTCTGTTCAGGCTCTTTGTTCTCCTCAGGCTCTTTGTTTTCCTCAGGCATGTTGTTCTCCTGCGGCTCTTTCATCTCCTCAGGTTGGTTGTTCTCCTCAGGCTCTTTCATCTCCTCAGGCATCTCAGACTCGGGCAAAGGTGAGAGCTCCAAAGACCGATGTTCAAGGCCGTCAACATCTCCCATTTTGCAGGTATCCTCCTGGTTCGGAGACATAAGCCGATTCAGCAGCTCCAAGCAAGAATCAACAGCTTGACGAGTCTGGTCAACCATACCCCTTGTAACCCACCCATCCTCCTGCAAAAACTTCATCGTTGCTTCCTCATCACGTTTCATCTCTTCATCAAGTCGTGGGGAGATTTGGTCAAAGAGGTCAGCACAGCTGTTGAAGGCGTCCATCAGATCATTGTTGATTGCTGCGTCCTCCTGCGAAAGATTGAACATGAGATATTGAACCCAAGCTTTCAGAATCCAATTGATTTGGCAGCTGCACATCCCATACATATGTATGTGCCAAGTGCAAATCTACGCGCCTCAGCGCTAAGAGGTGGTGGTGTTCCAGCGCCGCTGCTAGAATCCATGTATGTATCTCCATCCTCGGATTGACCGCAGAGAGTGGCAAGATCATGGAAGTTTGAAAAAAACACCACAAACAAACAAGGCTGTACAAACTATATTGCTATTGTAATGCAGGGACTTATGTGAATTCATACATGTGATATATTTTAAATTTGATATTGTATAGTAATGCAGGGACTTAATGTGAATTCATACATGTGATACATTTTAAATTTGATATTGTATAGTTTTATATTTTGCCCCAACCTCAAAAACATGATGATATAATATAATCGATATAATATCTAGTATGACAAGTGTACATTGGTGATATTTACAACCAATCGCAATAAAAATGTGAACTGTTTCAAATCAGACATATCATACATACATACTTCAGATATCGACTCATACATACCGCAAATATCAAATCACATGTTATATGGTACCAACTAAACAATAAAGCAATAAAGAACATGTTGTCCAATTCCACGTGATAATTTTTCCCAGGTGTTTGATATACAGTTTGGCTGCACTTCCCAGCCAAGGATCTGCATGGCCTGTGGCACCATTGGCAGCTGCCATCACATGCGCCTTGTCTGGACATGGCAGGGCTTGGATTGGGCAGAAGGGAGATTTTTTTTGCACAAATATTCTTAGTTAAACCAAGCCACATTCGAATCTGGAGAAGGAGTCAATGGCGCACCAGGGCTCTTCAACCCCAATTGATTGTCCGGGTACAAATGGGGCGGCCTTGGATGGACAGATCAAATATTGTGTCATATCAGACCCATTGATGGTAAAAATCAACACCTCCAAGTTACTGCAAAGCGTTCAAACATGTGTTGTTTCTTGATAACATCATCTAATGAATTATAGTTTGTGAAGCCAAGGCACATATAGTTGGGATTGTCAATTGTGACAGTGACCGGGGGCACATCATCCTGACCAGTGAAGGCATGAAACATATCTTAAGATACTTTGTCTTATTATGAAACCATGTCATGTGCTGTGGGATTCCCCGCTCCTTGGACTTGGTTTTCTTGGAGGGCTTCTTCTTGGCAGCAGTAGCAGTACTACGGGTAGCTGGTTTCTTTGAAACTGGAGGCCTCAACTCTTCAGGAACTTGATCATGGGCAGAAGCACCATCATTTCCATCTTCACGATCCTCATCATCCATTTCCGACCCACCTAGTGGATCATGCTCTGCATCCTTTGGCGGGTCATCATCTTCTTCCTTATCCACGTTCTTGGTTTTCCTGGAAGGCCTTTTCATCGGGATAGGCTTTTCCTGGGAAGAAGATGATTCCGACGCAGTCACCCGCCCAGGAAGTGCATGAGATAGACCACTGCCACCTTGAGAACTGATTTGGAAACACCATGAAACACCCACCCCAAGATTATTCACACTGGCTTTCAAACCCTTTCTACCCAGCCTTCTGCACCTACTTCTGCGCCAGCTGAAGGTGCCGACTTTGTCTTCGCTGCAGATTGTGGCGGTAGCATCGATGGAGGACGGGTCGGTGTCAGGTTGCTCGAGGAGAGGAGCCGTGCCATGTTGAACGCCTCAAAGTAGCACCAGCATGGATGGCAGTTAATTAGGATGGATGTTGGAACTAGATTAATGATTAATAGGATTCACGAGTCCAGGAGGTTCCCAAAAGAGATCTTTTGCAGAGATTTTCCAAAGATCTTTGTATTGAGATTTGGAGATTTGAGCGAGAACAAACCATCAAAATTTTGACAAGGAACAGGTGGGCGAAAGTTGGCCGTCAATGGCACCTCTTCCACACTCTCATCATCACTATGCGTTGCCCTTGAACGCACTGAGCTCGCCATAGTGAAAACTACAGGGCCCCGATCGGATATCCAAACCTAAAATTCTTGAGCAGATAACATGTTCATGAACAATGTAATTCCAAACTTGGGATGCTGAGCTACCAAATGCTACCAATCAGATGCATCATCAGCCTCTAGTTTGCAAGCAGCACCCAAAGAAACTACCGCCATGGAAACTAAACCACTTTTTTTTTCACCACATGTTTCGTGAGCGTAGCAGCACTTGGATGCAGTAGGCATCCTATTTCCCTTGACCCCATCGGAGCTCATCAGTCGAACAAACAATGGGAAAATCAAAAAAATCAAGCAAATTATTCTTTTCAAATAGCTTCGGTCCGACAGGCTGTAAGATTGCGAACACACACTCTAATGAGTGACACCCATACCATTCATTCAATGGTACGATTTGTCCCCGTTGATGGCTCTGTGAAATGCGCTGCGTAGATCTCTCGCCATTTGAGTTGTGAAACAAAATAGAATGTCAAAAGATGTCAAAAGTCAAAACCATGTCACAACCTACAAGAAAAAGAAAACACACATTTACATTGCACCATAAGCCACCAAATCAAAAATTGATTGATACAGCCAGCCACTTGGCAGCTCTACATCAAGCGAGGGTATTCTTGGTAGCCCTACATCAAGCGAATGCAATCTTCACTCATGTCAACAGGCGTATTCAAGCACAAGCAAGGTCGTATCGGTGTGATCACTTTGGTGCCGTTGGTGGAACTGCTGCTGTCCAGCCTTTACAGAAGTCGAGATGCATAGTATGTCAAAACAAGATCTTACTTACTTGGCTTGCTTGGGTGACAAGAAACCAATTGCATACAAGTAACCTGCAACGCCACGCAACACACAATGTGCTTTCACTCGACTTGATCTTCGTGAGAGACAAGAACGCCCCAAAATTCTTGGATGTGGTAGTCGACCCAGCAGTTTTGCCCCTTTTCCTACTCTTTTTGGGAACCTCTGGAACTTCGTCTAAAACGAAAACCAATGGCTTCACACTGGCCCAGTCGTCATCTTGTTTCTTGTGATGGCTGATCTCAACTTTGACCTTGGTTCACGAGACAAACCCCCAATTACCCCCAAATCTCAATTGACCTTGGTTCATGTCAAGCTGCCAAATGTGTTTGATGTATATTTGCATCGACAGCGGAATGGTCCTACCAAATTCTTTAGTGTCGCCTTATCGTATAACATAATATAACATAAATAGCCACCCAGTAATTAAACATAAGGTAAAGAACTTCTCCGGCATCTTGAAGATCACAAACCAAGCTTTGGAGGGTCACGGCAGTGTCCAAGTTTTCAAGCTTGCTCAAGTGGTCTGAAATGCCTTTGCGCTCCAGGATAAACAACGAGTTGTTGTTGACCACGAAACTCATCCAACGACCCTCTGCATCGGAAAGACATTCGCTGGCTTCCTGAGAGTGTCACTAATGGGACAGCTGGGCAACACTGAATTTGAATAAATGTGATTCTTTTGACTTGTAATTTCCATGAATTGAATTGAAGCTAGGCACTGCTCCATCCCTCCACTCTCCTGATCCAAATGAGCACCTCAGATCAAGGTGTGAAAGCAATATGACTATGACGAAATACAGTTAGGCAACAATCTGAAAATATGTGAAACTGATATGGATGGACAACAGCTGGGAATCAATTCAATAATGCATCCAAGTTGCAACTCCCGCTTTTCAAAAAACTGGTTGCGGCTGCGGGAAGATAAGAAAAGGTTATCTCCCTTCTCACCAGCCACCACCAGATCGCACGCGTTGTTGATGGTAAGTTTTTTCCTGCAAGTATCAGGACCCAAGCCACATGAAGTTGCAATGCAAGATCCCATCATATATAATAAAAGCAATAAATAGGATGATATAACATGTCAAGGTTGTAATATTTTTTACTTCGGATATAGAAAGATCATATATATAATATTATATAATATCATGTTATTTCATGCTAAATCATACTATATCGAAACATGTCAAAACATGTTTTGTCAGGTGTAATCATGTGTATCAATTTGTTCATAAACAAGTTCATTTGGAGACCCGATCATTTGGCAAAATACAAATCACCACCCTTCAACCTCCAAATGGTAGATGTTGGCAGCATCGAAACATCTACTGGAATTACATCCATTTGTTTGGGGAATACATCGACTAATTACTACCATGGATCTGGTTGTTAAATGATGTTAAATTCAGGTAAGGCTCACATTGGGGAGCTTGGAGATATCTTGCTCGCTCGAGGATTCCAACTTGATCTTCTTCATTGGTGGCTCTGGGACAGCATCATCCGCAGTTTCTCTCCTGCAGAGAGGAAACACAAGAAGGGAGTGGATATGAATTAGATGGTGGATATATGATATAAATATATTATATATTATATATTATATATTGTGTATTATATTTTTTTTATATTATATATTATTTATATATCATATATTATATATTATAGATTATATATTATAAATTATATATCATTTATTATTATATATTATATATTATATATAATCATTATATATTGTATTTAATGATTTATATTATGTTATTTTATTTATATATAGTGAGCAGGGGTGAAAGCTGGAGACTTGATTGAAAAGATCAATTTGATATCTTATGATATCTTGAAAGGTATGCGGTATGTCCATAAGATCTCAACTAACCCTACCAGTCCTTTCTTCCAACCAGTATTGCCCCGATTCATTGAACTCTTTGTTGTGGCTCTCGATCACAGCAAGAGCTCGTTCACGGGTTTCAGCGTTGTCGACCCATTTTCGGGCCAGCACCTCCAAAATGACCAAAGTAGTGTGACGCTGTGTTGTCACCCGGAAGTTTTTGGTCATGTCTCCTGTCGTGCTGCTGGCTTTCAAGGCTGACACCAATGGTGAGAAGTCTGGGAAGCCGGTCAAGGCGAGGGTGCCCGCTCTGCAAGCTTCATAAACCTTGTTGCTGACTCTGCTCAGTAAATCTTGGCCAGAGTGGTCCAGACAAAGGCTTGCACAAAGAGAGACCTTCTTGGCACAGATCTCCTGTGAATTAAAGGGTCTGATCATTCCCCAAAAAAGGATTTAAATTAAAAAATCGGAAAGATTGTTTGCAGACCATCTTTTTTTTGAAAGAGCAGTGCCTAATTCTAAGACTTGTAATTCTTTACTTTCTAAACCCGTCCTCAACTGTGGCTAGTGCTGGCCAACCATCGTATCCGTGCATGTCAACCATCAGGGTCGCCTTGACACTTGGGACTTCAAATGCCTGAAGGGTTTTCAGCACGATGTCGCAGCCACCAGCTGCCTTAGCTCATCATTTGCATGTTGACTCCATGAGGCATTCAATAAAAGATTGGTATATATTTGAATTGAATATATCAATACATAAATTTATGACAAGGGGCTTGCTTCTGCTCCTGCACGTCGGTAAAAGCCCGTCCCATGTGCGGCAGGCTCGTGCTCTTCTGCGGGCTAGCCTTGTCAGGCCAGGTTGAGGGGAAAATAGCAGGATGTGGACAGCTCAATTTATAATGCTTGATACATGCCAAGAAACGGTTTCAGGCTTCACCATGTCTTGTCTTTGCAGCATGTGGATCCCATGAACCACACCAGTTTTGTACCCCTTTGTTTGACGGAAGATGTTCTTGGGGTTGTTGCTGAGGATGCAAAGTCCAGGCAGAAATCCTTCTCGTTTCCCGTACACGGTGGCCTTAACAATTCAAAGATTGGTCATGTCATTTTTAGCAAACCGGCCAGATAAATTCAAGCTGCTGGCTGATCAGAATTGCATTCTGCACATCATTCAATAAAGTAAGGTCAAGACGGGGTCAAAAACGAATGTTAAATTCTTGACCTTCAAGCAACGTTCTGGAAGAGCAAGTTCTGTCCTGAGCTGGATTTTGACCATAGAGGGACACTTCAATTCTCAAGTCAGCTACAAGCAAGATAACTAAACCAAGGTTCTCCAGGTTGAAGCGAACCTTGCGAACCATGTCATCCATTTCCTCCTTCACCTTTCGCTGTCCATCGCATTCTGAATCAGAATCATCATCGCCTTCCTTCACTTTCACCTTTTTTTCACATTCCTCATCATCCGACCCTTCTTTCTTGGCCGCAGATCTCCTGCAAGAATTCATCAGCACTGAAGAGATCAGGACTGCAGCAAGGGTAGGGTTTGAGTATGGAGTGGATTGACTGGGTTTCTGAGATATTGTTGATTTTCGAAACTATGACATCAACCATATCATGTGTAAGTTGCATATCTATATTGCATGTTGGTGCTATCAATGATATTCATATCATATCTTAGTGACTACTTAGTGTCACATAAGTATCCCTGCCTGCCATCTTGATGGCCAGCCCTGTTCGGATGAATGAGAAAGCATACGCTATTCAAGGGGAAGTCAGACAAGATGTTGCTGATATAGGTGAGGATGAAGGAGAGACGTGCTGCAGACAACACTCCGATCGAAGGACAATTCAGCAAAAGCACGATTTGATGATCATCCTGGCTGTTGCCGACCTCGATGCTCATGTCTTTCAACCAGGCCCGGCTCTGGGGCAAGATTGTTGACTCCCCATCGCTAGTCTTCCCAACAAACAGTGTGAGGTTCTGCTTGAGAAAGTCAGAGACAATCTGCCATGAGCGTGTATGGCACTCCTGCCATAGTTTTTGGAAATCTCAAGAAAGTTCAAAAAGAAACAGAAAATTGTATGCATGAAACCCTTGCATTTCACTTTCACTTTGAAAAATCAGCTGCAGCAGGGTGGTCCTCAAGTTGATGGACCAGCTTTGTCCTTGCTTTCTGCCCTTCCTTCTCCACCCTGAGATGCGGAAAGCTAGAACATGATGGAACACATTCATACAACAAAGGGGCAAAGGAACTTATGAACAATTATGCACGATAATAGTGGATTTGACTCTGACAACAACATCATGAAGATGCATCCATTCTTTGAAAAATTCACTTATTTTGGGTGATCTTGGCATAACTTCTCTCAAAAACCGTTGGATGTAAAAGTTTTCTATAATATGTGTTGCAAATCGCGCAGCCAAGACACAAAATTTTCTCAGAAAGAAATTGAGCTTGATCGGCCTTGAGTTCTTCACACCATGCTAGGAAGGATGCCTCTGCTGCCTTTTGCAACGCGTTGCGACTGCGGTCTTGATGCTCAGACATGTACGAGTCCATAGTCTTGCCAGTGGCCTAACTCAATTGTTCTGCTGGTTCCATGTGGACAACAAAAAGACCGAAACCATATAAATGAAAGCCAACACATAAGATAATTTCAAACCTGAACATGTTTTTTTGGCTGGCAAAAAAACTGCTTAAATTTTGATAAGAGTCTTCCAGCACAAATGGCACCCGGTCCCACTGAAACTCCTCGCCGCTCTTCATAATGGCATGAAGATCATTGTCCAGATGCCTAAGATCCACTTCCAAAGTCTACAACATATTTTTCCTACACACATGAAAACATATGAAAACTTGAAAAAATCAATCACTTTCGGCACTGGCCACCGAAGCCCCCAGATGTGACGGGGTTTCTGGAAACCCCATGATGATTCTAGCTACTATGAGCAAACCAATCACCAGCAGGACGGCAAAAATCAGCTTCTTGTTGTGATTGATCCCCACCTGAACTATAGCGGAAATGACGGGGTTTCTGGAAACCCCTTGATTTTCACCAACCTCAAATTCAGACACTCGATGTGATTGATTTTTGGTAGCCAAATGCATTTGGCTAAGAGTGACGGGGTTTCCAAAAACCCCATGATTCCGAGCCAAATGCATTTGGCTACCAATCACCCCCGGCCAAATGCATTTGGCTACCAATCACTCCCGGCCAAATGCATTTGGCCACCAACCAACCCCATTAAGAAACAAGATACCCATTCGCAAAGAGCTCATCGTGACGAGAAATAACATCGCCAGGAAATTCAGTTTCCATTTGCTTCCGCAGCCACAGCCACAAGCACGATATGTCATGCAAGGCAGCGTGTTGCTCTTCGGTCAGTTGGCATAGCTTCTGGCCAGGGATACATGCAGGAGTTTTACAGACATATCAAAGACATTCAAAGGCTATGGAATCAGGGCTACTACTGGCATACATCGATACATATATTCTTCATTCAAGATTCTTAATATTTCTTTATTAATATAAGATTACATCAAGTAACACATCAAAAACAGAAAAACAAGCACGGCCAGTTGTCCTGTCCTTTGCTTTGGTTGTAGCTTCTTTGGCCACTTTCTTTGCAAAGTCCTGACAAAAAGTTGCAGCCACAAACAACAGCACAAAACAGCACCAAAAAACATTCCAAATGGGCTGAAAGAAAAAGCTATAGCACTGGGCAGTGAAAAGGTTCAACGGTTGCCCTTGCGAAGTATGTCATGCAAGTGAGCTCAGTCGTTGCCAGGATCGTTTGAAAGAGCTTCTTCCCACGGAACCGTTCCAGTTCTGCTCGCGAGGATACACCGGGCACCCAGAAGTCAAGAGACAAAACCTCATGCGGCACTCCTGCAAAGGGTTTCAAATATCAAAGACGAGTTGCCAAACATTTTCAATAACATCCTTTATGAAAACTGGCCACTGGGCATATTTGAAACACTTGCCTGAAGATTCATGCCGGAAATCATCATAGTGCTTGTGCAGGAGAGCCATTAGATCAGCTGGGCCCCGAAGCCTCAATGCAAGCATATGCAAGCTATTGCAAGCTAAAAACAAAATTCAATACCATCCCAAAACTTCCAAAATACAAAACAAGCCTTCATGACACAAAAACTAATGCATAAACAAACAGAAAAACAAGAAACAGAAACTGAAACTAAACATCAAGCCGAGGCACAAGTTGTAGATGAGAGCACGGCGACCACTTTCAATCCGATGGCGCTTAATGGTCACCATCCTGTTGTACTGGGCAATGACTTTGGCCAAGACATCCTTGAGGGGAAGCTTTGCTCCTCCGTTGCGACGCTCCAGTGCGATGGCTTGCTTGATGTCAGCACAAATTGTAATTGGACTTGGCGTAAGCTTCTCTGCTGTCACATAGCCCGTTTCTTGGCAGCTGTGAGGGTAAAGAAATTAAATAGGATGACTACCTTCTTTGTCACAACACAATGGAAAGAGGAAACAACAACTTATATATAGTTTTAACAAGAATCTCAAGCTGTGCAAAAAATGATGCGCTGCATTCTCGTAGAACTCAAAGCTGCACTTGATGGATCGGAACGAGTTCAAGACCTTGGCCAGCATTGGGTCTTTGAGTTCCTGCTCACCAAACTCCAGTTCCACACAGTAGGCCACAATGCTGAGCATGATGAGCACTTTTGCTTGCCCATCCACAAATTTGACAGAAAAAGGTGCGATCTCACGCGTTCCAAATCCATGATCAAATTTGGTCTCTACTGATCCCATGCCACTGCGGTACCCGTGCTGAAGAAATTCTCCGAAATGGGCTTGAAACTGCTGATTGCTCGGATAAACTGCAGGGACAGGAGTGTAAAAGGGAAAACTTAACAATGCCTTCAGAACATTGAAACACTTTCCCCCCATGAAAAATGCAAACTTTTTGCCCCCCCCACATCCGTTCTTCCCATCAACCGAGTAGTCAAAGGATTCCAGCCCAAGCCAGAATTCTTCCAGGGACGTGTTCGGAACTGTAGTCATATGTGGCTTGCTATACGGAACGCCCATTCGAGAAGTCACAACATCGTCAATGGCCTTCAGGGATGGACAGGGTCGACGGTCGAGTTGATCACGTTTAAAAAAACAAAATTTTATCATCTTGTCTCCTTACACATCTTGTCACGATCTGCAAAGACTGTCGCGAGGTGCTCCCCGATGTTCTTCTGGGAAATAACCTTTGGTTTGGCTTGGGAATGAACTAAGGTAAGGAATCAACCAAAATAAACTAATATAAATATAAAATAGATTTGGCCCACATGCATACGGAAAGATACTTGGCAACATCAAGACACAGTATCAAAGTAAGCTTGGATTTGCTGGATAGGCCCAAGCTCTGGATTTGCTTTGAGCTCTGCCAGTGCCATGCTTTGGGGCACTGCAGCAGGCTGAAACAAACTTTGTGACAGGGCACCAAAAACACTCGAGAAATTAATGTAGCGATGAGAGAGATTGCAATGTGTCAAGTGTTGAAATGTTGTCAAGTGTGTCTCATTGCTGCGCATAACAAAAGTCAAACCAAACCACATTTTTTCAGATTGAACTCTGATCCCCCCTACAGGTTTCAACGCTGTCGGTGAAACACAACCTCTAACCTATGAGGACTCAAAGCAGCAGGTCTATCTCTGAATTGAAAGTCATGGACAGAAGGTCCTTCATCAGCAATGTTCCTCAGAAAGGTAAGCTGGGTGTAAGGCTCTGCAGGTCTTTCATCCCCCAAAAGAGATTTGTACCATCTGATGGCCCTATCCATATGAGGGAAGTCTCGTTGCAGCGCATTTGCCAACCTCCGGATGTCATTCTTTCTCTCATTGTCCAAGGTGGAGACTTGGACCTTGTCTGTTTCATTTGCAATCTGAAGGAACCTTTCTGATTGCCTGTGAAGGCTCGCTGGCCAAACAAGCAATGGATCCTGTGAAAGTTCAGTCGAAGACATCTCCTTCTTCAAACAAAAAAGGTCCTCCCTGGCAGTAACCTCATCTCGAGATCGCATTGCCACAGGCGCACGTTCTGCGAGGTTCAATCCGTGACCACAATTTGGCAAACCTTGGTTGAGAAAAAATACAGCCAAAAACTATGTGTTCAAAAACTTTGGTGGGAAAATATGAGAAAATGAATGTACAGTATCTACTAAGCAAAGGAAAAGTAGCTGGATCGTTTGGTGAAGATAAAAGAATGTGGAACAGGAGTTTGCTCTTTCTCAAGGTCTTCATCATCAAGCTTGCGAACACGATATGCGTTTTTGAAGGTCACTGCATCAGGGACAATCTCAGTCCACTGCCGAACCTTATAACTGCAATGATAGGAAAATGCAAATTGTATAAACACGTTTTAACTTCCCAATGGTTTGAACCATATGCCCAAAAGTGAAAATTTGTGTTGGCTTTTGATTAGCAAGTTTCTGTTCCCACAATCTCCACACTCAATTCGATCCCACGAGCTTGAAAAACTGGCGACAGTTTGTCACGTAGGCGGTTGGCAACATCCTGGGGGGTGTAAATCACAGATGCAGAATCCATTGCAGCTTTGCAAAGACTCAGGATCCCGTCCACGTCTTCATGGGTGTGGCCAACACCCAGAAAATTTTGCGAGCTGGTCACCCATAGGTTTTGTTGGGTCAGTGTGGATAACATACGAGCTGCATAGGTGTTGCGGCATTCTTTTACAGTGTTGTCGCTTTGCAACCAAAACCTCAAAGTTGTTTGGATCATCTAGTCAAGTCAAAAGTGTGCCAAACTACTGAAAAAACAATGAAGAAAACCAACAGACCCCCCAAAAAAATCTGGCGAGCGACTCCATTGGCCATTGTTCATTGCGAGCGCGGGTCCTGAGAAACACCTTTTGTAGCGATCGCATCACCTTGGTTTGTAAAACCCAAATCACTCCAAAACAACCTCGGAAACATATTAGAAACATGTTAAAACAAATAAAACTCAAGCAGTGCCCAGAAACACATTCCCACTGCCAGTTTGAACCACAGCCCATACCCTCATCAGTGATATAAAGATAGCAGCCATGCCCGTGCATCATGCAGCAAGTGAGTGTCAAGGAGATGCCTGAGATGGCCAAACTGATTTCAATAAAGTCAGCTTCAGGGAGATTCCAACCAACCCCACTATGCAGGAAAGTTGCGTTTGCAAAGCTCATACACGCTTCTTTTAGGAACTCTCCGGTGAGGAAAAACAGGCAGCAGCAACTTTGCTTTGTCGTAAGAGTCAATGATGCAACATAGCAAGTCCCGGGTCTGCTGAGATCTTGATCGCGCCTGCCAGTAAGCACTTCGGTTCTGCCACTGCTCCTTGTAGTGCAGTAACAACTCATTGCACAAACTTGCATGAGTACTGAAGTCCTGACTGATCAAATCAACAGGATGGAAGAAATTAAAGGGAACACTAACAAACCTACCCCAAGAAAAACACAAAAAGTAACAACACCCCAACAAATAAATTTTAGATGAAGATCGTTGGCCCGATTGATGGCAGACTTTAATCTGCTACACTCCAAACACATCGCGTGGTCAGATTTGCGACGGAACTTGAGACATTTCTTCCAGATGTTTGCTACAGAGTAAAACGTGCTCTTGGAGCATGGCGTTGCATCGTTCCCTGCAGTTCTCATGTATGCGAGATACATGATGTATAAAGATGAAGTGTTCCCAGGGGGCAATTCCCGCAGGGGAAGCTGGTCGATGACTGTATCCACGAGGATTTGCCGTGTAGCACCAAGAAGTTCACGGTCAATCAACTTCTTGAGGAGTTCTTCTCGTAGTGCGCTATCAGATTTGGTTTGGGATGCCGTCTCAGCAGATTCAAACCTAGTAATATCCAAAGGTCGTCACCAAAAACTGTTCTTGGGAAGGGAATCAACCCCAAAACATTCCAAAACATCCCAACGCTATGTGCTAGGGAAGCAACTGTGTAGGCATGCTCTCTCCAGCTGACCAGTACATATGTGTAAAGAAAGCCATTGCAGATGCAGTTTGAGTAGCTGGTGGGGCTGATGCTCCTGAATAGTAACAGCAAGGACAGGTGAGAAAATAAAGCCGCTTTGCATTTTCCCCCGTGTTTTTTTGGATAAAAAGAAAAGTACAGGTAATATGTTAGACAAGCATCCTTGGTTGATGGTGCGGCCATCCACACCCCGAAAAGTCCGCTTGCAGCGCATCATGCGAGCCTTCCCGACACCGAGCAAACGCATCCATGTCTCACGGCACAGCCTGTGTCCTGGTCATGGGCAACTTTATATTACTTACTTGTTGGATGTTGTTAAAAACATTTTCACATTCAGTATTTAAACAAAATCAAGTTGTCATTCAGTCCTTCAATGGACCAGGTTGATGCTCGTTCAGATGAAGATTGCAATGACCACAACACTGCATCTTGCGTTTGTTTTCCCAAGGCCCAAAAAGACATACAGCATTTCCAAAGAATTGTCAGCGGCATGGTACACTGACAAGGGCACTGTGGATTCTTCAGCAACTCTTTGAGACGGTCACGATTAGCTCCATTGCTAGCAAAAACAGAGGTATCCCCACTTTCATCCAGTTGATGGTAGGACTCCAAGCTTCCAAGTTGCAGATTTACCGCTGTAGTAGATTTCCGTTCACAACTTTCTGATTCATCAGAGCTGCATTCGGATTCCCTTAGTTCTGTTCACTCACAATACCCAAGCAGCCAAAGGATTTCATGGAAGCATCAAGTATTGCTTTTTTTTGGGGGGGAGGTGGTACTATATAATCAATAAATATATAATATCATATAATATCTAGATTTATTATATCATATATTAGGTATATAATATATATTATATATATTCTATATATTATATATATTCTATATACTATATATATTCTATATATTTTTTATATTATATATATTATATTATATATACTATATATGTTTGTTTTAATATATAATATATTAAATATTTATCAATTATAATATATTATATATAAATAATTTTTTGATATACTCTATATTAGATATTTTATTTGTTATATAATGCTGCTAAGATACCCTGAATTGGCACACGAAGTGGCTTCACCTTCTGAACTGTCATCATATCGCCAAACCCCGCATCGTCGCTTGGCAGGGGCAATGGCTTTGTCATCGCGGTCAGCTTCCCACCGGAAGAGGACAGGCATTGGGACATGAAATCTTGTTATATAGAAAAAATGTTCTTGGAACCCCTTTTGAAACTCATGTTGGATAACCTTTGGACAAAACATTCTAAACTGATTTATTTGCTGAAATGTGTTGGAACTGAGAGCCACTTACACTTTTGTGCAAGCAAATGAGATCGATGAGTCGGTTAGATTGCTTCAGCTTGGCACTTTCTATTTTCACACGCCAGGAAATCCCTCACTCCGAATTTGCTTTCAGCAATAATGCATTCAATTGTTCACTGTTCCAAGTATGCTTTAAGCAATGTGGGATGCAATGCTTTCAGCAGAATGGTGATGGTCACCAAGAGGCAGCGCATTTGCATAGAATTTCCTGCTAACTTCATCAAGTCCTGGGATCGATAAAAAACTGAATCTTAAAATTGAAGTGATCGATAAAAACTTTGTTGCAGCTGTGAATCCCGATCTTTGAAGCCATCAAGCTTCAGGGCGTCAATTGGTGCACCCATCAAGAGCATTGCTTCGATTCCTGTCCAGGACCAACAAGAAGTCTGAGAGAGCAAGATATGAAAGCCCGAGCCTGAAAGAAAGCGTCCTCTTTGTGGCAAGAGGATTGTTGCATGCGGCCTTGGCCACTCCAAGGATGAACATAGATAGCTTGGGTTCTGTTGGGCATCAACATTGTTTCTTCACCAAACATTTGTGTTATGGTTAAATGAGGATGAGACGTAATGCACATCATTGGTACATTGGGATCATTCTGCATCACACTCATCCTGCCAATACTCTGCGAAGTGTTGACTCCACGGATGCCATGCTTGTAGAACTTGGCAGTGACATCGAGGGCCTTGGCATCAAAAATCCAGCAATTTTAAATCCTATATGAAATTAGTTGTATGTAGCCAAGGGGCATGCATTTCCCTTTCATTAATGATCATCTTGGAAGCTTCAGGATACTCCTTCTTGAAATAGCCATGGAACTTTGTCACCTGGACAAATTGCGTGTAGTGCACCAAGATGCATCGAAAGGGGACTGGCGCGATAGTTGAAACTTTTCTTCTTGTTTGTTTGTCCTAGTTTTAAGTTGATTGGTTCTACATTGCTCCAGGTGACAGCTAGGTGTTGCACATGAAGTGCATGGTTGACCGGTTGCAAGTGTGCACCGCGTCTATTTAGCTGCAACCTTGTGTTTTTCGCGCGTTCTATTCTATTTTCTTTTTGCTGTGTGGCAGGATGTCTGTCACGGATGCATCCTTTGAGCAATCATGTGGTCATATTGGTACCACCGCCAAAGAGCAGTGGATGCAGTTGCCATCAGCCTTACGGCGCGATCTGGGTAGCGAATTTTGCCTGCCTGACCCTGGGTTCCTGTACAATGTTTGCCTGGATGACTTGGACCGACATTCCCTCGTGTCCCACTATGCATCGGATGCTGCCGAACTTGAATTTTTCACATCAATCTTGAAGACTTTGCAGGTTCAGTCTTCTGCTGCTGCTAGCTTGTGTCGAAAGCGGCGTGCTGCAGTGCACCCTTCTTTGCAATGGCTTGCTGTTTGTAAACAGCCGCGCATGGTCGAAACTGTCGTGCCGCCAGTAGATTCCTTGGAGTGGCTTTGTCATCATTCTGGTGCTCACAAGCGTGCTCGGATTCGTGTGCCCAAAAATTGCCCTAACAGCCGAGCAGATGCTGAGTTGTCTTCTCAGCTGCGTTGGCAGCGCAAGTTGGCTACTATTTTGATAGATTCTTGCGCGCCTGCTTTATCCGGAGCGACTGGGCAGACTGGTGAGCTGCGAGCTTTGCGTTTGGCTGGCAACACCCGCAGCAGCACCTTAAAGAAGCATATCCAGATGTGGCACCGATATAGCAAGTGGCTGCATGCAGCCTACCAGCTGCAGTGGCCGACCACTTGTGACATGGTACTTGACTTTCTTGAGGAACTTGCTGCTCAGCCGTGTGGCAAAACTGTTCCGGAAGCATTTTGCGCCACGCTGCAATTCATGGAAAGAGTGGCTGGTATCGCCTTGGAATTTCGTTTAGGGAAGCAAACGGCAGTCCTGCGTACAGTTGAGCAATTGTCCGCGCAGTTGGAAACCGGTGCGCCCCCATCTAGGAAGGCCAGACCACAACCTTTGATTCTAATCCTGGCTTTGGAACTCTGGGTTATGAACATCAGCGCTGCTCGCTACACACGTGCTTTTGCATGGGCAAAGCTTGTTAAATGTTGGTCTTCTTCTCGCAGCGACGATTTGTTGGGTCTGGTCCCGCAGTGCCTTCACTTTAGCGGCCGGGGGTTGTGTGGCTTACTACAGCGTACAAAAACAAGCGGGCCTGGAAAAAAGGTAAAGTGGCTTCCGATTTTTGTTGATCGCGATGCTTCTTTTGCAGGTGTTCCTTGGTTGGAAACTGGCTTTGCTCTTTGGCAGGAGGAAGGCATGTGCTTCGAACGAGACTATTTGGTGCCTTTGCCGACCAAAAATCGCGAATCCTGTGTCCAATTTATGGCTGACTATACGGCAATGTGTGCTTTGTCCCAAGAACTCTATTGCTTACTGCGCCGTCCCGTTTTTCAGTGGCAGCAGTGGAGCTTGACAGATGAGCCTCTTTTGATCGCCCCATCTGCTTGTCGGGCATGGACAGAACATAGCGAGCGTTGCTGGTTAGCCAGCGTGGCTGCTGTATTAGACATAGGGCGCGAGCGGCGTGAAGTTCTGGGCCGCTGGCGTGTAGCCTCCTGTTCTGATGAATACATCCGGACTGCGCAACGTGTGGTCAGCCAAGTTCAGCGTGCAATAGTTGGGGGGGTCCTCAATGACACGGAATGGCAGCTGCAAGAAATTGGCATTAAAGATTTGGAGATACATTTGAGACAGGCAGGTGAGTCTGATTCATTGATTTACAATCAACTTTGTGCATTCGACTTGAGCTTAGCGGGTTGGTGTTGCCCTGTTCGACCCATTGCCGCGCATGCTGCGCCCGATTCGCAAAAGCCTATGGAGAATGCGTGCAATGTAGCTGAAGTATCCGCAGTAGCAGTAGGTAGCACTGAAGATATTTCACCCGCCGAACCAGTTTTGCCTCGAGGGGTCGTAGCTGCTGAGGGCCCCAACCAAGAAACCTTCCGGTACTTTATTTGTATCACAAAAAACCGGCGCTTGCGTAGGCTTCATCGTTGGGATGGCTGTGGCACCAAGCCAGCGTCATGTTCAGTACAGGTTGAAGGTATTGATTGTCTTGACGGCGTCCAGTATGATGCAGCTTGCAAACATTGCTGGCCCCGTGGACAGAAGCCAGGTGTTGAGTCAGACGAGGATGACTCAGGCTCTTCGTCAGACAGCACAGATGGCAGCCTAGCATCTGGTGATTAATATGTGTTTTAGTGGCCAAGTCCGCTAGGTGTACACACGTGCTTGCTGAAAGGGGACCAATGTTTGGCCCTTTGCCATTGCTCGTAGCTAACGCAAAGTGGATTGTGTTAGGACTTTGAGCTAGATTGGCAATGGTTTTCATCTCATGCTTGAGATTTCTCTGAAGTTGGCCAGAGCTGCTTTCTAATTCTGGTTGCTAACACAATGGTGGTTGTGTTATGGCTTCATCTCATGCTAGAGATTCCTTTCATGTTGAGTTGGGATATGTTCATCCGCCAACTTTGATTTCTACACTTGATCGCATGTGTTTGTTCCGGCCGGGGCACGTTCTTTAGCGCGGCATGCTGCATGCGCTATGTTTGCTTGGCCAGCTTGTGATCATTGTGTATGTTCTTCAATTACGTCAATTGAGCTTGTCAACTGTTGACATCATGCCTTTGATTTCTTTATCTGATGAAGAGCGCTCAGCAGCGTTGAAGGCTGCATCACCTGACTTGAAGTACCACTTGTCTGAGGTGAAAGTCCCTGTGGAGGTGCAAGCCGCTTTGTTCCACAAAGGCTTTGTGGATTTGCAGCTTTTTGCCGGGCTGGATGAATCCCGCTTGGAAGTGCGCAATGCTCTTGCTGTTGAAATTGGCTTAAAGCACGACGAGTGCACCGATGCCCGCCAAAATGTTGCCCGGCTATTATCTGCATGGGAATCTTCTCGTGCGCAGCTGGTGGCTGAGGACAAGATGAAGGCTGAAAGCAAGCTCGGCCAAACGCCTCGGATTGTGCAGTGCTCCGAGATGGCAGCTTTGCGCAAAGCGGTGGAGGCTGATCTTGGCAAGTTACAGGACGATGAGGTCCCTGCCAAGTCTCTGATTGCCACCAAGTTGGAACAGATTGAATCTGGCGACCTACGTGCCGAAGACTTACGTGAGGTCCTTTGCGTGGAAGACACAGATGTTGATCTCTTTAGTGGCATCATTGAGCATGGCACCGGCAATCTCAAGATCAAGCCGGGGAAGGCGAGCATTGCTATGCCATCAACTCCAGAAGAGTTGAGGCTACGACATCGCCGCATTGGCATTGCATGGCTGATGGTGGGGTCCAAGCACAAGAACCAATCCTGGATCACGCCTGCCTTGTTGGAAGCGTTTCGCCGTTTTTCTGACCATATTGTGGGCAGGCACATTGCAGGTTTTCCGATCATGGCCCAGGGAGTGACAAGGCACCCAGCTTGGAATTTGGTGTTATCTTATGAGCTAGAAGTACGCAAAAGGGCTTACAAGCAGCTGCGCGATGGCAAGCATTCATCTTTGCAAGAAGCTTTGGAAGATGCGTGGAATTCTGCTGAGCTGATCAACAAGCATTTTTTGGTTCCTCTGACTGCATCTGCTGACTTCTTCAGCACGGCCAGTCACGGTGAGGTGTTTACTGCCCATGGCAAAGGTAGTGGCAAGCATGGGAAAGGCAAAGGCAAGGGCAAAGACAGGCGTTTGGTCTCCAAGCAGTTCCTCAAATCTAGATCGGAAGAGGGTAAAAGGCTTTGCTTCAGATTCAACAATGGCACATGCAAGGAAAAACATTGCTCTTTTCACCATGCTTGCCAAATCTGCCTTGGAGAAGGCCATGGGAAGAAAGATTGCCCGAGTCATCCAAAGAGCATGTTGCAGTCACCAGCTTGAACGGCTGCAGGGGCCCAACCGGCTGATGGGCCCCGCCAGGAATCAATTTTGTCAGCCGAAAAAGTCAGTGCCGCGCTTCCCTCGCCTGCGGTGGGGCATTCATGTTCGGGACAGCGCGTCAGGTCTAGTGTTGATACAGATTTGCTTGATGGTGAAGAAGAGTCAGCATGGTTTCATCAAGCAGTCGGTGGCTGCGGACCTCCTTTGAAGTCACACATGATGGGTAAAAGCAAACCATTTGTTGACGGTAGTGGTTTGTGCTCGCCCGGACGGTGGAGCCCATGCGCTCGTCATGTGAAGCCGATAGGTGCGCAATGCTTTGCAGGTCTGCAGACAGTGTTGGACAAGCACACGGACGGGCGTAGACTTCTTTTTGAGTTGGCTTGCAAAAAACATGTGGACCAGCCTTTCCCTGCAGCACTGGTGAAAGAAGCTAGGGAGGCTGTCAAAGGCATTCTGAGAAAACATGGTGCGCAGCTTGATTTAGATGCAATTCCAGAGCGACAGCCTTTCCATCTTGCTTTGCTTGAAGAGTTTCTGCGTCTCTGCAACGATCCTGATGCTTCAGCGTATTTTTCAGGCAAGGATTCATTTGCTGCGGGCGTGTCTTTAGGTGTGAATCAGAAGATGCCGCGAACTCCAGCTGTTTTCGAGAAAAAATGCAAATGGCGTGCCTATGACGGGGAAACTACAGCAGCGGATGTTTTCCGGAACAACTATCCTGGCGCGGCAGAAAATGCAAAGGCGATTGAAGCACAATTCGTAGAAGAAGCCAAGTTAGGTGCGATGGTGAAGATGGAAGTTGAGGAGGCGTCAAGGATCTATGGTGAAAATTTGAGGGTAGCTTCGCTTGGTGCAATCCGGAAAGCTGATGACAGCTTCCGTGTAGTCCATGATGGAACACACGGCATAGGGGTCAATGGTAATATCAAGGTGCGTGACCAGATTGCATGCCCAAGTGCAGGTGATTTGCGGCAGGTGCTACAGGTGCTGGAGAAGCCGACTTTTGTGTTGACAGCAGACATCAAGCGCGCGCACAGGCTTGTGAAGATCAAGCCAGAAGACTGGGGGCTGCAAGCATGTAGGACAGACGAATCTTCCTCATTTGTCTGGCTGAATACTGTAGGCACTTGTGGCGTTGCGTCAGCTGCAGTACATTGGTCGCATCTTTTCAGTGGAATACAGCGGGCGGTGTACTATTTAACTGGTACTTTGAAACTGTTTCTCCTCACCTATGTTGATGATTTGCTGTTCATTACACAAGGGAAAGCTGCAACGGATGCAATTGTAGTTGCTCTTCTGTTTATGGTAGTCTTGGGCGTTCCCTTCAGCTGGCATAAGTGCAAGGGGGGCACACAGGTCGAATGGGTAGGCTACTACGTGGATCTGGAACAGAAGTCTGTTGGTATTAGTGAAAAACGTGCAGATTGGATTTGCAACTGGGTTGAGACAACTGTGGCAGCAGGCGTGGTGAAATTGCATGACTTTTCTGCAGTGCTAGGTCGGCTTTCTTTTGCAATGGCGGCAATTGAGCACCTCAGGCCTTTTCTGGGGCCACTGTACGCATGGTCTGCAGCCCTGGAAAACGTGGTTCATGCTCGTTTGCCTAAAGCTGTTATCTACATCTTGCGTTTCATTGAACATATGCTGAAACATGGATGGCGTACTCGCCCAGTGGGACCTCTGCAAGAAGCTCGTAGGGAATTATTCAGGGCAGATGCAAAAGCCGAAGGTGAAGTGATTTGCATCGGTGGTTGGGCAGTTGAGGACGGTCCGGATACAAAATCATGTAGATGGTTCAGTGAAAGGTTGACGCGGTCAAATGCACCTTGGGCTTTCTTGGCTGGGGAATCTTTCCGAGCCATTGCATCACTGGAATTGTTTGCCACCTTAGTGAGCCTGGTCCTCTTCAAGCCTGCGTGCTACAAAGGTTCAATGAAAATTTCAGCTGGAACTGATAACTTGGGAAATACACATCTCATCGCTCGGTTGATGAGCACCAAATTCCCATTGTGCGCTATTTTGATGGAAGTGGCGGCAGTTCTCATGGACGGCAATCATGATCTGCAGTTGGAATGGCTTCCTCGTCTCCAAAACCAGGAGGCAGACAATCTCACAAATGAGATTTTTCACGGTTTCAGTGAGGATCGCAGGCTGCGGTTTCATATGGAGGAGTATGAAGGTTTAGTCTTACAGGCAATGTTGAATTTGGGCATGGAATTGTACGAGGACGTGCGGAAAGCACGTGACCGCAAGGTGAGCCAGACCAAGCGGGTGAAGACTGGCGAGCCTCTGCGTGTGAGAGACCCTTGGGGCTGAGAGTTGATAGGTAGAAACCTGCTTGCCGAGTCAAGCGATTCAACCGTACCATAATATATTGTTTGAGGCATGGGTCGCCTGCGGTTGGGAGTTAGGTGAGCGCCCATGCTGGGTTGCTTTGCACATCTGTAGGACATGTGTTTTGTCCTACATGGTCTATTTTGCCTCTGGCCATGTCTTGGCTATATGACATATGGTATGTCTTATGGTATATTAATTCCCACACCGCTAGAAAAAAGAAGGGCGAGTCATTGTGCGTGTCATCTAAGGCTAGGGTTGGCTGGGCGGTAGTTCTAACTAGAGTAGAAGTCCCGTGTAGTGCACCAAGATGCATCGAAAGGGGACTGGCGCGATAGTTGAAACTTTTCTTCTTGTTTGTTTGTCCTAGTTTTAAGTTGATTGGTTCTACATTGCTCCAGGTGACAGCTAGGTGTTGCACATGAAGTGCATGGTTGACCGGTTGCAAGTGTGCACCGCGTCTATTTAGCTGCAACCTTGTGTTTTTCGCGCCCCCCCCCTCTGCCACCCTACGGCGCGTGAGTTAGGTGAGCGCCCATGCTGGGTTGCTTTGCACATCTGTAGGACATGTGTTTTGTCCTACATGGTCTATTTTGCCTCTGGCCATGTCTTGGCTATATGACATATGGTATGTCTTATGGTATATTAATTCCCACACCGCTAGAAAAAAGAAGGGCGAGTCATTGTGCGTGTCATCTAAGGCTAGGGTTGGCTGGGCGGTAGTTCTAACTAGAGTAGAAGTCCCTGTTTCTAAGAATGAGAACTGGGTATAGCTAAGTACAAGAAGCTAAACCTATTCAGTATTAATTCATAATCTAAGGTTATGACCTTGTTCTTCTTTGCCCATGCTTTGTGATGGGCGATCCATTTGTTTTGTTTTTTCTTGGTGTTCTGTTTGACTTTCTCAGTGTCCTTCCTTCTTCGCTTCAGGCTCATTCTGTCACGTTTGTTCTTTTCGTTCCTCCAGTGGTCATCAGGCAATAGCAGGTCTTCCCTTGGTTTGGAAAGAAAGGCTTGAGCGATGATGCATGCATCAAGTTGACACTGACAGAAAGGTGTCCAATGTGGTTTGCAAAGCAAACTGGCAGGATTTCAAAAGCCAAGGTGCCAGTCAAACATACTCTCTAGTTGAAGCTTGTTGGCTAACTCAGTCGCAAAAGCTGGAAAATCCTGTCCAGCCATTTTCCCCATCAGCTCCGTTCGGATTAAAAGAATGTAGATTCGGTCGCGCCGCATTGGTGCTCCAAAGTCAAACCTCAAGTATCAGATTGCGCAATAGTTATCAGCTTTTCATTGGGGCCGTTTATGGCAGCCAGGGAACGGATCCACATCCATGCAATGAAACTGGTACCTTGGGGCAGGAAGAGCTATCAACAATTTATTTTACCATCAACACAGAGGCTGAGCTGATGCATGACAAACCATCCATGCATCCATGTTGCTCGGGCAAGTTGTACTCCAGCACTTCCAGAACAGTATCAAGAACTTGTGCGAACCCTCGTACGTTCTCCAACAAGCCAGCCTGAGATTGATGGCAAGCTGGCGTGTTTCACACAAAGGCTGCAGCAATGACATTGTACATTGATGACAAGAGACAGCTGGACGTGCATCCCGGATGTTTTGGATGCATTTCCACATAGGCTTGGCTGCTTCTTCCCCAAGCAATTGACTGTTTGCATGGAGTCGAGAATATGGGGTGCATGGGAATCCAGCGCAGTAGAGGGCTACCTGCCAAGGAAAAGATTGGCTGAAAGATTGGCTTTGATTTCAAGTGTTGATATGGTGAGTATATGGTGGCAACAAAACATTGCAACCGCACCTTTTTGGACAACTCCATGGAATTCACATCAAATATGTCATTGCTGGACCTATGCGAGCGAGCGATGCGGCAGGTGCTTTGCTGTTGTTTCACCTTGAACAGTTTGGCATGCATACATGCAACTATATATTGTTGCAGCCAAGTTGCTGCTTTGGGACCTCATGATTCTCAGAAAGAAACTGTTTGGCAACCTTGTCCTTTTCCGAGTTGCTCCTCAGGTTCAACATGTTTCTCCAACCCAAATAAAGTAGAATAATATCAGAGCAAAAAAAAATCTCAGAGTTGTTTAGTGTTTTGGAGACAAGAGGCAAGTACTTAACCAAATGGGCTTTTCCTCCGAACAGCTTCTTCAAAGCGATCAGGGGCATGTCCATTCCGCTGCCTAAGATACCAACCACCACAAATGTTTGGTTCACAATGTCTCTGTGTGTTCATGCCAAGTTCAATAAATGCTGGTCAGATGCAATCACTTGCATACCCAAATGCCGCATTCCAACGCCGCAACCATCCGGTCAAGCCTGGATGGAAAAGAGAAAAATGAAGCAAAATAATGGAAGATGGAAAGCTAGGATGCTTGGTGTCAAGTAGCCACTATTCTCCACAAAGTGCTTCTCGCAGTGGATGTAATCATGTTGAGCATCTGTTAGCTCCTGTCAGGGGGAAATGCCAACAAGTATTTCTAAACTATTTCTGTACATTGTTGGAGTGCACTAAAAACAAAACAAAACACTCCTCCATCGAAACATCAGATGATGAATCCTCATCCACTTCCCGCCACACCACCATGGCTGGCATTGGGCGTTGCAGGTGGTTTTGATCTAAATGCCAGCGGACCCACATGCAGTTTGGAAAAGAGCTGGTTGCAATCGCAATTGCATATATATATATACGCAGACATACTCGCATCATTTAATATCATATATCTAGCTATATATATATGATATTGCAATATAGAAATGATCCATGTTCATACATGTTCTTAATCCTCATATTTCCAGCATTTTTCCCCAGGTCTGAGAAGGAACATCTTCCTCCGGGCATTTTGATTTCGGGCCCGTGGGCCACCTTGCGGCGCGCGTCCTTGAACCAAGCACACGCGGCCGCGCGGCAACACCCCAAGCAGAAGGAGGTGCGACAGCTTCAGTGTCATCCAAGTTGGAGGTTTTTCATGGAGAATTTGAGAAAAACTAGACACATAGCTTTGCATCAGAAACTAGTTGGTGGTTTGGAACCATGGATTTTTATGACTTTCCATATATTGGGCATGTCATCATCCCAAGTGACGAACGAATATTTTTTTCAGAGGGGTAGGTGGCTCAGCCACCAACCAGCAAACATGTACGCACATCTATTCTGAAACACTGGGCTTGAGGAGATTTTCTTGAGAGAAAGGGCTGATTTCTTGCGAGAGGTGCAGGATTGGCGTAGGGATGGTGGACAAGGGGAGGTCACAGGGCAACATGTGTGAGGCTCGATTAAATACATAAACAAATATATAAATCATAAATACGTATGTGTATATATATATATATATTATGATATCTGTTATATATATATATGTATATGATAGATATGATATATATATATATATATGATTTATTTATACATGATATATATATATATGTGATATATATATCTACATATATATATATGATATATATATGTGATATATATATGATATATATATATATGATATATATATATATATATATGATATATATATATATGATATATATATATATATATATATATCACATATATATATATATATATATCATATATATATATGTATATATATATATGATATAATATATATATATATATATATATGATATATATATTTTATATCATATATATGATATTTATATGGTATACATATGATATATATATATATGATATCATATGATATGATATGATTTGATATGATATGATATCTGAAATGATATTTGAAATGCTATGTATATATATATATATATGATATATGGTATATATATATGATATATATATATAATATATATGATATTTATTTATGATATGATACATGATATGATTATTCAATCAATAGATTATTTACTCATGTTGGATGGAGTTGGTTTTAAGGCCTTGGGACACATACAGTACGTGTAAATATATATATATATACGTATGAGTCGAAAGTGTCATACAGGCAACCAAAGCTCAGGGTTTCCGGTGGTGGTACCTGAATTCCTCTGCCTTTAATTAAGGAACATCCATGTTGTTCATGTTTTCGAACTGGAGGACCCTGCATAGTGAAATAGGTCATGTATTGTTGTTGGTCCCAGTCCACTCTCGTTGAGCTTGTTTTTTAGACCATTCTACAGATTGATCGTCAATAACACCTGACTATTTATTCTGCTAGTTGAGTCTTCTGTCTCCAAGTGGGTTTTGAACAGACTACTATTCTGACCCGGTTGTTCATCATATGGCCAGGTCATTTGTTGTAGGTTCTGATGCTTGTATCTTCACTCGTGGTGTATAATGACTACCTTTCTGTTGTTTCATCCCAGAGTGATATTGTTCTGAGCGCGCTTTTAGTCGATAACTTGAATTCCCATGTTTTCACAGTTGATCATGTTTGACAATCCTTTCTGCTTGTTATGACAGCCCCCGTTATTTACCATGGCTTTGCCAGTCTGGATCTGTTCATGTGGAGGAGGCATCTGGCCTTCCGCTTGCGGGAGATCTGCAATTGGCAGGTGCGGTGATGTGGATGATCCAGGATGATCCAGGATGATCCGTTGCAGATTGACAGGTCACTTTTCTGTGGTCACAAAATTTGCGTGGACCTTGCACATATACTGTATACTGCACAGTCTGTACAGTACGTGTATAATATATATATATACACTGATCTTTGGTTCGTCTGTCTCAACGGTTCTGTCTCTAGGAGATATATCTTTAGGAACATGAGAAATGAAATAAAACCAAAAAGACAAGAAAAATAGCAGAACATAAGTCATGAGTTTTATAATTATGAAAAAGTCTTACAGGAAGCTTCCTAACCTCATATCCTTACCATTCACCTCCTCCGTTCCTCGTGTGTCGGGAGGGCGGGTGTATATATTTCTGTAGATAAATGATTAATTATAGATCTTTATTTTATTCTATCTTTATATGTATATAAATGATTAATTATAGATGTTTATTGTAGATAAATGATTATTTAATTATATAAATATATATATGTACATATCCGCCGTATATCCACTTCTGTCCACGGTACCGGAGAGGCACCTCAAAATGGAAGCTCTTGCCTCTACCACGTGCCCGCAATGATACATTGCTGCCTCCTAGCTGGAAAAGCTTGGCCCCTTTTAAAAGGGTGGAATCAACAGGTGAAGATGATAAAGACCAGTTTACCATCTTGTTTTGTTTGCATTGTTTGCCATACTTTACCTGTTTACCGTTTTTTTGCATGTTTTTTTGTTTTTTTTGCCACAAGCGAATATCAATGAACTTATGCATGTTACATGATATAAATGCAAGGTAAATCACTCTGTGCAGGAATTGGGCCTGCGAGGTCCTCAAATTGAAGTGGGAGCCTCTTCAAATGGGCGCAGCTTGATTTGTATGTTAGTTATATGTTAGTTATGGAAATTGTAAAGACCAACATCATATTTTTCAGCCATGAATAACACCTTCTGTTTTGTTTTGGGTACGATGTCATTGAGTTGCTGTGTTTTAATGCATTTCCAACTCCGCAACCACCCAAACATCTCGCTTTGCGTGGAGCGCAGCTGGCCTTTGAACAACTAGTTTTCCCCTGTGGCAGATCCGTACTCAGTTCGCTAAATTTACTTGGTAGCGGCTATAGCATATTAAAATTATACAACCCCAGTGTGACGCCCAACCTTGCTGTCCTCATAGATCTTGCAATCTTCATTTCCCTGGTCAAACCTTCAATGTTTACTGCTTGAAATAAAATGAATCTTGCTCATTTACTTTCATTTTCATATACCGATTTGCACAGTAACATGAATTATATATATATAACTAACTATACATGCAATTGGCAATTATATACTTATATCTATCTAATATATTATCCCAAATGGTTTGCATAGAATCCTACCATGTTCCCACTCAAGTTGTGTGTTTTTATGGGGGGAAGAGTGCCGTGCTCGTCCGCAGAAAGCACATCTTAGGCTTTGCTTCGAGGACATGTTCCGTGCCCGCGAAACTTCCGTACTGGATGACTTGCTGGGGACGGTGAAGCGAATGAAAGGCACCTCCGGAAGACGTACTTGGGAAAGATCAATCAAAACATGTAATCCCTTCCCCCTATTACTAAACCCCCCCCAAATAATAAAAACTAGGGTCCATCTCTAATTTTGGAAAATTTCAGGTTTGCCAATTTGACTTTTAATTGATCCCCTTTAGAACACAATTTAAAAGTAAAGCTACCATTTGTTGGTTCGCCCCCTAATGTTTGGCAATGTTTTAATTGCGTTATAAAAGGAAATTGAATTGATTTTGAAATCGAACAAATGTTTTTTTCTCAAGTAATGTTTTTAATTTATCAATAGGGTCCGCTTCGAAATCCAATTTTTGGCAATGTTTAAAATAGCGTTATAAAAGGAAATTGAATTGATTTTGAAATCGGAAAAACAAGTTTTTTTTTTTTTTTAAGGCTTCAAATTTATTATATAATAAGGTCCGCTTCGAAATCCAATTTTTGGCAATATTTTAATTGCTTTATAAAAGGAAATTTAATTGATGTTGAAATCGGGAAATACCCCCCTAATGATAAAAAAACTACCTGAGGTGTTTATTATTTGGGGCCGTTGTATTAGGGGAAGGAATTACTTGGGAAGTGCAGTTCCAGTTTAGAAGTGGACATGAAACACCATAGTAGGGGTTATATCATATATCCCAATTATGATGGTTAATACCATGGTTGTATCCATTAATGACATTTAATAACCCTAACTGCACCCCCAAATACATTGTGTATATATATATATCATAATGTCTTATGTATACATTGGTATTTTACGACAGACTTCTCGCAGATTTCTGAGGGTGGATATTATAATGATTGTGGATTTTTAAAAATCTAGAGATGGTGAGTTGTTGGTTTCTATTGCAGCTAGAATTCCTGAAGCATTTGGAATAGAAACAATATCAGTTGATATCAATATGGACTATGGATGCAAAATTCCTAATAAGGTACCATGTCTAAAGTAGGCAATATGATCCCTTGCGCCCTCAACAGAAAAGGGTATGTGTATATCCTGTCGATACTCAACTCACAAGGGGCACGCCAGTTGCCGACTTGCCAATGAAGGGCATTAAACATATGCCATTTCTACTTTACCCTGTGCAAATCCCTGTGCACTTTTCCGGCAGTTTCCCTTGAGATCTCTTGGGGAGAACAGCAGCAAATGAGCAGCAGAATCAGGAGCTTGGGGCCACTCCACAAGTTTACCTAAGAGCGACGCGGTGCGGAAGCAGAAGCAGCAGTTTACATCCTTTGCGTACGGCGTGTTCACGAACATCGGCACGAACCAGGAGGGCTTTAACTGCCCTGGCTGGTGTCAACCCTCACCTGCTGCGATTGAACCGCAAGGCGGATGCAGAGCTACTTGTTGCCCCACAACTGCTGCACTTTTTGCCGGCAAATTCTCCAGAAATGCCAGCGAGAATTTGTTGACCACGAAAAAACAGCTGCAGGTTCCGGCAGTGTTGAGGAAGATGGTTGAAGAAGCACGTCACAGCATGTCCTAGTGCTTTTTTTTTAAACTGCAGTCACAAGTCACAAGCCATAGTCGACTTGGAAGTCATTCATACGCAAATCTTGGAAGTCATCTTGTGCTTAGATTAGAAGTCTTCATAACATGAATTGTGTCTTTAATTGAAACATGACACATGTTGTGTTCAAGAGACTATGTTTGATGACATTTTGGCACCAAGGCAGAAGTAAATGATTGTTTCTGAACCCTAGTTACAAAGAAAGCACGGTAGGAATTAGACCAGTGTCTTCTTGGTAGCTTCAACGATGTTCTGTATCGATGCGCCTGTGGTGTCTTCTAGGGGGTCAAACCGCCAGTTGACATCGTCTTTGGGGGCTCTCCACCTGCTTTTGAACATGAAACCCCGGTTATTCTGTCGGTGCTTCTGTACCATGAGATTGATCTTTAGGTCATGGAAATTGCCTTCAAACTCCATCAGTGTTTCCTTTAAGACCTGCTATTTATGACCATAAAGTCCTTTTTTGGTGCTAAATCAACCTTTTTGAGGGATCCTTTCACCACATGCACAAAAGCACATATAATTTGGGAAACCTAATTTCATCATATGTCATAAACCATCCAGAAATCATCCATAAACCATGTCATAATATGTCATAAACCATCCAAAAACCATCCATAAAAATCACCATTTTATGGCTGGTAAAGACCATCCCTGATAGGAATCATCCTATCAGGTGCCACCTGGACTTTGACCACGGACGCGTTAGCGATGCCACAAGCCGTGGAAGATTTCTTGGAAGTCGATGAGGAAACCAAACAGTTCCTGGGCAAAGGAAAACACATCCCTGGGGGGTGGGAGGGTACCATAAATCATAGGAAAATCATGGGAACACATTGGTTTTATATGGTTTTATGGCTGCAGGGCCAATTTGGTTTCTGCGGCTTCTTTGGAATTCAAACATGAAATGAATAGGGGGGTCCATTGGGTTCGATGGTTTTGATGTTTGAAAATGGAGCTAAATAGGACCCCAGGTCATTCCGGCAACTCTGATCCGAAACTCACCGGATGTATCGATTGAATCGATTGATGCGGCCGCTCATCTGGAGCTGGTGCGGGCCCATGAAGTTGGACAATGGACATAGATCACATAGATCTTTGACGATCTTTGATCATAGATCTATGTTCAAACAGTCCAATGATTACGTTGTTGCCACCAATCGCTATCCAACATAGTGAATTTCTGTGAAATTTGGAGATGATGGATGATCCAATAGTTTCATTCAGTTCACCAAGTCCTTGCCGTCAGGCTGTGTTTGCCAATAACGACGCTGTCACTTGGTACTTTGAAAGACGAGTCGGATTTGTTTAAATGCCCGGAGAACCACATTTCATGGCCTTTTAGTTGAATTTATAGTTGAATTTAGTTGTAGTAAGAAACAGTATGTTGTAGTTGATTTGATCAATGTGTGCCTGTGTGGAGTGGATTCTAGCCAAACACGTTTGGTTGTTATTGCTTCGCGGGGGACTAGATGGGTTTACAACGTACAAGGCGGTGTCATGGTTGACTAAGTTGGTAGGTTTTTGTGGGATCACATGGTTTTTGTCTGGACATGGGATACCCCCAAATCCAGCTATATCCAGTGATTCATCATCTTCCCATTTCCAGATGGCTGGGCCGTGGATTTGTGACCATTAAAACAGACACACACAGAGATCATGATATGTTTTGGTTTGTTTGATATATATGAACCATATATACCCCATTAAATATATTAAATGAACCATTGAAATTCCATGAAATCCCCCTGGTTACGGTAGCTTCCTGATCTTCCTGCCCGCGGCAAGTTTCCCGGTGACCTCGGGATGTGAGGTCCAAATCTTTTGCGCCGGGGCTCAGTTATGTGGGCAGCAAGGACAGGCTGGCGATGTGTTCCTGGCCAAAAATCACCAAATACCATGGCAAGAAAAAAGCCAGCCATGTCAGGCTTTGGAATTGTGATGAATTGCGATATGTTATTGTTTTGGTCTAATACATATAATAATACATGTATTATATATTATTATATGTAACCCATGTAGATATGTATTACAAACCGAACCTTTTTCCTGGCCAAGCATCACCAAACTAAAGCTCCCCAAGCCTCAGCCCTTCAACAGTTGTCCCTACTCCGAGGACGTTCGGAGTTTTTGCTTCACCGGTCACTATGGCAAGGCTGGCTGGGTCCCAGATGCGTCCGGTGATCTCCATGTACCAACGGCTACCCCAAAAATGGTCCATAGTTCTAGGCAAAATCCATGGGTTATTTGTTGATGGCTAAAAGGTGTCGGTTTAGTTTTCAATATTCTAGAGCCTGTCGATGTTGTGAGTAGGAAATTCAGTTCAGTGAAGTGAATGAATGCACATGGAACATGTGCTAGGCTGCTGGGTTAGATTACAGGAAGGTAAACACTGGGATGATTTCTTTATGTATGTCTTTTATTCTCGTCTTTCGGCTGGACGCATTCAACCACTTGAACAAGAATCAGAGATTCAAGTCAAAACTAGAACACATTTCTGATCATGACACAGGCACCATCTCTCCACTGAACTTAATTTGATGGGGTTTCCATCAATGAGGGATCCCCAATAGCTGGATGGTTTATAATGAAAAATCCCACTGAAATGGATGATTTGGGGGTGCCCTTTTTTAGGAAACCTCCATATATTCAATTATATTCAATTGAGAAAGAATGTTTAAGAGAATCCGTCCACCACCTGCTACAGGTGATGCACAAATCCAGCGGCTCCCTGTTGTACATGGGAGAGGAACCTTTGGAGCCTCGGCTGCGCCCAACGACTGGTTGAACTGTTTGTGGAACAATTCGGCGTTCGCCTGTTGCATTCATGGTGGATATATCATGATATATCTACAATTAGCTGGGGTTACAAAACGTTACAATCTTTTACTCAACTCACTAGTAGCATCAATTAGCTGGGGCTATAAACTGACTCAAAAAACCTATGATGACCTGAGGGGTCAAGGACAATTTTGTCAAGGACAATTTGCCCTTAGGACTGCACGGTGGTGTTGATAGAGTTTATATGGACGATCGAAGTTTCAGCTCGCCCACGCCTGAAGGCCTTTTGGCCAAAAAAGCTCTCTGGGCCGATTGGTCTGAAAAGGTTGGTTTGGTGGAGAATGGTTCTTCGACTCAGTTTGTTGCTACCTTGGCGGCCAACACTCGAAAGCTCGCTTTGGCTGGCGCGTTTGCAAACCAAATCTCCAAGGAATTTGAAATTCTTGGAGTGCAAGCTGCTATGCAACCTAGACAGGTGAAAAAGAAAGAGATTCAACGTTTGGACAGTGCTTTGGTTTGTGTTAAACGGCTTAGCTGCTTGAAGCTTGGTTTTGCAAAGTTTCACAGGGCTGCGCGTTCTTATGCCCTCTCGAAATGTGTTTATGGCTGGCTCAGTCGTACTCCCACTCTTGCTATTTGCAAAAAGTGGTGGGCAGCGCTGAGACGGGGCCAGAGGTCCCTTTTCGCGGCTAGCCCTTTTCGCCGCGGAGTGCTGATGGGAGGCCTTTCTCGCATTGATTGTGTGGTTGCTGTCAACCTGTTGAGGGTTGTGCATGCTTTAAAGCATCGTCAGGAGTTGTTGTGGCAGGGTTCCCTGATTTTCCAGATTCAGCCAAAGTAAACATCACCATTCAAACATGTTTTTTAGATATATTTTTTCAGTTTGCCTTGCTGCCCGGTGGCCCCTACGCCCTACGCCATGTTTGGCTCACAATTCAGAATTCACAGTAAACAGTTCACATTGATTGACTTCGATAAGTCAAGGGGGGGGCGTCAGCACATAAATGTGAGATACCGTCAAAAGGGTCCACATCTTCGAGATGTATTGAAACAGAATAGTGAAAAAACGCGGTAAAATATGTACAAATATAATGTCCCGCTCGTCATTGGCACCACATTTATACTCATTCCACAACCAGATGGGCAACAATGTGTTTCACCATCATCACAGTACAAGAAACAAAGGAGCACAAAATCAGGAACAATATTTGGGGGTTGAATGCAGACCTTTGTTCATTGTTGCTCAAGAATTTTCAATGGCATCAAATCATCGGCACACCTTTCAATCCACGTTTCGAAACACAGTTTTAAACAGAATCCAAGCTGGAAAAAAAATCGAATGCTGTTTGGTGAACCAAACCCCTGGAAAAACAAAGGGGACCTTTAAAACGAAGGATTTTGAGATATTCCATTTTGGGACATAAGCATTTTTTGGTGGTCACTCATGTGATGGCTCCTCCTACGATTGGCCCTTGTCTGGATTCCCAGACCTGGACATCTTGGGAGTCTCGGATGATGATGGCTTTGTATCCTATACTATAATAAAAACAAGTTCATCACCATAGCTGACAACAAACAGCAGGTTTGACAAGAATACAATTCGTTGGAATTGTTGCAGGTTACGTATGAAAAATCAGACGCAACTCAACGTAGTTGATGAAGTTTTTCCATTCTTGCTCCTGACAGGTACTGTGGTCTTCTACCTCATCGCTCTTGAGGACAACGGCAAGTTCTGGTGGCCGCCTTGCCCCGTTGCCTGTCTTCGCAAAAGACAGAAAGCAGGTGACCAAGTCAACTAGGACTGAAATTTTGTCAGAGTGGCTGCGCAGCCCGGAAGCTGCCGACTGGCGCAAGATGTGCGAGGAGCCGTGGGGCCAGGATTGAAAAAAGTAAATTTTCCTTTTTGGGTCCACAGCTTTATCCCGATTTCCGATTTGAGTCCAATTGAGTCAGGTTTCAGATTTGGAGTCATGTCAATTACAGTAACCGAAAAAGATTTTGGGAAACCACCGCTGAGTGCTGACTCAATGATTCATTAAAAAGGATGCCCTTTAGTTGCTTGGCAGGTACAATGAGTGGCAAACACAAGTCCTTCTATTTGATTTGTGCTGCTAGCTCCTTGATCGCACTTCTTGATGCAAAGGGCTGGAGTGGATGCAAGTATCTCCAACTGATCCTATTTCATCCTTTTTCCAGCGTGTGACAGCAAAAAAAGTAAGGACAGTCAATTGTTGTTAGCATTAAAAGATCTGAGATGAGAAATCAACTCGTCACGATGAAACCTCCATGTTAAGTCGAGGTGGCAAATGTTCTTGCGTACCTTGTACTGCGACATCTTGACTTGGCACGTGATCTCAAGACGGGCATTTTTTCAGCGATGAACGTTGACCATGAATTTTGTTTGTATATTACATGTAGATGTGTGTTGATCATTGATTGTGTTGTGTTCTTTCTTTTCATTCAAATTGAGGATGGTGAAATAACTGTGCACAGGTTACCGTCTTGTAGACGCCTGGCGATTGGTCCTTGATAAGCGACCGGTGATGTAGCTGGCTTCTCTTGGGTGCCAGATGGTATGGGCAAAACCCAGCTCAAAATGATTTTCTCCCACAGAAAGTTGTGTCCACTCAAAGCTGCATGATGCTGCTTGGAATGGGAGCCCATTTTAACCCATACCTAGAGAACTTGACCTGCGTTGACTCGTTGCGCCACATGTGAAGACGTGCATTCAATCCTTTTTCCACTATTACACCAAGTATGCAGAATATACATAAAATATGCTCAAGACATGAAAACAAATCAAGATCATCCAATGTAACACATTCTAATCTCCATTGCTGGAGGAGAACCATTCGGAAGCCCAAATTCAACTCAACAGTGTTTCCGTCTCCGGCAGCAGTTTTAAAAAGTCCGAGTTCTGCAGCATGGTAACTGTGATTTCAATAGTGACAAACCTCTATGGTGATTTGAGCAAAAGCGATGTTTACCTTGGAAACATAGAGAGTCCTGTGTGGGATTGTAAAAGAGGAAGTCCTCTCTTTGCCGTCTTTGCCTTCAAAATGTGGCTTCGTGATCGAGGTTGGCGGGTCACCTAGGTTTGGATCTGGCAAGTCCAAGACTTTTTTTGCACTATTGATTTGACTCGTCAAGGTTTAGAAGGTCTGCGGCTTAACCAACATAATCTCCGTGATGGCTGGAGATGGTACATGTTTGTGTGTTTCCTAAATCAAAATCGGCATGACAATATATGGATGTTTCCATCGACAACTTCTTGCAATTTGATTTCGCTCGGATGCGAAGTTTTTTGGATGATGATTGGACTTACCGGTCTGTGCTGCTTCGCGCAGTGCGCAGTCCGGCGGTGTTTCAAAGTCTTGGTTCTCAGGACTTCCCCACGCAGTGCGTGTGGGGCTGCGGTCAACTTGGATCTTGGAATCATTGTACATGGTTCTGTCCAAATAGGCCGAGTGATTTGTCGCCTCCCTTGGATCCCGTTGCTAGGAGGTTTGGGTGGTTTCATCGAAATGAAAACTTGGACAATGCCATGTGGTGTGCCCAGGTGGCGCGGAAGATCTGGGAGTGTCGTTTCGACACTCTCGGTGTTGGCTAATCCTGTTCTACTATGGTACGTGTTACAATTCACTTAGGTCTTTTGCTCTGGCGCGCTGCTGATGCGCTGGCTTTTTGGCTCTCGACGTCTTGCGCTGCTTACCTTTTCGAGCTGTGCAAGTTCAAACCACTACCTATGATGACTTGGGATGTTTTCTGAGATTGATGAGGAGATAATCCTTCGAAGCAACAAAATCAGAATCCCGATTGTTTGGCCTTTTTATCTTCTTGAGTTTGTTCTCAAAAAATGAGAACAAAAAAAACAACTTACTGGTACTGACATAGATTGAACAGTTGTTGATGATAAAACATCAAGTTTTGGAGTACCCGAGTTGGAGACATACCCGTCTTGGAGAACATGAAGCGGACGGGTGGCAACAAAGGGATAGAGGTCTGTGGGTGCAACAATCCCAAGAGCATGTCCTGATAATCAGCAACAATCAGCAGAATCAGCATTAATTTTCAGTTGGCTGTCACAATAAGCGGTTCGAATTGTCACAGCTTCCATAAAAATCGGCTAGTTGGGTAATCACTTAACTATGGTTGTGCTAAGCCCCGTCAATTCGTTTATGTTCACCGTCAACATTGTTGCCATTCTGACTAATCATGATCAATATTGCTGACTGAGCGTTATATGTCTATACCCTCTGGTTATGACTAACATAGCCATGGTATAGATGGACCATAGAAATAGATGGTTTACCTTTAAAAAAATGATTTTCCATGGCTATGTTAAATGGCCAGATGGTATATTTAAAATATTGAATTATTGTCCGCATAAAGAAACAGATTCACCCTCAGTATCTGTACAGAGGGTTGTGTGTACCTATCAGTGGGGTGCCGGAGTGGCTTGTGATGCGACCAACCCAACGGCTAAGCACTCAGCTAACCTGGTGAATATATGTGAATATATATATATATATATAACTATCAGCAATTAATGGCACCTGATAGCAGAAACATGCAGAAACCAATCTATCAAATCTCGGATTCCTTGGGATGCAAGCCAAGTGAAAACAGCGGGGTCCACGGTTTGAACAGATTTAACTATGGCTATCAATCGAAGCAGTTGATGGCTGTGATTCAATGTTCAACATTGTCAAACAACTACAAATTGATTATTCATGACTATATCAGCCCTCAACAACTAGAGCTAGAACTATAAGATACCATAAGTATGACTGTAATACTGTAACATATTATCAATTAGCAATCCTTAGCAATATCTATAACTAACTATAAAACAACCAAAAAAAATACAAACTATACAAACTAACCTATATATTTTTACTATATAACTAGCTATGTAACGAACTATATAACTAACTATTACTATGACTATAACCACCCAACATGAGCTATCAACACTTGGGCCGAACATGACGTTTGCGCGTCACCCAACTCAGGATCGCTCCCGCCTAGCGCAGTCTGCGGGCTTGGTGCGCTTCTTCAGTCCCAAGGCGGGGCAACATCACCTGATGATTGTATACCATCTATCATCATTTACCTGTTGTATCCTGTTGTTAAAGGGGTAAACAACACCCTCTATTAATCAACCAACCAATGGGAAAAGGATATCTATGACTGTGTATATATATAATTGTTGAAGTTCTTTGTGTATTCGGTGTTTATCTGGTTGGTGGTTTGGAACATGAATTTTATAATTTTCCATATACTGGGAATAATCATCCCAACTGACAAACTCATATGTTTCAGAGGGGTTGAAACCACCAACCAGTTATTGTAGGCACTACATGGCACCACATTTGTACTGTAGAATGTTTTAAATGATGATGTCATTCATTTTACAATATAGGATAATTCGCTATTGACTGTTGATTGTTCATTATCATGATGTCTCACCGGCGGACATGGGTGGTTTGCTTAGTGGAGTTAACCAGAACCACAGGGATTTTGCTGGATTTGGGTAAGATATATAACTAGATAACCAATAACCAGTTCTTCATATGATAACTTGGTGTGTCGAAAACGGTGATAAATTTTCCATCAAATTAAGGATACCATATTTCAATCAAACCCAGATTGTCCATATGTCGCTTCACATGTCCATTAGTTACATTTTGTGACGAAGTGCGTTTATACACTACAATATCATGCTGCAAATCTCTGAAAATATTCACTAGGAGCCCCCAAGGATTCATATTGCAATGTTGTTTCCGGGATGTTGTGGGGAATTCCGAGTGTACTGAGCGATCACGTGCGACACCCTTCTGATAGTTTTAGCCTCAAACCTGTGACAACGAGAATGGGGAAACACATAAATGGCATTGTTTGTGGTGACATTAACAGTTTAAAAAAAAATTGTACAATTTTTGGTGAGATGAAAGTCAGTAGGTGGAGATCGGAATAGCATCAAGATTTGGAACAGGGATGTGAGGTGGGAGGGGTCCGGTCAAATCCCAGCAGCAAAATGCGCAAGATCAATGGATCTGGAGGATTATAACGATAAGAATTGGATTGGGGTAGCTATCCCAAAAGGGACATTATCAGGTTGGTGAAATATGATATAACGAAAGAACTGATCCAGAATGGATACGCAGTGTGCCAGGTTTTTATCACACATTTTGTCATTCTTTCCGTGGCGAATCCAACCTTTGCATATTCTGGAGGGTGATGATTCTGGGAAAACATGTAGCTGTCCATGACTAGATCATTCGTGTAAGCTTGCCTGGGAAGTCATCCAAATTTTGGCTGTCGTTTTCTGTTTTGTTTTTGTTTGTTGTTTCCTTTCTGCTATTGCAAACACCCCTTTCAGAAACCCTCGTACCTATTCATTTTGGTCTCTGATGCAATGTCCGGGGAATTATGCAAAGGATGGGATCCATGGATAGGATATGATCTCATTATTTGGCAGCATTCCCGCAGCGTTCCCAGGAGATTTTGAATTTCTTGGGATTTCCGCGCAACTTCATTCTGCCCAAAGACATGGAACTGAAGCATCGCTACAAGGCGTGCGGCCTGAAGACATGACGACATGGGGATTTTAGCAATGTTTACATGGAGCTTGAATCCATAGCTACAGGATGTCATAGATATTGATATAGTATGATATAGTACCAATGAAAACAAACCAATCTCTGAGTCTGGAACCCCGAAATGTGTAGGAATCATAGCGGAAGATCATCTTCCAAACCACCAACAACCACAGCCTCCGTGTGCACATTCCTTTGGCCGAGTCTATGTAGTGGAGACAGCCAGTTTCTTTTTTATGGAAAGAAAGAATTAGTGCCAAGTGCTCGTGGGCTGTGCAATTGAAATGTCATTCCCACAAGGGTTGTGTTCGTCTTCCAATGGCTTGAAAGTTATTTAAGAAGCATCAGTTGCACAACCAATCAAACAACAAAATTGGCCATGGTGGGTTGACGTTGTTTGAAATTCTATAAGATCTCATGGAATCCCATAGGCAAAATATCCCAGAAAAGAAGACAACCTTGAAAACATGAACAGCAAACAACTATTATCAAATCGTATATATAATATTAACTCCATCATCATATTTTAGATACACATAGATACAGTATATATATACATACACATTTGCATATGATTACACATTATATATATAACATATATATATATATATGATATATGTATATATTACTTATTTCTTTATTTATTGATTTAGTTAGTTATTTATTTATGTATGTATTTATTTATATAGTAAACATGTCAAATGTCCCCAAAACATCACCAGACTCAGAGAAAATCACACCGTCGCAGGTGGTGGGCAACTCCATCGCCGTGACCGTCGCATCGCAGCTCTTGAGGCTCCTGCTCCACGGCGAGGTTCGCCGGGGTTGAAGAATGGGGGAGTTTGCCGTCATTTAATGGGGATTTATAGGGGATATAATGGGGATTAATGGTGTTAAATAGTGTTTAATAGTGTTTACCCTCTGGTAAACTAAGATAGCTATTGAAAATGGCCATAGAAATAGTTGATTTACTCACGAAACATTGTGAATTTCCATAGTTATGTTAGCCTACCAGAGGGTAATAGGGATTACGGGTTGCTCCAACCTATAGAAGAATCATAACCACAAGGGGGGAAATTGGTCATTTTTACATCTCTACTTACTAAGATATTCCCGTTTTTTCTCCTTGTATTTGGGGTGTTGGGCGCAGCAAGGAGTTCATACTGGGTAAACATGGTTAATACTGGGTTGGCAGTGGCTTCACCACAGTATGCTCGTTCAATATGGCTGATTAGATCATCATGTCTCATCACCATGAAATTTTCGGCAACACGAAAGCGATGCCATGATGTCCACAGGGCGCTGAGCGGCTGAATTCCTTGGAAGAAGCGCCACCAAGGTGATCCATCAAGCGGTTGCTGGATTTAGTGGGATTTGATTAAATGGGATTAAATGGGAATATGAAGGGTAATCAAACATGGTTGGATATGGTTGGGACATCCTGAAGTTACTAAAAGATACTATGTAAATATGTGTGTATATGTATATATATATACATATAGTAGGAACTATACTTGCTGGTAGTATCTTCATGTCGTGACTTTAATATTTGATAGTATTTGGCATTTTCCCTGTAATATCTGGTACAATCCAACTTTTCCCTGCTTCATATTAAAGCCTTTGATCTGATGAGGCACTCCATGTTTGATGCTTGGCCCCCATTTCAGCTGGTGAATTCCTTAAATTCTGTCAAATCCACATTTCTGCTGGTTATATCATGTTATAACCTCATTGACTCTTGTAACTGTTAGTTGTATTTTTTGGCCCTTACCTTTTGAAGTTGCTTGTAAAGCCTTTTTGTTGGTGACACTGTGGCGAGATGACCAAAGGGGAGTGCCACAGGAAGAGTTGGGCCACGCCCAATGCTAACGCTTTTCTCGATGGATAGCCAAGTCACTTAGATGGTGAGTTGTTTGTTGATGTTTGACGGCAGCGTGTGTGTATATATATATATACATAGTATTATACCGTGTATGATATATATATATATGTATACACATGTATGATTTCCATTTGTCTGACTGAAAGTTGTGAACAGGGGATCAACCAAATCTTGTTGGATGTTTCATCCCGCCTGGTACCGTACATACCCTAGGCCCTAGAGGATTTCAGTGCCACGTGATCCCTTCCGCCGCTGCCAGGTCGCAGGAGGAAGTCGATTGA